TACGTGGAAAACAAGAGATCCTGTGAGCAGAGTGCCGGATATGATCTTCCATGGATGATGTATGGATTGTAGGCAGCAGGAATGCCCGTCTTAAGGGGATTTTCCTTGCCAGTCTACAATTGCAATTGTTGTGTAAATAGCGTCTACCTTTCCTCTGGGCATAGATGAAATGAGTAACTCCACCTTGTTAGACTTGTACTTGAGTACCGCTTGATGCTGCGCCTGAATATGCGTACTATCAAACAAATCTCATAAACCTCACTCTCTCTAATATCATACAACCCCTGCCTAACGTTCACATCCACAAACAAATCTTCCCACTCGCCGTCCCTCCCGCAACCCAATTCCTACTCCGATGAAAGACAGCCACTGCCGGAACAGCCGTAATGCCCTCCCCGCCCAACTGCGCCAGCTGATCCCCCTCCCCACTATAGATATCCACAAACCGATTCATGTTTCCAATACAGAATCGCTGGATATGCGATTGCGGGTTCTGTTGCCACTGGGGGCGGAGACTATCACCAAACAACATTCCATTAGCACCTCACTTTTCTCGAGAAATAACCAGTACAAGAGACCATCAGGAAGGGGTATACATACATAGTTACCCATCTCCCCGTCTGACACTTATGTCTAACGACGGTATCAGGCCCCAACTCATCCTCCGAAACTGCATGCCCTACATCCCAGTTCGAAATCCCCTTCTTTTTCAGATCGTATATCTTGAGCGTGTCGTCGTACGAAGACGTCGCGATTTGTCCTGCGCTGTTGAATGCTGCGTGCGAGACGGAGAGCCGGCTGTAGTGTTCTCCTACTGGGGTTGGTCCTTCATCTTTCTTACCCCTCTTGGGTTTCTGCAGCATACGCAAGTCCCACAGACGCATCGAGCGGTCCAGACTCGCTGTTGCGAAGTAGTGCGGTTGCGTGGGGTATAGTGAGAAACCGCCGATTTTCTTCTCGGAGAGTTGCCATGTGGTTACTGTTTCTGCTGTTGGGTCGGTGCGGATGTCGTGCCGGCCAAAGGCCCCGTCCAGCGTTGTCCAATACAGCACGTTGGGATCGTCGAGTGCCATGTCAATGCCGGAGATGGGCTCATCCGAGGAGGTCGATTCCGGGGCGTATTTCTCCACGCTGGTGGACTTCTCGAGGTCCATGGCGCGGATTGAGCTGTCGTAGCTGGCTGTGTACAGGGTCGTCGGTGTGCTGGGGTGGATGTGCATGCTGCTGATTGTCCGGGTGTGGGGTTTTACGGTGGTGAGGACGGGGTCCGGGTCTTCGTCGTCGGATTCTTCGTCGTCCTCGGGTTTGATGGAGGTGGGCTTCTCTTGCGAGGCGTCGAGAATGCCTAGGTGGCCCATTTTGTCGCCGGCGAAGATGAGAGGTTTGGATTCTGTCGGGTGGAAAGTCATGGCGTAGACTCGTTCGGGGGTCAATTTAATGCCTGTTATGGTGGTTAGTTAGCCAATGGAAGATGGTAGTAGGGAAAGAAAGAGAGACATACGGTTAGGTTCCCACGCCTCCCAGAGCGTCAATCCATTCATCTCCTTCCTCAGCGCCTTCAGATCCTTATCCGTCGTCTTCTGGATCTCATCATCGCCAAACGTCCTCTGGTACGGTATCGCCACGCCCTTGGTAACTACATCTACTCCGATCAATCCATCCGCAGGCAACTTCTGCCCGTTCACCATAATATCACTGAACGAGAAGTTATCCGACTTGCGAACTCGTTTCGCGCGCTCCGCTTCCTGCCGCGCCTCGTACTCTTCTTCAGCTTTGCGCTTCGCGACTTCGCTTTCCGCCGCGATGCCCCTCAGCCGGGATGACATGCGCCGCGGCTGCGGCGTCTCCTCCTTGACTTTCTTCACAGGAGTCTTCTTTTTCGTCCGCGATTGATCCTTCGCTGCTGGTTTGGGCATCTTCGGCGGAAAAAGCCCGGAGGACTGCGCCTCCATGGTCAGCTTTTTGAGTAGCGCATCGCGTTCGGCGATGTTGGCTAGGCGCTGCTTTTCGAAATCGGAGATCTCGTCGTTGCCCATTTTGATTTCTTTCTCTCTTTTACAGAGGAGGGAGTTTCAAAGCAGAGAGTGTTGCTGATCTGCAATGAACTGCTGTATGGCGCAGATGGATGACTTTTGCTCACGCGGATCAGAGGCGCGTTCGGAGCGCCGCGTAGTCACGTGGCTCTAATTGATGGGAGAAACTGCGCCGAGCGGGAGATTCTCCGACGGACGGCTGGTTCAGCTTCACTTCGGCAGACCGGTCCACCAATTGTTGATCCGTGTGGAAAGGTTACCATACGTTTACAGTCTATTGATTCAGACTGTAGTTGGATATTGTCATAGTACAATGAGTGCCCGAATCTCCCGGTCCTGGTTGGCGCTCGCGGCTCGCAACTCGTCCGTCCCATTCCTGTACCAGACTCGCACCCTCACTGCCGCATACCTGTCCCCTCCAGTCCGTCACAGCCAGCAGCAGCAGCAGCACTACTCGACGTCCAGCGACGCCAACGAGCAGGAACATGAAGCAGCAACAGCAGAATCAGCACAAGATGACAAGCCCGCGCGTCCAACCCGGAGGAGCTTTCTACGGAAAAAGGCCGCGGCCGTCACGCAACAGCAGCAGCAACAAGCTCCCAGCAAATCAGCTCCGCAAAAGCCGGTGACCATGACCAGCACCGAGAAACAGATCTTCGGCAACCTTCTCGAGCAACTCGGCACTGAGCGCCGTCAGCAATCCCAGACTGAACCCACACCATCCACGCCGTCATCAACGGAACCCAAATCCACCCTCCGCGACGACGAAATGGACGAGATGGCCCAAATCTCCGCAATCTTCGACTCCGTCCTCCAAGACATGAAAGAAAAGCGCCAGCGCAGCGCAGCGCGCACCGAGCGGCAAGAAAGCGAACTCGCCGTGCGAGAAAAGAATACAGCCATCGAAGAAAAGCTCCAAACGGGCGAATACACCGACGACGAGCTAGCAGAGATGATATCCTCGAACCAGATTACCATGGACCGGGCCATTGAGGCCGTGATCATGCGCGAGTCCGTAAGTATCGAAGCGGCGCTCTGGGACGCCATTGATAACCGTCGCGGAGACACGGGTATCTGGGAGGTATGCAAGGAGCGGATCTTCAATATCCTTCGACACTTGGACGATGAAAAGAAGGGTTTATTGGGCATTAAGGACGAAGCCACCTCCTCGGAAGACAGCTCCCTCACTATCCCACCCATCGTCCCCACCGAACCCGTTGTCACAGAACTCTACCCCAAAATGCTCCTCGTCGCGTTCAAGCTCCTCAACCTGCATTATCCGGACTCTCATCTCATCAGCCAGTTCCGTGCGACGATTAAATCTATGGGCCGGGCTTCTGCGGTTCTGGGCGGGTCTACGGCTCTCTATAATGAGTTTATTTACTTCTATTGGCGTGGGTGTCATGATTTGCCCGGCGTAGTGTCGCTGCTTCGCGATATGGAGGTTACGGGCGTGGAGCCGAACCGTCGTACGTGCGGTTTGTTGCATTCGATCAAGAATCAGAGGGATCATGATCTGAGGAATCATTGGCGGAAGGCGAAGGTGGAGGGGAAGGAGGGGAAGTCGAATCGCGAGCCGTGGTGGGATTTGGCGCCGAATCGAAAGGCAGTGAAGGAGTTGTTTGGGGATGAGGGGTGGGTTAAGAGGTTGGAGGAGAGGGTGAAGGAGATTGAGAGGGCGAGGGATTATTAGACCCTTTGTATATACATGATGTTGTGAAGAGGGGAAGTGGCCAGGTTGAATGAGATGTAAATATACAGTTGTATCAGCGGCAGCAAATACCGCAAGTAAACAAGCAAGCTAAAACGAAATAATGTTAATAATAGTACATACTACCACCCCATACTTTCCTTCCCATCACAGTCAATGTCGGTGCCAGTTACAGCTTCAACCCCCAACTCCTCCCCAATCCCACAGCAGTCGACCCCAAGAATCCCAAGCACTGTTTCACCCCGGACAACTTATCCTTCACAGCTCTTGCATCCGCCCACCGGCGACTCAGGAACTCCTCCGTATCACGCAGCCCCGCACTCGTATCCCGCGTCATCACAAACTCCGACGATGCATACAGCGCCGCCACAGCCATGCGCTTCGAATACCACGATGCATCGACGGAAGCGTCGCCCGCTAGCGTGAGGATATCGTCCGAGAGAGCGTGCAGTTCGGATAACGAGAGAGGGATGTTTTCGCCGAGGGACATGATGGCTAGGGCCTATATTACCATGTTTATTAGCATCATACGGCATTCCTGATATATGGAACAACTAGAGATAGATCAGGAAAGGTAGGGGAAGCATACATCCTGCAACTTCTCCTTCACTTCAACATTCATGCGCAAGCGCTCCATAATCAGGACCTTGATCTTGTCGTCCACGGATAGAGGCTGGGATGATTGCAGCAGCGCATCATTCTCCACCTTGGAGCGGAGAAGACCCCGTCGACTCGCCAGCCAGAATAGAATCAGGTCGAATTCGCCCCGCGGGAGAAGCTGCACCGAGACGTCGAGGAAGCCGGCATCCCGGGCTCCGAGGGTCAGGGCGTCGCGGGTGAAGCCGTGGGTCGGGACGTGGCGGAGAGCAGAGGAGAGGATGGTCGTTTGGGAATTGGAGTATTCGTGGGTCGGGGTGGGGTGGTGGATTGAGTGGTAGGGACGGATGCTAGGGGTCGTGGTGGTGCGGAGGCATGGTTGGTGTTGGATGGAGCGGAGGGTGGTGGTGGTGGTGGGTTTGGTGGTGAGGAGAGATGGAGTTGTACGGATGGATGTGGATGTGGTTGTTCGGGGCGCAGTGGTTGCAAGATACCTCCGGGAGAGGGTGAGAAGGGGTTGTGAGCGAGTCATGCTGGGTGAGTGGTTGTGGTTGCTGTTGGGGAGGATTGAAGGTCGGAGATGGAGACGGAGATGGAAGTTGAATGGATGGCGGAGGATTTTCTAAGCGGTGGCCTGAGCGGAGAGCCAAGAGCTGCTTCTTCTGTTCTGGCGTCGGGATGTCTTTAGGAGTGGTACTTGTTTGGGGTCAATTCTTCGGACTGTATACCAGTTGTTTACGATCAATGATTTATTGTGTTTCATGGATAGAGGGGTCTGCAGTGTCAATTGATGGAAATGATTGGGGCTTGTGGTGGTTCAGATGTCTGGATTCTGTCGGGGGCGCTGAGACAGTGGCTGTCTTTAGTGCTACAGTGGATGGAGTTATGGCTGGGGAATCAGAATGGGGAGTCACAATGAGAGCAACTTTGGGTTTAACAACCTAAGGTGGCTATTGGTTGATTACTGCATAGGTCTAAGTATGATCTAGTTGATAGGTATTTTGGAGTAATCGGGAAGTAAATGAAGGGCTGGAACAACTGCAGTGATGTGGATGCGGTGGTGGTGCCTGTGCCTGTTGATCATGACATTTCAGGCGGATTCCCCGCGATGATAGGCTGTCTGTGTCTGATGTTGATAGCAGCATCCATGGATACCAGCTAGTGACAGTCATTCTTACCAGTTCACTCACAAAAGGAGATCGATGGATGATGATCAATTAATGCCTCATTTACTCCCAACTGCCATCTCGGTCCCTTATGACTTCCCAAGTACCCTTGATTTCCCCTTGATCCTTTTTCATCTCATTCCTTCATTTCCTCTCCGTTTATTCAGTGATCATCCCGACTGCTCGAGCCTCCATCCCTGCCGGCAGGTCGGAGTGAGTTGCTTATCCCCAGCTGCTCCTCAGTTCACACACTCTGGCCCCATCTCCCTCTCTTCCTCCCTCTCCTCACGACTATAACCTACTAGTGTGTTTGTTGCAGCTGGCACTACTTCGTACTAACTAGACTATCCCTTCCTATTCCCCCCCCCCCTCTTCCCCTTCGGATCTCCGATTTGTTCTGATAATTGTCTGCTTGCCTGGAAGGCGATCCAGACTGTCTTCCTGTCCCCCCATTTACCTTTTCTATTATCATCATCATCATCATCATCATCATCATCATCATCATCATCATCATCACTACTACCACTACTCCGTACTACTGCTTGATAACTAACGTATCATTTTCCTTCCACTTCCTCCTCTTTTCTTCATTTTGATCTTCTTACACCATCGAATCCAATATCATCAACATGGGTGGGTGATACTTTTCCTATAATGCAACTTCTCTTGTCCCCATGTCGGTTCCCCGGATTGTTTGTTTGTTCTCTCGTGATCCACCGTCAATGGCTTGTCCCGGTGGACATCCAGCCCACGTTTCCTTCTTGCTTCGATCCATAATCCATACTTGAGGGTGCCTCACATTCTTGTCCCGGTTGGGAATGACTTGTGATTGACTTCAACCCTGATGTGCCTTCCTTTCCCCCCCTCCCTTGTCTAGGCTGCACATACCGTATCTCTGAGCTCCCCTCAGACCCCCTCCCCCCTCACCATCATCATCACACACGGGTTCCCACTCCAGCAGGGACCTCCATCCTCGCTCACGGCGCCGGGCGGATGTGCCGAGTCAGAGCAGTGACCATCCAGCCCGACCATGCATCTCATTCCTCTTGCTGCGACAGCTACGCCAACCACATCCACGCTCAGTGGAGGGTGTCTGCGGATGCCCCCGGGGGGAAGGCCAATCACGCTGCGTGCTGCATGGTGTCCCGAACGGGCTGGCAGACAGACGGACTCGAACTGCTCTGCACTGGACGGATGGGATGGCATGGGATTGGATCTGACTTGACACACACACGGGCTGGAACAAGCACGACGGTGGTCTCTCTCCCTCAGCTGGTTTCTGGCTTTGGACCTTGTCTCATCGTTTCTTTTTCCTTTTCTCTCTTTTCCCCCCTCCCTCTCGCCCATCCCCTTCCCTGGCTGGCTGGCTGCTTCTTACACACACGCGCACACTACTACCACCTTAACTAAGTAGTACTTCCTCACCCTCTCACACACAGCCGCCCACACACACACACACACCACACACTTTCTTCTGTGTCTGACTTGACTTCCCTCCCCCCTCCCGCCGTCACCCTCCTTTATCTCTCGCGTCTCGCCTCCTCTCCATTCTTCTTTCTTCTACCTTAATTCCATCCTCTTTCCCGTTCCCATCCCAATCTTCCCCCTCTTTTTTTCTTTCTTTCGTACTCTGGTAATATCCTTTCTACTGCTTTGTTCCCTCCCGACCGTGGATTCGGTGGCTTACCATCTAGGCTTAATCTTCAGCCGACGTCTATCGACCCTATCAAGTAAGTTTGCTTTCCGATCGGTTGGTGCGCTTGTAGCTCTTCTTGGAGAATGGATGCATCTAGCGCTGTTCTTGATTGTTTTTGGAAAGAAAGGAGCTCTCTTTGTCATTGTTGCAGATAGCTGGATGGGGAAACAGTGGACAAGATCCATCTCAGCTGCAAATAGAGAGAGGGAGAGTGATGGGCGGTGCTCACGGCTCACGTTCGGGAATCCGTCATCCCCACTGTTTGCTGCCACTCCCGCAAGCTATCCACCCTCGTTCTTGATCTTCCACTCCGATCCTCATCTACTATCTGTCTACTTTGCTTGGGTGATTCTTTTAGTTGTTGATTGTTTATTGCCCCCATGGAAGAACTTTCGCTGTGCCCTCACTTGCATCTTGACTCTCTCTTCACTCTTCTCCCTGTCCTCTGCTGGTTCTGCTGGAATGGCTGGTCCGGTTGCCCGTGACTTCCCCAGGGTCCCCCCGGTCTGGCGTTTGGCGCTAAACCCGATTTGACACTCAAATCAGGTGACCGGCCCCGTGTCTGGCGCAGAAACCGGAACTCGGACCCAATCCAATCCAGTCCCGTGCATTCCTGCTCCTGCTCTTCCCTCTCACTGAACTCAACTCACTCTCCGTCCCAATTCACTCCCCCATCTCTCATTGCCATTCCCCATTGCCGATTCCCCCGTTTTCCTTTCCATCCAACCAAGCAGCTCGATTTCCCACCCACCCCCCCCAGTTCCAGGGACCTTGCGCGCTGATCTCATCGAATCCACCATTGTCTCACCACCTCTTTGCCTTTCTTTAAATCTCCACTCCCTCTCTGACATTCCCGCGCGCTCGCTCTCCTCCCGCCTCATGTCTCCGTCTGCCTTCGACGACACTGACCACGCACAGCGCGAGAGGTCTCGTTCTCCCCGTCGTCGTTCTCGTAGCCCTCGACGCAGCCGTCGCTCGTACTCTCCCCGCAGTCGCTCTCGCAGCCGTGACGACTATCGCCGCTCCGACCGTCGTTCTCGTTCGCCTATGAGTACGACCCAAGGCGCTCCCGGTGGTCATTCTGCTTCTGGTTACGGTGGGCGCGGCAGCTACCCACCTCCCCCCCGTTCGTTCGAAGATCGCGCAGTCGCCAAAGAACAAATGATGCAAGCCGTGCGCGAGTCGTCCCAGCAAGACCGTCGCGTCTATGTGGGCAACCTCTCCTACGATGTCAAGTGGCATCATCTGAAAGACTTTATGAGACAGGGTGAGCAGGGTCATATCGTGTTGCCGGGCGTGTGATAGCGTTTGTGCGGGTCTGGAATCTGTGGCTGACTTTGGAGGGGGACGTTCCGCGCTCGAACAGCTGGAGAAGTCATCTTTGCCGATGTCTTACTGCTTCCCAATGGAATGTCGAAGGTGGGCGCCAATGCGTAGTGTGGCTGGTTTCCTTTCCCTTTTTTGTGTTTCTGGATTTTTCTCTCCCCCGTTGGTTCGCTTGTTATGGACTGTTTGGGTTGACGGGCTGGGCCTGGCCGTCCGGGATACTGTAGGGATGCGGGTGAGTCGATTCCGTTGGTCTTTGATCGCCAGTATGTTGTTACTGACGGTGCGCAATAGGATTGTGGAATACGCGACCAGGGAACAAGCGCAAAATGCGGTAAACACCCTCAGCAACCAGAACTTGATGGGAAGACTCGTCTACGTCCGTGAGGTATAATCCACCCTTTTCCCTCCAGGTCACTGAAAACTTGATCGGTTCCTGACCAAAGCGCAGGATCGTGAGCCCGAGCCTCGTTTCACGGGAGGTCCCTCTCGTGGTGACTTCGGAGGTGGTGGTCGCGGCGGCTTCGGCGGCGGCTTCGGCGGGCCTGCCGGCGGCGGCGCTGGTGGCCGTCAGCTTTATGTCTCGAATGTTGGTTTACTCCCATCCATTATTGACATTTTGATATCGTGCTCGACCGGAATTAGGTATTGACGCTGGGGATGTTTAGCTTCCATTCAACGTTGGCTGGCAAGACTTGAAGGATCTTTTCCGCCAAGCTGGTAAGTATGGGACGGCAGAGCCTCTATTCAACCGCCATCTCTGCCTCCTCCCCATCGCAAGCTGTCTTCAGGACTAACATTGACTTCTCATTTAGCTCAGCAGGGTGCTGTGATCCGTGCCGATGTCCACACCGATGCCACTGGCCGTCCCAAGGGCTCTGGTATTGTCGCCTTCGAGTCCCCTGAGGATGCCCGGAATGCCATTCAGCAGTTCAACGGATACGACTGGCAAGGACGCCAGCTGGAGGTTCGTGAGGATCGCTTCGCTGGTGCCGGACCTGGGTTCGGTGGCCGTGGTGGTTTCGGCGGTCGTGGTGGCTTTGGTGGTGGCTTCGGCGGCCGCGGTGGCTTTGGTGGCCGTGGCGGTTTCGGCGGAGGCTTCCGTGGTGGTTATGGCGGTGCTCCTGGCGGTTTCGGCGGTGCTCCTGGTGGTTTCGAGGGCGTGCCCTCTGGACCTCCTAACCCGTTCACCGATTTCGCTACTTCTGGCGGCGACAAGAGCGCTGTCATTTACGTGCGCAACCTGCCTTGGTCGACTTGCAACGAGGATCTGGTGGATCTGTTCTCGACTATTGGCAAAGTCGATCGCGCGGAGATCCAGTACGAACCCAATGGTCGTTCCCGCGGCACTGGTGTGGTTCAGTTCGATAGTGCGGACACTGCGGAGACGGCTATCGGTAGGTCTTGTGATTTAATTAGCAAGGAAGACAGCTACTAACTGCACTACAGCTAAGTTCACCGGCTACCAGTATGGCGGTCGTCCCCTGGGCATTACGTTTGTCAAGTACATGAACGCCGGCCCAGGGCCTGGTGATGCGATGGATGGCACCGAGCCGACTGCTCCGATCACGCAGGATCAGATCATGTAACACTATCATATGATTTGCTTTTTTCTTCGGGAGGACATATCGAGGCCGAAAAAAGTTTGCGATGTAATACTCCGGATCGAGAAAAGGATGATCTGTTGGCGCGGGTTCGCGCATGCTGCATTTTGTTCCATACCAGGCACACCTTATGATTTGTTTTTCTTATTACTATCGGGCATTCTATTGTTGTTTCAATTCTCCGAAGATCTGGTCTGGCGGGGACACATCGGATGTTGTTCAAGCTGAAATTGCAAGCGGATGGCTTCTGGTGGATTTGTTCCTTTGCGTTTGGACGGTTGCCCTAGTGAAATTGCTGCACTGGAGGGTTTGACCCGCTTGATTGATTTGATGAGGTTCTGACTTGTAGACTTGTAATTGGTAGGCTAGCACGGATACCTTATATACCCGACTATACATAGTAGTGACTGTATTGGAGTTATCAGTTATGTTCACATGCTATCTGCAGTGTCTCTTTTGTCTCTTTCTCTAAAGCTTACTTGCTACTATTTCTGAAGATTATACACAACAAGCCATCTACTAAAAACTAGCAAGCTGTTATGCTTACTCAATTCAATCTAGTTTGTCTCCAAGTACTACCCCTGTACCTTGGTACAGGAATTGAAGATATATATTCCTCTAGTACTTTCATCATTTATCTTAGTACTATATTCTCTCCGGGTCAGGACTCGCAATCGGACTCTACCCCATCGTGGCTCGCTCCCGACTCCGACATCATCCATCAGTACGATGATACTGTTTGAATAGCGGTATGCATAGGAGGAGGCTAGGTCAAGGTATGCAGATAGTACGTAAGAAAATGAGATTGATGAGGCGGGATTTGATGCATGCACATGATTGTGGAGGAATAGGGTAAGCGGCAAGCGTCTTCCTTATTAGATTAAATACTAATACTAACTACCTGATTACTAGTTGAATTAGATATATCTTGCAGCTGTATCCTGAGCTTTGGTAAACATCATCAGAGATAACTCAGTCAGCGCTTGCAGGCTTATTTAATTGCTATACCATTCAGTAGCTACATATGTAGAAACACCAAGTTTGTAATAAGTAAACAACATTATTAAGTTGTTGCTTCTTAATACTAGTCTCAATAATGATCAACAGGCAGGTACTAGGCAGATAGACAAGATATGTGGAACTGAGACATCTAATCCCGAAATTTGTTAGATATGCTTCACCATACAAGTCTGATATATTAGCATATTACTGCTATTCTAGCACTGGGACCAATTCGTAGCAAGTTGCGAGTAGCGGGGGAAACACCGGCATGAGAGATTCGGCGTCCGATGCACCACCCGACGCCGCACACTTGTATGTATCCGCAGGGATCCCGGTTTTGAATGTTTTATTAAATGCTTCTGGACGTCGGATGAGTACTAGTATAATAACCATAATCATAACATATAACATATATTGTATAAATATAGAAAGGTACTATTGGAATTCCAATTATATACAAGAAATAATCCCCATAGCACCTCTTTTGTAATGCCATTAATACTACTAACAAAGCTACTGTAGCCTGGCAGTTAGAGATACTAGCGGGGCTAGGCTTAAGCACTAAACTACTTTAAAAAAAAGGCCAAAACATCGAACTTCATGTTCGATATGCCCTAACCACCTGTGGGTGTCTGTATATCATCGGAGATGATATCCGGAGGAACTATGCATATGCCAATGTGACTGGTCGAAGTAAGTCGCCAAGCACTGGGATTAACCACTTGAATGAATAGGGTTGAGGATGAGTTGTCAATCATGTCATTGACACCTGGCTTAGTATCTGTGCATCAGCAGTCTATAGCTAATGGTTATACGGGTGGACTTTCGGAGATACAAGTAGATCAAAGAGATACGAGGTTATATGCCGATGGGCCCCCCATTGGATTTATTCAGCGCACTCTGCCGAAGCCCCATCGATGATATGAACATTCTTGTTTCGGCTTGAGGGTTTCTCTATGCTGTCTATAAGTATTGCTGGAATAGTATTCAGGCTTTTCTTTGAGGGAGGTAATGCAGCTTTCCCAGCGAGTGTGGTTTATACTTAGGTCTGCAATGATTACTCCAGGTCTACACTAAGTATGGTAAGAAAAGCCCGACAATTGACATCACATGGTATTCAGTTGTTAGAGAAAGAAAGCGATCGATGAATGGAAAAGCATGAATGACAAAGCCGATACACAGGCGGTAAAAGTGAAACGTTACAAATAAGAAGAAAGAGAGCAAAAGAAAAATCTCAAGCACAGTAGAATCTATATAGAGCCCCTATATCAATGACAAACACCCTCCGTCTAATCCCAGGCTAACCCCTTCATTCATCTTCAGCCCCTCGCAAGTATGTCCTCCTCAACTTCCGTGGCTTGTCTTCGCCATCGCTACCTTCTTCAACATTCTCCTCTTGGCTAACCTCCTCATTTTCCGCGGTATTGGCGTGACCCTGCGCGACATGGATGGGCCTATCATCGCCAGCAGCAGCCCATAGAGCCCGAGCTTTGGGCCCCTTGGGCGCCGTCAAAACTCTTGCGGTGATGATTTGGAGAGGAGGCCGAGATTGCCAACCATTGGTTGCTACAATGTCATGGTAGCTGTAGTGCGGGCGTGTCACGATTAGAACCCGAGTACCGTGGTGAGGCCTGAAGCCGACGTGAAGGATATGTGGATCCATTTTATTGGAATGACGATCAAATGTCAGAAGCTCAGGCAGTCGTTCGACCACAAGATTGCCAAATAATTCGCCTTGGAGACTGGTGAACTGATGGGCAGCTTCCTCTAGGACTTTGCGAGTTTCTTCTTCGCGTATGGCCTGCTCTTCCTCGCTCAATGAGCCTCGAAACAAGAGCTGGAATGGCTGGCTCGCTAGCAGCTCGTCTCCATAGGCCTTTAGGAGGACCTTGCGGCGTTCCAGTGTTGTATGAAGAAGTGGTGTGGGAGGGGCTTTGTTGTACCCCCATTCTGTGGCGCTGAGCATACATACGCTCACGAGGGTTGATTTCCACCAGGCTGCGTCTTTAGGCAATGCTACAGGAAGAAACCAAAGTCAGCGACATCGGCTCCACAGTTCAGGGAGGAAAGAAAGAGGGAGGGCAGAGAGGTCTAGAAGCTTACTTTCTTTGAACCTCTCATAGACATAGTCGAGTCGTTTACAGAAGTTGTCGTCCCCTTCCTGGTCAGTAGCATCGATTTTGGCATCCACAAACCAGAAGGTAGAGGCGGCAAATTTGTCATGGATAAACTTGTTCATCATGGTTTCCATCAAAACAATCCCAATCTCAGCACGACCGCCAGGGGGGAGAGAGGAATATATACTGTCCCAGTCATCTTTGATGCAGAAACCATCCAAGCTTGCAATGATCATCCGTTTGTCATCATCGGAGAGACGGTACATAGGCTTGTTTTCACCCCATGACATGGTCCAGCCCTGGACCCATAGAGCGAGCAGACCGAAGCCGTCGCGGACCATTTCCGGGCAGGATCGTATATGGGGCCGTGCTAGCATGCCCATCATGAAATGATGTTCCATTATGTCATGATACTCTTCCTGTTGACAGAGATACTCTCCACTGGGGTACACAGCTGCCCCCTTTCCCTTCTCTTCTATGTCCGTGCTAGTGCGCTTGGGCTGCTTTTGCATTTTCCGAGCAGTGACCATTGTGGCAATGGGTCAGGCGACTCAAGTAATTCAAGCAAGTCAAGTACCAAGAAGAGATAGTTGTGGGTTGATCTTGGGGGAGGGGAGGTAGGAAGAATGATTGGGGAAAGGGTGGATAAGGAGAAGGAGAAGGAAGGAAATTGGGAAACTGCAGTAAACTGAGGGAAACTGAGCATCATCAGAGGGAAAAGGTTCGGCCGAAAGTCTATTTCTTCATTCATTCATTCATTCTTTCTTTCCTTTCGTTTTCAAGCTGCTTTGCTGCTTGCTCATTGGCCCTTAGGGCTGCCCGGCTCTTTGTGTGAGGCCAGAGTCTAGCCGCCTGAAGGTCTCGGCCGCGACTAAAGCTCCTTAGATATCATTCCTCACTTAAGTAGCAGATCAGTTAAGACAGGAGATCTACCGGTAACTCGAACAGTTCAACAACATCAGCTACACCGATAGCCGTGTTGAGAATGATATAGGCTTGGTTCGCTTGGAGCGTTGCCCTTGAGAGAGGACTTGTAATCTCCAGTATGTCAGATATGCCGGCCCTGACCACGGCTTTTGCTGTAGTATTCGCTCCTGTAGCACCTTCGTCGGTTGTAGTATCGTCGATGAAAGCTGCTGGAACATGAGAAAACGCACAAAGTTGGGTGGTTCTAATGACTTACTAGACATGCTGTTTAGGTCCGCATAGATATGAAAAGAATGTATTCGGTAGATAACAGAGTATAGTTGGATTTAGATATATGGATAGTAATGTCCTTAATATGCAAAGGGTAACTGAACCACGAGAGACTTAAATGGGCATTTCTACAAGGCTTGAACGGCTCATAACGCTTCATCCCCTCCAATCATCCAGCATGGCCAGACAGCTAGCTCAGGATGCACATACAGGGATATTGGGGCAATAACCTGACACGGAATAGCATGTACAGCATTAATTATGAAGGCTGCCACTCGTAGGGCATTATCGCAGCCCAGCAGTGCACATGCCTTCTGTGTTCTTTGTTAACGCAGCCTAGTATATGATCACCACAGAGAAGTAAAGAAATAGAATCTGCGCGCTTCTCGCCCAGGCTTGGGACGCTGAAAATTATTCTCCTGCCTTTTGCATAAAGCTGCGTATTTCGAATTGTTCACATTACTCCACCAGTCAGGTTACACTATGATAAACCAGTAATACACCCAGAAAGAATATCTCTTTCTGCTCGTCCCAATCCGTAACTGTAGCCTGGTCTCATTTTCTCATGATTCTCTTGTTCTCAATCAGACCTAAATTCGGCTTAGCTGCACCTCAGCCGTCTTATTTGGGCACATCCCCCTTCTACACCGGCCAAGATGCATCTCCTGGCCAAGAGCTAACTTATTCCAAGCGCTTCGTAAAAAGTACGAGTGGATATAGGATGGGGTTCTATGATGATGTTTTTGTAATCTATAGTACAACTTGTAGATTTACTATTACACTGGACCGGATTTCTATAGTAAAGCATCCCGAATGACTGACAGTGCCCGTGCGCCATGTCAGCAGGTTTGATTGTCATCGTTCGCTAAAGCCTTTCGACGTCTCATTGGATAAGAATATGTTTAGGCTGGTATCATACGCCCTCCAAGGTCGTTAAGTCATCCTGCCCGAAATACATTAGGGCTGCCTAAGGTCACTGCCAAGTGTCATGTTTGTCGGACTCTTGTGTCTTCCCCTCCTTCTACAGCCGTGCCCCGACCTCATATCAAGATACATTCACTCAAAGTGTTCATGCCACCAAAGGATTTGATTACAATCCCTCTCTTGTGCTGTGTATCTCTCCACAAGAATAATCTACTAAAATACAGTACGTCATCTAGATTAGATACGCTTCTTGCCTATGCTGACGACACGCTTCGCTCACCTTTAAGAGACGAGAGCTACAGTACTCAAGCTGAGCTTTAAACATATTCAGACCCATTATTCTCTTTCCTGTTATACAACGAGTATTCTGTGCGTCAAACGTCGGCAGCAGATATACTCTTCTGATTGACACATACGTCGTCCATTGATAAAGATCATCACCGATCCATATTTAAAAATGCAAGATTGTGAAGTCTGCCGCTGCAGGTATACTGATATGGCTCTTATTGGCTGGCCTTTTTCCTTGAGAAAGCTTGAAGCTGGATTTTCGAAAGGCTGTGAATGGTGTGATTTCTTTAGGAATTGTGCCAGCCTCTATGAAGATAAATGGGCCCATTTACCGCGAGATAATACCATTCAGGTTTATTATAAAGTGAGCCGGATGATTTTTTCAGACACCCAGGAAGCTGAGCTTTCGTTGAATTGGCCGTCTCCTATCAATACGGCTGAATCTTCAACATATTTCGAGCCTACAAAACCTGTAATTGACAGCATTCGTCTTGAATTTGAAGTTCAAGATTATCTCCGCCATGTCAGTTTCCCTTTCTATGAAAGAGAAGCACTATGCTGATGTACAACAGGTACCCTTATGGTTACCCTTGAAGATAAACCCAAGTGCGAACACTTGGTGCCACGACTCTGCTGCGCCCCAGTGCTTTGCTCTGATAGAATCGTGGATTAAGAGATGCGAAAGCGATCACCCTGAATGCAAAGGCATGCGTGAAGATTCTTTGGTCAACCCTAAGAGGCTTTTACAGATATCCAGTACGCTGGGAGAGTCGTGTGTCCACTTGGTTCAAGTCAGGAAATTCGATTCACCTAGATATACAGCGCTAAGCCATTGTTGGGGAAACACTCTTAGCTTTAAAACAACCAGACAAAATCTTGAGGCACACACAACTGAAGGTATCATGATTTCGAAACTTCCGCGAACCTATCAACATGCAATTGATATATCTAAGAGAATTGGCTGTCAGTATGTCTGGATCGATTCTATCTGCATCGTTCAGGATAGCAAGGAGGAGTGGGAATTAGCTTGTGAGACCATGGGACATATTTACGGTAACGCACATGTTGTGATTGCAGCTACACTTGCGCCAAATGACAGCGCCGGTATATATACGCATAGGGAGAATAAGGTGGCCTATATTGAAAACCGTGGGAAACGAGTTCCTATTCTTGTGAGGGAGAAAATAAGGCATGATGTTTGGCAAAACGATGAACCCTCGTGGCAGGCTTGGAACGACCAGAGTATGCCACTCTTTGGCCGTGCTTGGGCTTTTCAAGAACGCCTTCTCGCTAGAAGAATAATACATTACACCCAAGAGGAGATAGTCTGGGAATGCAGATCCGACTCCTGGTGCGAATGCGGGAGACTGGGCACTGATCGATATCCAAGAGAAAGATTTCCTCAATCGAACAATTTCAAAACGAGATACGCCCAGGTCATAAAGTATGGCAGTGATATGGATCGTTTTGGGTTATGGCTTTCGGTGATCGATCAATACCAAGCACGAGGAATCACACACCCTAAAGATCGCCTCCCTGCACTTTCAGCTATCGCAGAGCAAGTTAACCGGGGTAACCTGATGGGTTCATATGTTGCTGGTATGTGGGTGAATTGGCTAGTGGACTCACTTTTGTGGTGGGCAGATGCAAATAGCTCGAAGGTGGCCAAAAAGGACGAAAGTCACAAGAGGCCCAATCCTTCTAGTGCTCCAACATGGTCGTGGCTTTCCGTGGAGGGGCCTATCAGCACCTGGGAGAGAAATTTTCAATCGGATATCAAATTGGTGAACATCGAATATACGTTAGCCGGTGATAATATATATGGGCCCTATAACACAGCAAAGCTTGAAATTGAGGGCCAGATGATTGGAGTCATGATACGTGCTATGGCCTCCCAGCTATACATCGTTCGGTCATGCCAGAGTCCGGAGAAAGCACGTTTCCTACCTGACACCAACCCTTTCGAAATAAATCCAAACAAGCTCATCGAGACGGAGTTTTACGCTTTGAAGTATAGCAGACTCTCGTCGGTATTGTGGAATTGTCTGATCTTGACAGTAAGTGCCGGAGGAAAGGAGTTTTGGAGGGTTGGAATAGCCGAGGTTGGCCAGGGTTGGTTCTCAAATGTTTCACGGTAAAGAATAACAATAGTATGACCGAGAAAGTAAAGTTATGACTATCTGGTGGAGCAGCAATACCGTTCGATCCGGTTGATTATGCTCAAGGAAGGGACCATGAGTACTCCCTGAAAGTAGTCTAGTCCAACCATCTGGGATCGCCCTTATTCATCCACTATCAGCAGTAAGTCCGCAGTACCTTATGCGCAGCACTACTGATAAGTAGTTAGGCTAATATGTTCTAGCCTGGGAAGCTGATATACAGATTGAGAGGATTGATGGTTCGGGCTGTATACTATTAAAAGGAAGGCGCTACTGCCACACCAGCCAACGCCCGCCGCCTACAGCTTCTAAAACCAGCAGAACTCATACCGCAGTTATCGCCCGAGGCCTATTATTATGCCTGAGGTGACCATTGTTGGCCCTAGGTCGAAGCTAGAATACAATAGCAGGGGGTAGTCAGTAGCGCCTCCCTATTTATCTTCCCAGAGGGCATGTTGTGAATTCAGTTCAGTTCATTCGCAAGCTATATAGATAAATATCCAAAGTCCTGCTCAAAGACAAACGATCCGTGTGTTTGTTTGCATGCTACCATCCGAGGATTCAAACTCCCGACGACCAGACCAGGTTCAAAACAAGCAAAGCAGCAAGCATGCAAAATATCAGACGCAGAAAGAAAGCTTAGATCAACCAGCTGAAGCAGAAATAAGATGAAGAATTGAAGAAGTCCAAATGGTCGGGGAATATTGTACAGAGAACTGAAGAAACCAGGCATCGCAAACGGTGCATAAGTGCAAGAAATAAAGAAAGAAACAAGTCCCCAGCCAGTTATCCAGAATTGTACCAAACGCCTTGATCATCCAGCCGTCCATCCGGTCCGTCCATCCATCGACCGATTACCACCACCTGTCACATTGCAACGCCGATAAAGTGATATGTCAAAAATGTTAGGGGCGCAGCGTAGTAGGCTCATTGCCTGACTTCAGCGTTCCCGGTTTTGGAAGTGAGTGGTCGTCCTTCTGATGTGACAGAAGGTCACCACATCCACATATGCATGCGTGAGAATAATGTACATAGGAAAGGAACAAAGGAAATCAACAAAAGAAAATGGTTAACATAGGAAATCAGCAACAGTGCGCCTCTTGTTGCACGCAAGAGCACGGTTGTTGCTTACGCAGCCATACCGGTGGGAGGATAATGGCCTGGAATCTGCAGTTCAAGCGTCGAAACACTATTCTTAGACTGCGGTGGAGGACGCCTGAGGCTTCCGGTTTGCGAGGCAGCCGCCGGATCAGTTGTGACAGGTCCAGCCAGTGGCGTCCGCAATGAGCCGTCTACCGAAGCCGCCGATTGCTGCTTCGTAATGCCCACACCGTCGCCCACCAGGCCGTCATCTTGAGCGTCGGATTCTTCCCGTTCATCAATCGACGTCGGCACGGTGGTATGAGTGTAGTCGGTTACATTCGTCGTGGTTGGTGCGGTTGATGTGCTCTCGCCGCGCTCCCTCTGGCGGGTCAAAGAAGGGTCGCGAGATTTTGCGGACCCAAGCCCCGCCACATATAAATTGGCGGTACTCCCTCGATCAGATCCGACTCTTTCCCGGTTGTCATTCATGTTCTGGGTGTGTTGGCCAAGCTGTCTCTGTCGACCGCCGTCTGACGTGCCCATCCAGCTGCCATAGTAGCTATCGTGTCTCTCCACTGGAGCTGCTGCTGCAGCGCTGCCCGCACGGTTCTGGCCCATCTCTACATCATTGCTGAAAGAATCCCGACCATCAGGTAAGGAGCCGGCTGCGGCCAGAAGATCTCTCTCGCCAGAGCTCTCTCCACTAGAGGGCGACAGTGGAGCCTCCAAATGGCGGTCTATTTGCACGTCACTGGGGAAACGCCCGCCCGGTTCGCGAGGCTGAGACGTCGGGCGTTCCTGGTGCAAGACTGCTGACTCTGCAGAGTACGGTGTGCGGTCTGCTTCGTCTTCATCCATCCCATCACTGCTGTTCCGCCAACTCATGCCACTCACAGTTCGGATATGCTGCCTCACATATGCATTCCGAGCCTCGCCAGTCTTCGAGATGAGGCTCTCGATGTCTTCATACCAGGCCATCATCGTATCGTGCGATTCCGCACGGAAGACCCAGGAATGACCCCGGTGCATTGTCCCGGTTTGTCGCCCCTTGAGCATGAATTTGTGCGACGTCGAGTCTGGCTGCGAATGCGACCCCAGCTTCTGCTCGGGAAGGTTCAATGACATCACCGGTTGTTGCCATGCGACTCGATCGGCAGATTTAAATTCGTGAAGATGAGTAGGAGACAGAACATACCTGCTTCAAGTCAGCCAAAATATTCTAGGATAAATGGGACCTTCATCCCGAGTGATACTCACCAGCCGGGTGTATAGCTCTTGAGGTACTTGCTTTTGCGCTCCAACATTCCGGATCGGACCTCCACTGCCGCGGGATGATCCCTACCCGGGTATGTGATATTCTCCACATCGCGAAGAGGAACGCGCGGATCGACCAGTTCATCCGTGTTCGCGATGAAAGAGTTCCACTCGTGATCGTGAGGCATGGAGATCGGCCCCGCGCGGAGTTTCTCGACGGTGTCGTATGTCTCGTCTGCCTCACGCTTGAGTATGCTGGCATATGCGTTATATGCTTTCTGAATCTCGCCTACAACGATGGATTCGAGCTCGCGACCAGAATGTTCCAGATTCAAAAAGGCCTAGAAAACGTTAGTACTCTGCCTCTCGCAAATTGGCTAATGAAGCACATACTCGGTGTAGGTAGTTTTCCTCCTCGATTTGCTTCTCAATTTGCCTGTCTACGCCCAGTCGGACAATAAAAGGATCGCCTCTGCCGGAGGTTGCGGAAGGGTCGGTGTCAACCAGACCCAGCGCCTCGTGCAAGTGTCGGACCGTCTTGCGGGTGGCGTCGACTTCCTTTTCCACGGAGTTGCGGAAATCACCAGAGAGACCCCGGATTTCCTTGGTCTTCTTTTGCAGATCGTTTCGCAGGCCCATGAGCTGGTTCACGACTTCGCTTTCCACCTCCGCGGCTTTGTTCGCTTCCAGGTATCCTTGTCGGTGAAAATCACGCAAAATCTCGGTCGCATCGGACAGACCTCCAGACTTGAGGAACGTGGGCGGAAGCGATGTGTTTTGCATAATGTTGGATGCTGACAGGAACAATTTCGATCGGGTTTCGTAGGACTTCTGGACCTCCTTGAAGAAGATAATGAGGTCCTTCAGGACCTTGCGCCATGCTACCTTGAATTAGCATACCAGAGACCCAAGCCAGTGACAACAAGTTGACATACATTGAAAGCGATTTGCAAGGACCTCAGTCGGGCTTCCATTCGTGGGAATAGGAACATAAAAGGCGCTGTTCGGATCTTCGCCATCGGCGCCATACTTCTCTTTGTCGCCCAAAACCAGACTCCGTACGCTACCCGCGCGCAAGCTGCGCTTGCTACCGCTGCGGCGCATACTGCCCCTCTTGCTGAGGGATGCTTTCTTCTTCAATGTACTGGTCCGCGTCGGGGTCGCGGAACGGGTCTGTGACATTTGGGAAGCGGATCGCTGCATGCCGGATGGTCCGTCCACAACAACCGAGTCACGCTGACTGGCGACATCGAATTCCTCGTGGAAGCGGCCGTTAAACGGGTGGGAGGTTGGTGCCTCAGGGTTGGCGCCGTGCGCAAGGTAACCGGAGGTGCTGGCGACGATCGAATTCGGTCGGGAGCTGGAGCGCGTGCTGTAACCGCGATTCAACAGCAGATCGGGGTGGTGTAGGATGGAGCCGTAAGTGTCCTGCACTGGCGTTTGCGACCTAACGGCCATAGCCATGGCTGGACAGGAGGAGGGGAGGGGGAGGGGAGAGGGGGAGGGAGGAAGAGGAGGCGGAGGAGGGCGGTGATGTGACGGACAACGGAGAGGGTGGTAGTAGTAGTAGTGGTAGTAGTAGTTGGGAACAATCGGGCGGTGCAGACCAGGCTAGGCCCGTGTGTCGATATCAAGCGACCGGGTGGTTGCAAGCTTTGGTGCAAGACAGTTCCGGATGCGGGCCGTGATAAGAATATAAGGGTAAGGAATGATAATATATCATGAAACGCGATATAAAAAAAGAAATGAGAATAGGAGGAGAAAAAGGAGAACGATCTGAATCCACCACCCCGGAACGAATCACAACGGATCTAGATTTTGGGGGGGAAGGAGACAAGACAGGATAGTACGGAGAAGATAGTCGAAGTAGTCGTTTTAGTGCTTGGGAGCTTAGGGAAGACCAGCCGTCAAGCAAGTCAGCCGTGGTTACCAGGGCGAACGGGGGGGTTCAAGCAAGTGGAAATTAGCGACCAGCCGGAAGTGTCTCGACTCTGGCCCAAAGGGTCTGGGGCGGACTGTTTGCGGGGGCAAAAGAGCCAGCAACAACTCCTATCCGTCCGGCGCGATGTGGTGCTTGTCGTCGTCGCCTGCAAGTCGGTGCACCAACACAGCAAGTAGTGAGGAAATGGACGGGTTAGCGGGTGAGACTAGTACGATTGCGCTCGCAATAGTCGCCGGAGAAGTCGGTGCAGGAGCAGGAATAATCAGCAGCCGATCAGAACGCGTCTCGGGGGTTATTATTTAGTTTCCCAGGGAGATTGGGCCCCACCGGGTCAAAAGGCGAGGGAAGAGAAATGGATCCAAGAAGTAATAGTAACAAGGGAAGCGGAAGCCAAGTGAGAGTAGTATAATACTACTACTGAGGGAGGTAGGGGCAGGGAGAAGTAAGTGACAAAAGATCCGGCGGCAGGTAGATCGACAATATAGTTAGTAGTGAAGGGATCCAACTCATCCACAAACTCAGGAGAAAGCGCAGGAAATCCTCCGATGCAAGTTCAACTGTTCTTGCTTGTTGCCCGCCGTGATAAAAGGGGGGGGAAATGATGGAAGCTATAATTCAGTGCCGGTTCCGGATGACGTCTACACCGGACAAAAGCACCCAGTTGTTTGGTGAAAGTCTGCGACGGTATGACGCCCAAAGGTTGGAACGGAATCCCCGGGCCCGACTTGACTTCACCAGATCCTGAACTAGAACCAGCCAGACACACACATACACACAAAGAGTCATGCAATCACAGCTGAGATTCGCGAAGTGGATAGTTGTAGATAGTTTGCTTGTGATCGTGGTCGATCGGAATGGTCTCCTTTTCCAGAAAAGGGCCACGAATGATACCGCATTCGTCGCTAATTAGATTGGACTTTCAGAATAGTATAAAAATAACTTCTCCACGGAAATGAAGAGAATAAATATCAATAAAAAAGGATCTGCTCTTAAGGAACACACAGGCAGGCAGACAAGACCAGACACACAGATAGACACTGTTAGTAGTGCTGGGGAATGGAAGTGGGTTAATGCCGTTGCCTGTTCCCTTGTTCAGGAGAGGCGAAGCTGGTAAGTCATCGTCATCACTTCCCCTCCGCCAACATCATCACAGTTCGTATCCAGTTCAAAATGATCATAAGGGTCCCCAGTAGTAAGCGAGTAGTGTTCGACTCGTGAACTATTGTTGAGTTCCTCCCCCGCCAGCGAAATTATTCTGCCTTTCATCCTTGCTGTTTGAGAAGACTGTGAACCTACCGCGTAGCACTACTAACACTCACTGAATGGTAGATTAATTCAAGGCCGGACTGAAGGAGTGGCTTGTTCGGTCTGCACTTACCTCTTCTGGGCAAGCAAGGCTGGTGGGTGTGGCTATGCTTGCATCTGACTGGCTGAATGGGCAAATTGCTTGGCCGGGGATTGTCCGCTGGGCCAATCACTTTCCCCAATACATACTCATCTAAGCGGAATTGGCAGTAATCTCAAAATCAATTCATCCACATAGTTACAAAGTAACATTGTAACCCTCTCCACCAGCCCGCTCATCGGGAGGTTGGCTTTTCTAGCGCCGGCGCGCAATCGTTCTTCATGGCTTCGATGGAGTTCCCCCTTTTCCCTTCCCTAGGTTCCCATCCCCCTCCTGCCTTGCCCCAACACGGTGGCAACTGTCCTTCCTTCCCTCCACTCACGAACTGCACGTAGAGAAAGGGAAAAAGGAGGCTGTCGGGCCGATCGTCGTGGTTCTTGTCTTCCCCTTTTGGGTATCGTCAAGGCAGCAAACCAGAAAGTCCGACAACTTTGACCCCTCGACGTCATGCACGGTTCATCATGTTCATGTCGATCCGGATGGATTTTCCTGGCGATGGAGTTCGACATGGGATTTTCTTTTCTTGTTGCAGTACTTTGTATGGATACACACACCTTGCCTCTGTAACTTGCTTACTTTCCTACTCAGCTGAACTGCTGTGGCTCAGGTATTCATCTTGTAAGCGTCGAACTTAAATCCTTTAAATGTACTTCTAACGCAATCATGAGCCCACCACCGGCATTCTCCATATCAATCTACTTGACGTAGCTCACTACTGTAGAAGTACTAGATTGTGCGAGTGTAATCTGCAGTGATGAGAATAGGGAGTAATAGGGTCGACGGTTGGTCCAGATTTAGTACTTGGCAGTAGTCTACTTCATAAGCCAGCAGCACATACTACGTACTGGGTAAATGTATAATGCATAGCGAGCAACTGATCAGTAATGGCAAACAGACTATTTCTGCCACCTTAGTACTAGTTCTTATCCATCACTTTCTATCAAGCTATCCAATGAACATTCATTGACGGAACATCAAACCATATCCCAGTTGCTGATCCGATGAACTCCGGCTGGTTCAAACCTTCAAAGGGGGATGTTTGGTTCCCTCCCTCCCCGGGGGAGAAGGTGATATCATATTTTCCCCTGCATTTGATTATCGTGCACACCCCTTGTATCAATGTCAATAGATTGACAGACTCACCACTACTCACCCTTTCTCCCCCAGCACCATATCACCAGTCTCATGTCCGCGGCTGTACTGCAGGTTGTCTTTACCTTACTTGGCACTTGTTTGTTGACCTGCCGACCAAACCAAACTTGAAACATCATCTTCCTACATGATATCTATCTACGTAGTGCAGGGAGAGGACAGTGAGAGGTTCACTTCATATTTCGTGTGACAGAACGGCCACATCCTTTTTGGCTGGGATTGGATAAGCCGGCCGCGTGATTGGCTGACAGACTGGCGGGTTCAGCTGCCCTCCCCGCCTTCGCCGCAATCGATCCCAGCAGTCAGCCGGTGTTTGTGCTGCGCTGGTGGTATCAAGTTATCGGCGGTGTCACTGTCACCTGTTTGTGCTGTTCGTCTTACTTACCGATCCCATGGAACCTTTTCCAGGGCAGTGAAGCGTAGGATGAGAAAAAGCAAACTTGCATATCGCCCCTGCGGTGAACAAGTTGTATTAATGATAGTTTGAGTGTTAGCTGAAGTCCTGTCTACTGACCGGGCACCTGAGCTGTCTCTGCTATGCTATGCTACCCCTCGCCTCTTACAGCTTGGCTGCTCTCGGTGAACAGATCACGCATTGATGCTATGTAGAGGTAGCTAAGCGCTATATCTATTTTCGGAAATTGTAGCCGGTCGGTGCCACATGTAGTACTTCTCTTATGATAGAACAGAAAATGAAATCTTCATTGGTGGAGGTGCCATGTCGGCTAGCTGAACGGCATCGACAGAAAATAAGAAAGATGTAGTAGTTTTACACAACGAGACTGAGAATTGAGGGACTGCGCAGGAGAGATATCTAACAAAACCATGTTCATGATGCCGGAGCCGTTGTGGGAACCTCGATACCGTATGCCTCCTTGATTCTCTCCGCCCGTCTCTCGGCGTATCCGGGGCCATAGATACCTGTGTAACCGGGTTAGCAACGTCGTGGGTTCCCTTCCAGCAGACGGAAATCTGCCTCCAGAAGTAAACGTACCTCGTCCCTCGCCCAATTCGGCAAGGGTCTGCTCTGCGGGAATTCTGTATGTCTTCCGGAGCTGCTCCCGACGCTCAAACTCGTCGATATCGGTGTTCTTCTTGTAGCCGAACAACGTTCCACCGGTGTATTCGAAAGCGCCCGTGGCGGTGGCCAGAGCGACGCCGTAGCCCAGGAGGGCGGGGAATGTGCGAGCTGCGGACCTGTCAGAACCAATGCTTGATCAATTGAACGGTCGGATCGCGGGCAACAGACCTCGGAGACCCAGGATGGCGCCGGAGAAGAAACCCCCCAGAGCGACGTTCCAGTGGTCTTCCTTCTCACGAAGGTTGGCGGATGCGGTCTTCACGAATTCGTAGGTACCTCCCATGGCGGCTGGACGCGAAAATCGTTAGCAACCGACTAATTCCAAGACATATTGCCCAGGCGTCCACAATTGCATTCATACCGAAGATACCGACGGTACCACCGCTCCGGATGAACACGCCCAGCGGGCCGACGTTCTGTCTGGTGAGGGTGTTCTGGACGGCCGAGGCGAAAAGACCCGCTCCACCAGTGAGCATAGTGGTCTTCATCGATGCCGCGATCGCATCCTTGGGATGGTAGTGCTCTTCGTGGTGCGGAGCCATGGTGGCGGTTGAGGAGCTGGGGATTAAGCTGTGGCTGGCACTCTCGAATGTCGTCCGAACGGAGATGAGATTCGATGAATTTGGGACCTCGCGCTTTCTGCCCCACCAGACCGCCTTCCCCAGGTTCCCAGCTTTCCCAGTCCGTTTGACCAGAGCATCTGATCTATGCCCAAAACTCTCCATTTTCTCCCTTGGCGTGCGGGCATCGCTCTCTATCACCTCCTGCACGCTCGGTGGTCGTCTTTTGTTGTTTCTTAAGCTGTTCGTGTTGAGAGTGGCAGGTCGTTCGCTGGGAACTTGCCGCCTGCTCTGCCTCACTTGCTGCGGTGACTCCCCGCTGTTGAGACGATCTAACGGTCCAGCTTTCTGTTTCCAATAGAATCGAATGTGTTCAATACGATAACGTGGATCATCCCTGCAAGAGAGTCGCGTCGTTATCCATTGTTTAAATTACAGACTTTATGTGAATAACCTCACAGATAGCTTTAGAGTTCCTTTGCTAAGGTTCGCCGACAACTGTGAGCTCATAAGAGCCTACTCATGTCGTCTCCGCTGAAGCCTGGTATGCATCACAGTCCCCTTGAATCCGGATCACTTTTTCGGAGTCCGGAGTATCTGCAGTGAATGCGCATCTGAACTGATGATGGTTTCTTCGTCTTCTAGGCAAGACTGCCCCACGTCTTGTGCAAGATATCCACGACTATGACCCTGTCCATCCTCCAGGCTCCGGCCGCAACCTGCTGTCGGAGGTCCCCCCGGTCTTCCCCGATCACTATATTGGACCATCAGAATTCATATCGCCTTCAGCATGCCGTCATACTTGTGTGATCAAGTCGAAACAGAGCTTCCTACCAAAACCAGAGCAGAGAAGCAGCTCAGGCAACCCCACCAAAGTATCAGCGATATGCTCCAAGTGCCGATACCATCTACAGCTGGTCGTGACATCGACACCTGGGATCGGCAGCCAGAGTTTGCCGGGACACATACACCATCTGGTTTATAAGTCAGGGAGGCAGAGAGGAGGTGCATCGGCAGAAGAAATCACACCCAAGGGCCAGGTGGCGGAGACATTCCATTATGACTGCTCCTACCTCACTTGTCCAGCGACAGTGTCCGTCAGAATTGTCTCTCCTGTGCTCCATCCAGAATGGGTACAACTCTTGACAGATCCAGAGTTGCTGCAGCAGCGAGCAGATGAGGCGATTCAAACACACCCCGAGCGCCTGGAAGGGATAGCCCGGCCGCAGCCCATCAATGTCTTGGAAAACTTGCACGCATATATCAGCAATGCCTTCAATCCCAGTCAACAGAATAAATCTATATCAGCGATTAACAAGAGGTTCATAACGTGCTTCGGTGTTGAAGGGAAGCCTTGCAAAGACCTGTTAGAATTTTTGGGTTTCTCCGTCAAGGTCTGTACATGTCTGCCGATTGCTGCAATATCATGGCCTAACTCTATATAGAATGAAGGTTTTTGGGAGCCCCCGCGCCCCAACGCCTGGGCGGAAATCCCCTACCAGGATCAACTCAAAATCTTCCTCGATGATGTTCTACATGAGCTTGCTGTACTCATCGAGCAGCGGCCAGTGCTTGAGAAGAAAGGCCATCAGGTGGATTTCTCAAACAAGATAGCAAGGGATGACCTCTTGAATGCTCTGGAAGCATTAGACTGTAGGTCAAATAATCACTCTTTCGGAGGCTGCATGCTTACCAAGCTTCTTTAAGACCAGAAGGCTCTCAATGTCGACACATTTGAAATGCCCCCTGCTCCGTACGTACTATACAAGCTTGACCTATTGACGTGGACTGATGCAGGTGTAGTTACTATGAAGATCTGGGCGTCGTGGAAGATATGTCTGCGCAATTGATTATTGAGGCGTTCAATCGCCAGGTCGCCGTAGACCCTGGTCGCATGCCTACATACCTGAAATGCCTCAAGGCGATAGGTAGCCTTAGAGGGGGCTACGAAGCTGACGCCATTGATCAAGCAGTTCAGGTGGCTTATGCCGACGGCAAGTACACTGATGACGACGTGATCAATGCTTACAAGTACTTCGGTTTAACACACGACGACCCGCGGCTTACTGAGGACAGCATCATTGGGACCTTCCATGCTTACTTGAGCTCCACCACTCAGGAGACAGAATCACGCAGAGAACTGTGGAAGATAGGCGACAGCAGGCGTAGTGAGCGCATTAAGTCAGCGGCTGAAGATAGTGAGATCTCCTTACGACGAGCGTTTGAAGTCCGCAGCTAACAGGGTAAAGGAGTGGCAACTGTTGAGCAAGCCCAAGTTTACCTTGGCGTCAGCGAGGAAACAAGCGACGACTTTATTATGGCCATGTATACAGCTAAGGTACAGCGCTGCCGATTATGAGTTTGTGTAGATGTGCGCTAATGTTCTTTCTAGGTCAACGACACTCCATCAAGCAGGGATCTCGCGCGCCGCGCCGTTGAATTCATTGCGGAGGCGCGGAAATCGGATGCTCTTCGACACTTCGTCAGGACTGGCGAGATGACAGCCGGTGAGATGGATATCGGGGATGCCTACCGGCTTCTTCAAATCCCCGATCGTACGGTTGATGAAGCAGCAATCATGGCAGCTTATACGATTTGCGTCGACGAAGCTCCGGGACAGGCTGAAACGTACAACCAAGCCTTGCGTATAATTGCTAAAGACAAGGATAGCACTCTGCTAAGCAGTATGGTCTCTGGTGATGATACAAAGCCGGACCGTAATATCTCGGAATGGCCTGTTGGATTGCAGAACATCGGCAACACATGCTATCTCAATAGTCTACTACAATTCTATTTCTCTGTGCGCCCGTACAGGGAGATGGTCTTGGATTTTGAGAGCTTCAAGATGGAGTTGACTGATGAGAGCCTGAGCAAGAAACAGGTGGGATCTCGCAAGGTTTCCAAGAAGGAGGTGGAACGTTCACAAAGGTGTAAGTAGCAGTATTTCACTTGATTTACCGCATAACTAACGCTGATTCTATATAGTTCTCAGAGAATTACGGACGCTCTTTTCCGACATGATTACTTCGCCATCCTCTCATGTCACGCCGGGCCGGGAGTTGGCGCGGTTGACATTGATCAGTCCTTCCAACGAAGCAGCGATACGTCGTCGGTCTACAATCTCCGCGTACAGGCCCGCCGGTGCCTTAGGTGAAATCAACGGCATGCCGGTACTAGGACCTCTTGGGCCGCCGCAACCGATTCCGGAGAAGCAAGTAGAGAATGAGACGGAGAACCAGGCGGCTACCGAAAGCGAGGTGATCAAGCGCTCAACAGTTAGCGATGTCGATAGCGAGGCCACACTTGTCTCTGATGGTGTCAAGAATGACATCAAAGCTCCCCCGGTTGACGATAAAGAGAACGAGCCACCGACTGATCTGGACCTGAATGACGTGCAGAATGAGCCAAGTTCTGATTCCGCTGACATAGGGTCCCCCGGCGATACAACACCCATAGACAATGTCGAACCTTCCAATCGACCACCGCCAGTGCCTCCGCGGCCCACCCCGCAAGTTGACCCCCAGAAGCAGCTTATAGAAGAGGTAGAGATCGGAGCGCAGCAGGATGTGACGGAGGTCATCAACAACGTGCTTTTCCAAAGCCAATGTGCGATTCGGCCCATTGCTCATTCTCCGGAAGGTGAGCAAATTGATCAAGTGAAAGAGTAAGTTAGGGGCCTTTTGGGCACGATTATTTCAAGACTGACGCCTTGTCTGTAGTCTTTTTTACGGCCGAACCCGATCTTATATTGCCTCAGAAAAAGGCGTCCGGTCGAAAGAAGAGTGGTGGTGTGACATCAAAATCGATGTTGCAACTGGCCCGCGCGACATTTATGCAGCCATTGACGGTGCCTTTGACGTACAGAAGGTGAATGTGGAGAACTCGGTGGCTGAGCAGTATGGTGCTATCAGCAAGCTCCCGCCAGTGCTTCAGATCCAGGTTCAGCGTGTCCAGTTTGACCCCACGACGAAGCGCTCTTTTAAATCCACTCACCATCTTGGATTGAAGGAGACGATTTATCTCGACCGATACATGGACTCGCAACAACCCCAGTTCCTGGACCGGCGACAGCAGTGCTGGCAATGGAAAAATTCGCTCAGAGAGCTCGAGATGCGCCGCGCGGAGTTACTGCGCCAAGTGGTAGGTTGCGACCGCATCGTTTGTTGTGAGCGCAGACATCTAATTCTCAATCTAGGATTCCGACGGCATGGATACGGCGGGATTACTCAACAGCGCTAAGGAAGTACTCGAAGATTTGGCAGCTATGAGAGAAGAGCCCGATTATGCAGAGGACGCGATTGACTTTGACACGCAAATAATCACCGAGGTTGATCAGCTTTCTCAAATCGCAAAGGCTGACTTGAACTGTACGTCCTCGCGTCCCAAGATTCGGCCTCTGGTACGTGGGCGCTGACCTGAGACAGATGTCGAAAACCAAATCCAGGAGACCCAGGACAAGATCTCCGCTCAGTTCGCCGACTACAAGTACCTCGCCTATCGCCTGTATGCCGTGTTCGTCCACCACGGGTCCGTTTCCTTCGGCCATTACTACATTTACATCTTCGACTTCGAACGGAACGTCTGGAGAAAATACAATGACAACTATGTCACCGAAGTAAACAACCTGGACGAGATCTTCAAGGACGAGGGACAGCCCAACCCGCCCACGCCATACTTCCTGGTATACGTCAACGACGCGATGAAGGATCGGCTCGCCAACCCGGTCTGCAGGGAAATCTTGGAAGCTTCCACGGCGAGTACCAATGAAGATATGGACATGAATCCACCAGCGTACGACGAAATCTGGACGGACCAGAACGGATCAGGTACGGTAGTCGATCACCCCATGACGGAGGCTAAAGACGATGCCAATGCGGGACACGGCAAGACAGCTTGGGGTTGGCCACCGAAGACAAGCACTGACTTAGATCATGTGAGGTGGTAGGCGCAGAGGTCAAGCCGCCGGTCCGAGACTCGACAATGAATCCACTCAAACGCAAGGGCCTGGGCGATGAAGGAGGCTGAATCCATACTAGGTCCGGACTTCTAGGGAACGCCTACTATACAGCTGTAGCGGTAGAACGCAGGATTGGCCATCATGATCGAGCGAAGACTATAGAGTTGGATGATATGAGGCGGGGAAGACTGCGAGAATACGGGCTATTCTTGTGATGATATTGCTGTTCCGTTTGATTTGTGCGGGCGTGTAACTTTTCTGACGATATCCTTTGTGCATGCGCTAGCGGAGATGTTGTCATGATTTCCTGTACATAGCAGGTGATGTCCTCCATCATGATATTTGATGATAATGTACCATGCCATTTGCTGCCGTGCGTCCCTTTCAGATAGAAACAACCCAATCTATCTATCTCTTGTTACAGTGACAGTCAGTTTAGTCATGACATCGGCGGCGGGTCCGAAGCGGGCCGCGGATCGGGATCGGAACGACAGTCGGCAGCACAAGTGGGGGAGGAGCTGCCCTGCAGGCTGGCTGACGGTCGCATGTACATGCATGGGACTGAGGCCATTGCACCAGAAGACCTTCACAGACGCAGGCAAATGAGGTTTACTAGTTCGTAGAGATTAAATATCTACATTCCCATCATTGAGGTGCGCGAAATAGGCTAAGTCAAAGGGTCCAATCTCCTTAGTACAAGTCATGTGTGTTGGCAGCACAAGTGCGGGGAGAATTCCGGGGAAGGCGGCATGGCGGCTGGTGTTCCGCAACTCCGCATGTGGCCGTCCTTATCCATTCCTCATATAACCTGCCCTTCTCCGCTTCCTTCATGTTCCTCTAATACCTTCATTCTTCAGTTTTGTATCTTGGGGGTGATTGTCAGCTCTGGACCCCAACGGCCCTCGCGCAATTTGATCGCCATTGTAACTAATTGAAACTGTATACATATATACATCTACTCGAGGTCCATCATGCCGTCACAAGTGGCGACATGTCTGCGCCTTGCGCGGCAGTTCTCCGCTGATCCTAGCAAGGTAAGGATTCCATATGTCCTGTATTTACATGGGAATGATGGTTCTGACAAACGCACTTGTTCCAGCACCAACGATTTCTCGCACGTGCTTTCTCCAGCAGTATTCGACGACCCGAAATCAACAAGGTTGTCTCCTCCGCAGACCTCGCAATCAAAGACATGAAGTCCAACTCGACACTATTGGCTGGTGGCTTCGGTCTCTCCGGTGTTCCAGACACCCTGATCAGCGCGGTGCGCGCCAATCCCTCCATCACGGGATTGACAGTTGTCAGTAACAACGCCGGTGTGGACGGAGCGGGTCTCGGTCTCCTTCTCCAGTCCAAGCAGATCAAGAAGATGATTGCTAGTTATGTGGGCGAGAACAAGACTTTCGAGCGCATGTACCTGACTGGAGAGATTGAGCTCGAGTTGACCCCCCAGGGTACCTTGGCGGAACGTTGTCGTGCCGGTGGTGCGGGCATCCCGGCTTTCTATACCCCTGCGGCCTGTGGTACCGTTGTGCAGACGGGCGAGTTGCCTCTGAAGCATAACTCTGATGGGACTGTTGCGCTCTACAGTGAGCCCAGGGATGTTAAGGTCTTTGATAAGAAGAGCTACGTCATGGAGGAAGCGATCAAGGGTGACTATGCGTTTGTGAAGGCCTGGAAGGCCGATAAGTTGGGCAACTGCCAGTTCCGCTATGCTGCGGCTAACTTCAATGGTGCCATGGGCCGCAATGCGAAGATGACGATCGTCGAGGCGGAGCACATTGTTGAGCCGGGCGAGATTGAGCCCGCTGCTATTCATCTGCCGGGTATCTATGTCAAGAGGGTGATTCAGAGCACAGCCCCCAAGAACATTGAGAAGTATACTTTCGCCAAGGAAGAGGGCGAGGAGGCAGCTGCCCTAGGTAAGGGTGATACTGCTGCTAAGCGCGAGCGTATCGTTCGTCGTGCGGCGAAGGAGTTCAAGAACGGGATGTATGCGAACTTGGGCATTGGCATGCCCATGCTGGCACCTAACTTTGTCGATCCCTCTGTGGAAGTCATGCTGCAGTCTGAGAACGGCATCCTGGGTCTGGGTCCTTACCCTCAGAAGGGACAGGAGGACGCCGATCTCATCAATGCTGGCAAGGAGACAGTCACGCTGCTGCCTGGAGCTGCTTGCTTCGGTAGTGATGAATCCTTCGGTATGATCCGTTCGGGACGGATCGATCTGACTATTTTGGGCGCGATGCAAGTCAGTGCCCGGGGTGACTTGGCAAACTGTAAGTGGAACTTATACAATGCGTTCTGAAGATTGTCTGGCTGACGAAGTTTGTTAGGGATGCTGCCTGGCAAGATCAAGGGCTTCGGTGGAGCTATGGACCTCGTATCGAACCCCTCCGCCACCAAGGTGGTGGTGACCATGGAGCACACGGATAAGAAGGGCGGCCCTAAGATCGTGAAGCAGTGCGAATTCCCCTTGACCGGAAAGACTTGCGTCAGCCGGATCATCACTGAGCTCTGCGTGTTCGACGTCGACTTCACAAATGGACTGACACTGGTTGAGCTGGCCGATGGAGTCACCGTGGATGAGGTGCGGAGCAAGACGGAGGCACCCTTCAAGGTGGCTGATGATGTCAAGCCGATGCTGTAGATCAGATTGACATGATATTCACTGCAGTTCTGTATAGCCCGGCGTTGTCATTTCGACAACTGACCTGATTTCCCAAACACCATATATGCCACGCCATAACCGAAAATAATGCCATTGAACAGATACCAATTTCTTCACCCAAAGTTACACTATATATACAAGGTCGTAAAGTACAAGCCAAGAACCTGAACCATATTTTTGTAATCCAAAGCTTCTCCCATGCCATCCCATAGTACTAATACAACACCATAAGTAAGGTGGCCACCATCACTCTCCCTTCCTCTCCCCCAAGCGCCCTCTGAATTCCATATACAGCCTATTTCAACCTCAACAACCCACCCAACCTCTTCTTCAACCTCCCCATCCAATCCCTATCCGGCGCCTCATCAAACTCCCGAATCACATTGTCATAATGATCTGGGTTACTCGCTGGTCTGCGCAACCTCGGCGACAGGGGGTACCGTCTCGCGTACCGGTCTTCAAGGAGTGAGGATAGCGCGTTGAGTGATTTCTCGTCAATGTTGACTTTCTGTAATTGGCCTTCTTGTTGGGGCTGTTTCTGGGAGGTTTGTTCGGTGGATGAGGGGAGGAGGCAGGCTTGGAGATAGTTCTGGACGGAGACGGATGAGGGTCGCACTTTATCTGTTGGCCAGTGTTTGAGGAGGGTGGTAATTCGTTGCTGTGGGTGTTTTTGAGTTAGTTGGTGATGCAGAAGAGGTGGGATTGAAGAGAGTTTGGGTTTGGGTGGTGAGGGTGGACGTACTGTGTTGGATGCCATGGTAGGCTATCTGTGGATGAGATTTGTGTGAGCGTAGTGCGAAGGTTAAGAAGGTCGATAAAGAGTAAAGCGTTAAGAGATACTGTTCAAGGTGTCTGTCTAGATTGTAGATGTAGATGCAGCTCGAAAATCAGCGGAACTGCCTGAGGCGGCAAGGCGGTCACGGTCACGGGCGGTAATCCGGACGCGGCAATCCGGCTCAGCCACCGCATGCTGATTGATGCTGCTGCCTTATTGCCTGACCTGGACTTCTCTCCTCTCGTCATCTCCAGCTGATCGTCTCCTTCCCATCTCCTTTGAAACTCCCCCCCTCAAAGTCCCATCCACGTTCTTTGCGCCTCCTTTTATTGTCCCTCCTCTAATATCTACTTCCGACGCCGTTGATTTCTTTTGTTTCGTCCCCACCATCCTTTACTCCGCTCTTTCCCGGTTTCCCGCTCGCTCAGCTCGTCATGAGCTCGCAGCGTTATCAACGGGTATGAGGCACCCACGTTCCTGATAGAAGCCGTCGGGTCGGCATCTGGTTGTCAGAAAAAGAAAGTACTGATACATGGGTCTCTATATAGGTCAACGCCCGCGATGAAGACGACGATGATACCCTCCAGTCACACTCCTCTATCCCTCTCCGACCGACACCTTCCTCCCCGCCTCCCTCATTCCACTCTCGTTCCTCCTCCCCATCATCTAGACGCCTTCTCCACGACGATCCCCAAAGAGACCATGCAGACCAAACCCTGGCAGATGCTTTTGGTGATGGCAGCGACTCCGAGTCCGATGACGAGCCCGACGATCGTCAGCGCTTAATGCGGGCTCAGCCGGATTCCCGCCCGGTGGCGGACACCAGCAGCGCCGCTGCGGCTGCGTCTTCTTCTTCAAGCGGCTCAGAGCAACAGTCTGGCGATTCGCGCATCGGTGGAGGTCTTCCTCGACGGCAAACGATTCTGCCGTCCTTCAGTACCCCCAGCTCGGGAGCGGGCCGGGTGATCAGTTCGTCGAACGATGGTGTCTTTGCTAATCTGGCGGCTAAGCCGGAGCGCGGGGAGAAGAATGAGGATTTACCTCCGGTAGGTTGATTTCTTGGGGGAATTTGCGATGGAATAATGTTTGCTGATTATGTGCTGTTCTATAGTCCTACGAGGAGGCCGCCGCAGATGCTACACCGCCGTATTGGGAAACAACAATTCTCGCACCGGGTATCTCTTCGGACGAAGTGTTTGTGGATGGACTGCCGGTTGGATCGATTTTCTCGTTTGTCTGGAATGCTATGATCTCTATGTCGTTCCAGTTGGTTGGGTTCCTCTTGACCTACTTGCTTCACACAACGCATGCAGCCAAGAACGGCAGCCGGGCTGGTCTCGGTCTCACGCTGGTGCAGTATGGCTTCTACATGAAAGGTGGTAGTGAGTCGAAGGGGTCAGATGAAGGAGGCGCCGATTATGTAACACCACCGGACCCGAACAGCCATAATTTCGATCCGAATAACGTTGATGGTGGTGCGGGTGGTGATGGTGGAGGCGGTGCTGTGTCCTCTATCACCACGAGCGAATGGATTTCATACGTCCTAATGATTGTTGGGTGGTTCATTCTGATTCGAGCTATCAGCGATTTCCTGCGGGCACGCCGTCACGAGCAGCTGGTGTTGCAGAGTCCTGAGCGTGGGCTTAGCGTTCCGGTCATTGCAGAGGGCGAGCGATCGGAGACGGTTGTCTAGGGAATATGGGAATCTTGGTCTGGTCTGGGTACAGTTCACTTGGGAGCATACGGAGTTCATTTTCCTTCCTTTGCACGTTTTCGTTATTCTTATAATCGGCCCTACGATCCAATGGTAGGATGGATGGGAGCCTGCAGAGCATTGGTAGCCTATCGTTTGACCGGGTTCATCTTTCGTTATTTCCTTTTTTTCCACCATTTACACATCGTGGTCGGCTCCAGCTATTGCACGAGTTACCGGACCTGTAGTCTAGAATACCTTGTTATCTTGTTTGCGAGATACCTTTGGCAAGTGAATCCAAGTGGAACATTTCGACTTTGATCCCTTCAATTGCTTGTGTCTGTACGACTTTCCTCGTAGTAGACCGTTTTAAGACATCTGGGCCAATTGGGTGTTGCCTCGTTCCGATTTGCCTTCAGCAGGCAGCCTTATTTTCGGGACCCTTGAATGGAAGCGTCGCCGCTGAAGATCGTCGGCCCTGCGACTGGGGATGTTCCCCGTCGCCCCGGTGTACCTGTTTCGCAATCCTCAGTCTATTGTTCTGCTTGAACTTGCTGCCCGATGCTGATCGTCTTGGCGGTCTCTCCGGTTTCTCCGCGTTGATCTTCTTGTCTTCCGCTCTCCTTCTTCCCCTTCCTTTCTTGTCTTTTCCCCTTGTAAAATCACCAGTGGTTCCATCTCGCTCTTCTTCTCCTCATGCCCATTCTAATTCCGTTCACATTCACCTCCCCGTGACATCTCCCCCCGCCTCTCTCTCTCCATGACCAAGGTTGACGCCGCGGGGGATGGGGATTCCGCCCCGATGGCCGCCTCGCCGCCGAGTCTCCCCAAAGCCCCCGTCGAGGCTCGCTCGCTGTCCTCCATCACCGCAATTGCATCCAATCCCCCAGCCTATCCGCGCAATCCTACCCAGAAGAGGTTGGATCCGTTGGTGCTGTATATCGTGCGAGTCCCAGGCAGTCGAGGTATGTCGTTCACCTGCCATTCCGATCGCTCAGGAATGCCCCGCAGAAGCGGTGGCACCAAACATGCATATGATAGATCAACTGACCCTTGTTTTCTCCCGTCCTTTAGATGTCTTCCTCACCCCCTTGAAACCCGCTACCAAGTCCAGCGTCTCTGCCGAAGCCATTAATTCCTCCCTATACTATTTGCACGTCGCCACCCCAGAGGATGATGTCTTGCTCCAGGAATACGAACAGGAGCGCGAAGAGGAGGCTAGGTTGCGGAAAGAAGCCCTTGGAGACGAGGCGGAGGCTCCTCTGCCTTCGCGCGAGTTTGCGCGACTGAACAATGTCCGGCGCAAGCCTGTTCCTGGCGCGAGCGCGCCCAAGGTCGATGCGACCGCACCTCCTCCTGCGCGCCCTCGCCCGACTTCCTGGCAGTCGCAGGGAGCGTCCTCGCCGTTGAATCCAGACCTGCAGCGCCCTGCCCTGCCTCCGCGTCCGAGTTTCCAGGGCCCTGCTCATGCGAATGAATACAACCCTGTCACCCCGCCTTTCGCGCCGGTCAATCGTGACCCCGTTCTCGAGTCCATGCCGCTGGAAGATCCCATGGCTGCGCGCCCTTCGCGGCCATTGCCTGCTGTTCCGAGAGAAGAGCCCGTGTTAGGACCGCCTCTAGACCCGCTGCCGGCGAAGAGGGCCAACCGATGGAGCACTGCGCTGTCGGGGTACCTGGCAAAGGGCCAGGAAACGTGGAAGGAGAAATATGATGCCATGTCTGGAGGTCGAGCGAGTCTGGATTCAAGACGACCCCCGGTTAGACCGCATTCCGCTCATGGAAGTCCATCGCATTCATTTCTAGGGTCGCCCTCTAGGAGCCCCGCGAGGAGTCCCGCGAGAAGTCCGGGCCAGTCACCTCGCCAGAGGCCGCATGACAGGGTGGTGCCCGAACGTCCGGGCTTTCATATCACTTTGATTCGTCGCGACCCTACGCATGGCAGTCAGTGGAATGTTGCGACCATGTCGACTCCCCGGATGGACGGTGGGCCCATCGACATCGATATCCTCACCCCGGGGTACAATCGATTCACGGCGCAGAACGAACCCCTCTCTCTGGCGAGTCTGGGGATAAATCTCCCAGGCGGACAGTCCATCTCGTTCTCGTCGTCCAAACATCCGTTGGCTGATTTGGCCGATCTTCCACCTCCTACTTCCGTCCCCAATGAGCCATCTCAGCCTCGACGATTCCATCGCAAGCTCTGCGTCTCAAGACCATACTTCCAAGAGGAGCCACGAGGCTCCTTGGACCTTCCGGGTCGTCCCTCCCTGGACAGCACTGCCAGTGGCAGTCCCACGAAACCGCATGCCCCTCCTCACTCCAAGCTGAAGAGCGGTTATTACACCTTCAACTCGCCATGGAATGGCATCTGCACGTTTACAACGAGCGTTAATGGTCGTAGCCTCAAATGCAAACACATGATACCCACCCCTGGCTTCCCCAACGCCAGCAGCCACCATCACCACCCGACTTCCACGCCCGAACCCCCTGCCATCACCGTCGCCGAGATCCGCTTCAACACGCCATTTCGAACCGGCCACCTTCACCAGCCCGTTCCATCGTACGCATCCTATCATCCCACCTCACCCCCAACGGAATCCTACCTCTCCTCCCCACAAACTCCCACCTCCGCAAACCCCTCCTCGAAACGCGACTCTTTCGCCCGCCTCCTCAACCCGAACAAGTATACGCGGCCCCGCGCTCGCTCCGGTGCCAGTATCACCTCAATTGGCGAGAATATCGGCTCTAGCCACCACACACGGAATCCCTCGAATAGCAGCACGAGCAGCGGGGCCGGGGATCTCGAGGAGCGCGAGAAATCGGGACTTCTGCGCCGGCCACCGAGTGAGGACCGTCTGGATCTTTCTCTTGCACGGGAGCGCGCAGGCGGAGGGTTACGGGGGAAGTCTGCGAAATTGGGCAAGTTGATCATTGAAGATGAGGGGATTAAGATGTTGGATTTGGTTGTTGCTGCTTGTATGGCTGTTTATGCAGTGAGTTGTTAGGCATTCTTTTTAGCTACCCATGGCATTGTTCATGTCGTGGTTATTCATTAGAGAGTTGTGGGATATGTTTGGGATCTTGCGATTGTGATATGATATGATATACTATTGATGTTTTGGGCATTTGAGCGATATGCATTTGATGATATGTTATTGCAATTGATATACTTATATACCTTGAAAATGATTAGCTGCTATAGAGCATGTCAACTACCACATACTATAGAATTCTCAGTTCTCATCAGGCAACTCACAGTAACATCATGATACCTAAACCCTAACCCCTGGAACACACCTACCACCTCCCCCAACTAGCTGAAAACAATTCATCCCACTCCCACAGTCCCAATTACTAAAACTTACAAAATAGAATCATCTACACCACTACCTCTCGCAAACCCACTCCCCATCAGGTAACCACATTACTATTAGGTACTACCCCATTCTCCTCAATTCTATATCCTGCCCAACAAAAAACCCCTCACCAGGTACCCGTAACCCTCCAATCAAATTCCACGCAAATAAGCAGAGAAGCTAGCAAGCAAGTCGCAAAATACGAATTCACCCCCATTTCCAATCCACTTCCTCGATACCTACCAATCACACCATCTCCAATAGTGAAACAAGCAAGAGTAAGCAAGGCACAAGAAGTCCGACAAAAAGCAACAAACCCGAATGCCGAGCCCAGCGCCCCCCCTGAATCGGTGAGTGAAGCAGTCAATCACGATAGAGTATTAGATATCCATTTCGGACTGCATGTCCTGTCTAGGTAAGTATGTACGGAGTATACTCCATATTAGTTCGTATATAGACTAGGACGATGGATGGATGTTCAGCTGATGAGCACATGGGATGGATAGCATGATGTGAGTGAGATGAGAGGGTGTAGATCCACCCACTTATTTCCATCTCATATGCAGGTTGAGTAAGTACTTACTACTTTAGTTGTCTTTTTCGGCCAGTTAGATGCTTTGGAATTCTGGATGACCGTACAGGAGGGGGTTTCGGGTGGTATGTTATTGGCAGGGGAGGTCATATGCTGGGTACTTAGGGGATGAGGGGATGGATGGAGGTTAGGTACATATGTACGAGTATGGAGTACTTGGGATGGGTGGTGATCACCGGGTGTAGTGGGGTTTGTTGGGTTGGGTTCAGCTTGTCTTTTGTGAGTCATGGTGGTTAGGTTGGTTCTAGTGTAGACTTTTGGGATGATTTGTGGGGAGTAGGTTGTAGGTAAGTCATCTTTATTCTTGTAGCTAGCTATAAGTGAAAAGGTATAGTATACAAGGCATATCTATGGATTGTGCATAGCACATTAAATCTATGTATATGATATACTCTACTCAATATAGTAGCAAACAAAGCATTAGCATCCAGCCTAACAATAAATCACTAATGATTAGCGTCAACCACATGCAAATAATGCCCCCTATGACATAATAAAATCCATAGTCGCGCATCCCACGAGACACTAAAAAACTAAAAATCAAGGGTTAGCGCGCCAGTGAGAAAAATCCTCGGTCATGGCGAATAATAAATATTTCTGATGAAAAGGGTAGGATGGTCCGATAATCATTACGGCTTGGCGTGTATTGGAGAGTTTAGTTACGGTATTGTTTGGGAATTACTTGTTTTGTTTACAGCATGGTGAACTGGTTAGATACGTACGTATGTTTGGGAGTATGATCGGAAGTATTTGGGTCTCCATTTTTTGCAAATGAGATGGAAGTATGCTTTGTTTTTGACGGTAGGGTAGCTGCAGATATCTCCAAGGATTACATGGGACTCTCTGTATACCTATTCGAAACAGGTGCTGGTGATATGGCGGGCATCTCCGTGTGTGATTCATATTTAGATATCTTTGTGTATGTGTACAGGAAGTATAGTGATCAAGCTACATAGATCACAATATGCTTTTGTTAGTTATCATAAACCGACAGAATAACAGTGATATTCTAATGTAGTATCACTTGAGGGGAATTCAACTCAAGATGAAGATAGATTAGATGCTCAGTTGCATCTCATGATTAGATTAGATCCAAACCCAGCTCTATCTTGCGAGCCCACTCCCTGCTAAACTCCGCAGCATGGAGTTAATTCGGCTAAAACCTCGTGCAGTTGCAGTATGCACTATGCAGTACGCACAGCTTGCCTAGTCTAGGCCGAATTAATATCCATGGCATGGCTGGCATGGCATGGCATGAGCATTTAAGTGGATCTCATGTCCCGCTCATTACAAATCCACTCTGGATGAAAAATCACTTCGCACACTGATAATGTCCTGCGCATTACAGCTTTGCGTAGCATAACATCTAATCAAAAGAACTTATAGACACCGTCCAGTGACTCCAACTTCAAGTAGGAATTCCATTTCATTATTTACAACATTGCCAATCCAGGACTCGTGCAAGATAGGAACCAGAGTGGGTAAATCCTCCCCCGAAACCGGCCTTTTTTCTGCAGCTCGTAAATGAGCAGTGGAGACCACAAACAACAAATTAATTGTGCTCGTGTTTGTGTGTGTGCGCCAAGACAGATAATATTCGTGATTGGGAAAAGGTGTGGTGGGGCAGACTGGAACCGAAGAGTAGGACGCGTCGCCGTTTTCTTCACTTTTTCTTTTTTCATCTGATTAGATGATGCGATTATCTAATCTGATTCTTCTTCCGTCTTTCTCAATCTACGGTATCTGACTATTAGTTGGTTGGGGTTGTTCTGCATAGGGATTTAGGTTTTAAGTAGAGTTTGTGTGGATGGTGGGGGTTGTATTTTTCCGCTTTTTGTGTTTTCTATGCGTGTCAGTTGGATGCATATTTGATCTGCTGCAGGTCAGCTCCTGTTTCTGCTCCTGTTCCTGTTGATCTTTTCAGGGTATCTGTAGATAGTAGAAAGCCGTAACTGTAAACTGTCTATAACTGTGAATCATTCAGGGTATTCAATCAATCTATATACAAAGTATTCAGCTTAAGCAAGAAAATATAATCATCGCTAGTTACCACCCCTCCTCTCCAACACTCCCGCCGCAATCTTCCGCAAATCCACCTTTCGCACCTTTCCACTCCCCGTCACCGGCACTGTGCGATCCACGCCCTCCTCCCCAAACACAAACACATACTGCGGCGCCTTATGCCGACCCAGCGTCTCTCGTGTCCAATTCCGCAGTTCCTCCACGGATGGCTTTTTATCCTCGTATCCTGCCGCCACGGCAATGAACGCACCCACTACTTCGCCGTATTTGGCGTCGGGGATGCCGATCACCGATGCAACTTCGATGGCTGGGTGAGCTGCCAAGCGTTCTTCGATTTCTAATGGATAGATGTTTTCTCCACCTGGGTTTATGTGTATCATGGTTAGTATACGGGTGGTATGTATGTATGATATGGTGGGTTTGCAAATATGATGCAAAGTGAATGCCAAAGTTTGTAAATAAAGGTAGGACTCACCTCGGATGATTATATCCTTAAATCGGCCCGTGATTGAGCAACGCCCCTCCGGCGTGAAGATCGCCTCGTCTCCGGTCTTCAACCACGTGGTGCCATCTGCATCTGTGACTAGCGTCTCCGCTGTTTTCTCCGGGTTGTTCCAGTATCCCTTCGTCAGTTGGTAGCCCGCGATGCAGAGCTCTCCGCGCTCGCCTACGGGCACAATGTTGCCTTGTGTGTCAATGATCTTGGCTCGCGCGTGCGGCATCACCTTGCCGACGGTTGTGAGGCGTGTCTCGATGGTGTCGGTCGTGACGGCGTTGAAGCAGGTGGGAGAGGCTTCGGTCAGGCCTAGATGGTGTTAGCGGGCGCCGATAACAACAGAAGATGAAAAAGGGAAAACGCACCATAACTACTGGTGTATTGTGTCATGTTGAGCTCTTCGAAGAGACGCTTCATCAATGGGCGAGGAACCGGTGCGCCGGCGATAATACCCGTGCGGAGGTTGCTTGTGTCAAAGTTGGGTGGCTTGGGGAGACTCAGGATCGCTTCGAACATTGTGGGAACACCGTGCAGTGCGGTGCATTTCTCGTCGGATATGGCGTGAAGAACGGCCTTGGGGTCGAATGTCTCGCTGGGGAAGACGATCTTCGAGCCGTGAGTGACTACCGCGAGCATACCCAGAACCAGACCGAAGCAGTGGAAGAGGGGCGGAGGGCAGCACAGAATGTCGAAGGAGGTAAGGTCCATGCGGTCGCCAATAAATCGAGAGTTGTTAACCAGGTTGCTAGACAAGTTAGCTCATATGCGACAGAGTCAAGTAACATGGACATACTGATGGGTTAGCATGGCGGCCTTGGGGTTGCCGGTCGATCCGCTTGTGAATTGAAGGTTGCACACATCGTCTGGTCGCAATTCGGCTTCGCGATCCGGCAAAGCAGAGTTAGGAAGTTTCTCGCCCCGCTGAATGACATCGTTGTAGGTGCTGAAGTTCTGGTATTCTCCGCGCAGAATGACGATCTCCTCCAGCGCGGCCGATTTGCCGTTCTGCTTCGGCTGTGGGCCCAGTTCGGCCAGCACGTCTTCCAGAGCGTGACGCCCAATGCGAGGAGTCATGAATACCACGCGACAGTCTAGAATCATGTGAATCAGCATTACCTTACTGGATGTGCGCGATAAGCTCTACTAACCGGTGTGGTCCAGCGCATAGTAGAGCTCTCTGGGGGTATAAGTGTTGTTCAGAACCACCAGGATGGCTCCCACTCGGGCCGCGGCAAAGAAAACAGAGATATATTGCTCGCAGTTACCAGCCATAACGCCAATGCGATCGCCTTTCTTGATGCCCATGGCCAGAAGACCGCGAGCCAGCCGGTTGGCCTCCGCATTCAGGTCAGAGTAGGTCCAGCGGGTTCCCGTCCAGGGGAAGACCAGACACTCATAATCCCCATACTGAAGGCTCTGCAGAGTCAAAAGCTCACCCAGAGTGATGTCCAGGAGAGCCGGCTCGGTCGGACCATGGACAATTGAGAGTTTCTGGGTGGGTTTAGGCGGTTGAAAGTGGGAAAGGGTTTGCTGAAGACGCCGGACAGTCGCCATGATGGATATTTTTGCCGGGGGAGGGGAGAGAGAGACAGGGCAAAACTCGTGGGATCTTATCAGATCGGGGCATCTCGTCCCAGACTTATATTATCTGCCTCTGGCATACCTCGGTACCCGCTCCTACGCGACTCCAGGCCTTTTCTTGCCTGCGACTAGTCTGCAACAGGATGAATCCGTCTTCCTGTGGTTCCGAAACTTGGCCGTTTCGGCTGTCGGTACCCAATAGGGCAACTTTTACTCTAAAGCTGGCGGGTGTCATCTCCACTCCTGGACCCAGTCAGAAAATTTGCCATTGAGATATTTATTTGCAGGGTGTGACAACGACCAGTGCGTGCATTGGAGGGGGGTGGAAGTGCCGGGAATCCTGCCATTTTACAAACCCGATTTTACCGGCCAAGGAGTCCTGAGCGGTGCAGAAACTAATTAATAGCTTTGCCGTAGCGTCGCTTAAGGCCGCCGCTGATGCCATCGCTTCCGTGTTCTGGCGTGTGCTGGAAACGAGGCCCGGATCAGATAACGCGGGTGGATTCTAACCGGGGACTGCAAAACTCTGTTCAGGGCTTTGCTTTCCACCCGTTCCACCCTCTCCCCTTTAGCATTGTTTGTCCTTTCCCCCAGCACGTTGTCCAACTTAGTCCTGCTAATTCCATGCGAACTTGGCAACCTGCTGATGACCCCTCGCTCATACAACCAGATTTGCATTTAGTAACACTATCAAGAGTGTCCCTTACATCCCCAGACCAGCCATCGTTAAGCTGCAAGTGCATCTTGCTTGGAAAGGCTTTATGGTTGTATTCTGGCTCGAAGCCTAGGTAGTAATTCTATAGCGCAATATAATCTCCTACTGCAAGGGAGATGACAGGAGCGCTGTTAGGCACCGACGCCTCGCTAGACGTCAATGCTAGTGCGACTCATACCTTCATTTACCTTGCATCATAAAGGAGAATTAAGCGCGGAACTGACACCATTATCAATTTTTACCACTATACTTGTTTTTCCAACAGTTTGTACTGTTCTCTGCCTGACTACGCAAATTAATCGAGCATTAATGCCAACTGTTCATCCCGAGGACAGTACGGTGGGCATGTCGAGAATTGTTCGTGCCTGAGTCATGTCCCCGATACGGGCCTAACACTGATTCATCTATCCATCCGAGCGTAGACGACGGGAACCTATAACAGCCTGCATTATGCAGATAAAAACGTTCCCATTGAACTGCACTCCGCTTCCAGCATCTAGCAGATAAATTGAAGGCATGCCCGACCATCACTTTTGATTATTCTACCATTACTTAGATACTGTCTACTTTTGAAGACAATGAGTGGCTTTGGAAGAAAACAGGAACCCAAAGACTGCATTGCTACGCAAAACCCTGAGCTGTACCGGGATGCGTCTATCGGCAACATCCGATCTTCCTACCTAGCACGAACAACAGCAACATTATGGAGCTGAACTAGCGGAGTACTTCCGCTCCCATGTGTCTCTCGGAATCGGTTTTCATTACTTCAAGGCGGAAGGATCGCCTGGACCCTGAATCATCACCGCTAGCTCTTAATCTGGTCTCAGTCTCTGACATTTTATTACCTTATCATCAAGCCCCGAAGGCCCCAGTGAGCAGGCAGAAGAAATCTCCCATGGCACCACTATATGGAGAGCCGGATGCCTTCCAATACCCACCGCGGATCAGATAATATCCCTCACATCCAAAGTACGTACACCTACTTTCAGCTTATCGAGCAGTTGGAGTCATCAGAGTGGATCCGCACCAAGGAAGCGAAGAGCTATGTATGCAGCATGAGGGGAGCTCCTACAGCATAAGGGAAGCCATCTAGGTACGTACTCAATCGGCGAGGGGCCGAGGTCCTAGGCCACCTGGTCATCGGCATTAGACGTGGCAGGCGCATAAATCGACATGGGCTAGAACCAAGACGCGCTGATCAAAAGTCGCCAATCATCAGCCCAAAGTAGCAATGTCGGCTGTAGCCGTACAGAGATCTATGCAGGCTGCTCCGGGCAAGGATCTTCTGTGTTGCATCGACCCCTGTTTTGCAAAACAGAAAACCTGGGCCGGTCTGGGTCGGTTCGTTACAGTGGTGTATTGGATACGAACCGGACCGGTCATGACGGTACCAATCTAATCAGATCATCAGATGATCTAATCAGATAATCCCTGTCCGAAAGTCGGAGAAATGGCCGGACCGGCGGCAACCCCCACTGGGCGCCAAATCAGAAGGTCCGATGCGCGTGTGGTCTTCCGCGCGCACCGCCCGAGCCAGGATCAGGCTGGGATCCCGCCCGGCCACTCTCCTGCACATCCCAATACCGCCCACGGTTCGACCGCCAAAGCCTTGAAGCCTTGAATCTTGTACCCCCCCACTTGCTTACACCCGTTGCCCAATGGCCGCGCGTGGTACATACCCCCCGGGCCCACTGCCAATGACGATGAATGGTTTGCGACCTGCACAGTTCCTGCGTTGAAAAAGTGTCTCTGTGCGACACTCATAATTGAGCTGATTTCCTTTATGATCCCGTCGGTGACCGCAGTCGCTCATTGTTTGGAGCAGTCAACATTTTGGAGTCCTGTGGTCGAATAAGACGAGCTTGCTGCTCCCCCTTCGCAGGTGCGTGACGACCCCGCTCGTGATACACTTAAAGCAATGACAGTCACATTCCCGCCCACTGAGGGGTATGAGTGCTCGTCCAATTCCGCGAGCAAGTCTTCCCTCCCCAACTTGAATGGCATTCACCCAACTATGGCTGCTCCAGTCGTCCCTGTCACCAGAGTTCCTGCCCTGGACACGCTCGATCAATATGTTGTGGGAAAAGCCGCGGCCGATAAGGCGGCGATCAGCCCATCCGTCGAGCTTACCTGCAGCTCCGACTACTGCGACATCGCAAATAGCCTGATCGAAGGCTACGCCCGTTTTATCTCTCGTCTAACTGGTTTGGAGGATGTCGCCTTCTTCGTGTCGCGTCAGTCAAGCATCGCCAGCGAGTCCGATCTGTTGCGCGGGGTCGTTTCGGCTTCCGTGCTGGCCGCGGAGGAGGGGCAACAACCACGTTGCGTTTTCCGCGAAGACAGTGAACAACACGCAGATGAGGGAGAGGTACAGTTTTCTCTGGACTTGGGCTTGTATGTCGGTCCTGAAAATGGCGAGCAACAACCCCTTGTTGGAGTTCGAGACAGTGTAAGTGTTCTGCCCGCGCAGGAACGCGGAGGCTGCCCAATCTGACTAACGTGCTGCTGCTAGGCCTTCACGACATTCATTCGACCTACCACCACGAAAGATACCCTCGAAATCAGTTTTGCCTATCCGACACGCCTTATACCTGAGCCGGCAGTGGATCAGCTACTAAGAATTCTTGCCACACAACTGGCAGACTCAACCACTTTCCTTACCTTCGACGCTCCGTCGCCCAATCCTTCAGTCTTGAATTTTCCTCCCCTTATGATACCCCCTTTGCGAGAGACGGACCAAGTTGATTTTCCCGAGTCTGGCCATTCCAAACAATATCTTCTCCATGTCGCTTTCGAGGGCTGGGCCCGTCGAAAACCTGATGCCATAGCGCTGGATTTTGTTCATTCTTTGCCTTCTGCCACGGCTGCGGCAGAACACAGCCTTCTTACTTATGCCGCACTTAATCAAGCAGCCACTATCCTCGCTGTACATATTCGAGCCCTTTTATTGGCGAAGAATGCCGCCGACTATGGACGCATCATCCCTGTTTACATGCCATCATGTCCGGAACTTTACATTACATATCTCGCCGTTCTCAAGGCTGGTTTCGCTTTCTCTCCGATACCCCAGGATGCACCGGTACAACGGGTTCGTGATGTCCTAGAAGACATCGACTGTCCGATTATACTTGGCAATACTCCAGAGCCCGTCTCTGGGCCATGGTGCGATGCTAGCGCCGGTTCAACCATCAAGCAGGTTTGGGTTGACGTAGCGGAGGCCTCAAGATGGAAGAGCTTGCGTGATGGTCAGTCCGAGTCCTCGGACCACGGCGAGCCTCTGGAACAGTTAGACATCGAGCATGACCAAACTGCGTACCTCCTATTCACCAGCGGCTCTACTGGAAAGCCGAAGGGTGTTCAGATCAGTCACCTAGCTGCCGCCTGCTCCATTGAAGCTCATGCTACAGAAGTTCCTATTCCGGGAGAAGAAATTGACGATTTCCGCTGGTTTCAATTCTGTGCTCCAACCTTTGACCCTTCCCTAGCGGAGATATTTGTAACCTTGGGTTGCGGTGCCACTCTCTGCTCGGCCGACCGCAGCTTGACGCTAACCGACCTGGAAGCGACCATCAACGAAGCTAGAGCAACTGTGATGATGGCTACGCCTAGCTTGGCTGCCCTTCTTCGGCCGGAACGGCTAACCACGCTCCAATACCTCTGGTGTATCGGTGAAAAGCTCAATAGAACCGTCATCGAAAACTTCTCCGCAAAACCTGGTACAAATGGAGGAATTACTGTATCCGAGCCCTCGCGGATGTTGGTCAATACCTACGGTCCGACTGAAGCAACGATCGCCTGTACTTACCTGGCACCATTTGGCCATTCCCTCCGCTGCTCCATCATTGGCCAAGCGCTAGCAACCTGTTCAATGTTTGTTCTCGACCCCAACAGCCGTGAGCCTCGAGCGGTTCCTGCTGGTCTTGCCGGTGAACTAGCAATTGGTGGCCCGCAGCTCAGCAAAGGTTATCTCAACCGTCCGGTAGAAACCGCAAAGGCGTTCGTTGATAGTGGCGAGTTTGGTCGCTTGTACCGGACTGGTGACATGGCACGGATGGTCTGGGACGAGTCTGGTTCCCAGATCATTGAATTCCTTGGTCGTATCACGTCTGACCAAGTCAAAATTAGCGGTCGGCGACTCGAACTAGGCGAGATCGAATCAGTCCTCGAGACTGTACGCGGTGCCAACGAGGTTGTAGCCGTGGTATCCAAACGCGATGCTAATGTCCAGGGAAGTGAACAGATCGTCGCATGCCTCGTTGCAAATGGCAGCAGTGAAGCGGAGAGAGAGGATATTATCCGGGAGGCACATCAGAATTCCGAGAAACATCTCTCTTCTTACATGTGTCCGTCTGCTTACGTTTTTCTCGATGCTCTCCCTCGGTCCAGTGCCGGGAAAGTCGATCGCAAAGCGGTAACTGCAAGGCTGCAGCAGGGATCCGGGGGCGATATCAGACTATATCCTGCACCCAAATTGAAGCCTGCGGAAACGAATGGGGTTCATGATGACTGGAATTTCCTTATTGATGAAGACCCGCTGTCCATTCAGCAGCTTATAGTTGGCCTCATTGCAGAGGCAACGGATGAGAGTGTTTCTGCCATCAAGCCTGGGACCGACCTGTATTCACTGGGTATCGATAGTCTGGGTGCAATGCGGCTTCTGCAGAAGCTTAGGGACCATTCTATAGAAGGTTTATCGGTTGGTGACGTTCTACAGTCTGGAACCCCCAAAGCATTGGTCAACGCCGTCGCTCAGCAACGTCAATCAAACGGTATCCCCCAGGTCAATGGCTCGGATGAGACCCTCCAACACAGTCTTTCAGCCTTTCAAGATCGGAATCACACAATTTGCGCTGAGAGACTGGGCATGACTCCTGAGAAGATCCAAAAGGTGCTTCCAACAACCGCGACACAGTCTGGCATATTGACTAGTTTCCTGCGCAGCTCATCTGACGCAGCCTTTGCGACTCGCTCATACATCTATCATTCTGTTTTACCACTCGAACCGGGAGTGGACATAGATCGTATCAAAGCTGCGTGGGAAACCGTCATTGCAAGCTACGACTCCTTCCGGACAGTTTTCTGCTGGCTTGATGACGATATGGCACCATTTGCTCAGTGCATCCTCGCTCCCACAGCAGTCTCAGGGACGAGGTGGAATACCTATCATTCCACGAAGCAGTCTTCAGACGAAAACGTGTTGCAGCAGGCCCTCCAAGAAGCAGAGGAGTCAATTGAGCTAGGCACACCACCTTGGAGGTTATCTCTGGTAACATCTCCGGCATCTACTCGAATAATCTTGAGCATGTTTCATGGTATATTCGATGGCGGATCATTACAGCTCTTGCTCGAGGACGTGTCTTCCGTGTACTCAGGGAACATGCCAGCACAGCGCGTTTCTCTCGAGCATCTTGTGAAGCATCATTTCCAGGCTGACCATGCAGCAACCGCCAAATTCTGGGGGCAGCATCTGGAAAGCTATTCTCCTGTCTGGTTCCCATCTGTCACGCCTTACCGTACCCCGCCAACAAAGAAAACTGGATGTGTGGAAATCACGGCTCGCACAAGCTACGACCGCTTGAAACGAGAGTCTAAGCTCATCGGCTCAACACCGCTTTCAGTGCTCCAAGCTGCTTGGGGGTCGGTCCTCCTGGCTTACACTGGAACTCCAGCTCAGGACGTAGTTATGGGCAGTGTCGTATCTGGTAGGCTTGACGTGGACTCAGAAGCCTGCGTTGGTCCGACATTTACCACTGTCCCGATCAGGCTTTCCCTGAGCCAAATCCAACAAGACTCCCAGAAGTCGTGGACAAACCGCTCGGTCGCGCGCCATCTGACAACTTTTAATGCACAGACACTATCTCACCTACAACCTCGGCTAGGATCGCTAGTAACGGCGGATGGCCGGCTTCCATACGATACCCTCATCGCCTACCAAGACTTCAACGCTGGCTCCAGTGTTAGTGGTCTCTGGAGCTCAGTCGACCATCCGGCCATGGCGAACGATTTTGCTGTTATGATCGAGATATGGCCCGCTGCTAATTCATCTCTGACATTCCGGGCTAGTTTCAACGACGCTCTGCTTGATCGTAACTCCGCCGAAATGATGCTCTGGCAGATGTCTGACATTGTCGCTTACATACTAGAGCAGCCCGATGAGAGCTTCCAAGATGCCCCATCTCATACGGAGACTGGGCTAAAGTCGAGCTTCAACTCCAAGCCGTCTATCGCTCCCGAAGTACTAGACGGTGCACTTCTTCATTCCCAGTTCGAGGAGCATGCAGCGTCCCATCCAGAAGATCCTGCCTTGATCTTCAAGTACGACTTAGATGACGAGAGCAACCCACGAAATATCACGTGGTCCTACGCCGGGCTCAACGCTTTGGCCGACAAACTCGCAGAGCATCTGCTTCAAACTGGCGCACGAGTGGCAAACTCGCCGATACCTATTTGTATCGAGAAGAGCCCGGCCTTGTATGTTGCCATTCTTGGCATTCTCAAAGCTGGCGGTGCTTGGTGCCCGATTGATACGCTCTCTCCTACACAACGTCGCCACGACCTCATTGCACGGACCGGTTCAACAATCCTTCTGGTCTCTAGTGTAGATGGAGAGCAGCCAGATGGTTCAATTCCCATTGGTGTCGAGACAATTGACGTTGGCAAATTCACCATCGACGAACCCATCTATGCGAACGGAGTGGTACGGCGCGCGTCTAGGGACCGGGCTACTCCTGATGGCATGGCGTATCTCATCTGGACGAGCGGTACAACAGGAGCACCGAAAGGTGTCCCGATCAAGCATTCTTCGGCTGTCTCGAGTATGAGATCACTTCAGAAGGATATCCCTACTGATGTAGCTGGCGGGGTACGTTGCTTGCAGTTTTCACAGTACACCTTCGACGTTTCGATCCAGGACATCTTCTACACCTGGGGTGTGGGGGGCGTTCTTATCTCTGCATCGAGAGAGATCATGCTTGGTTCGTTCTCAAAGCTTGCGAACACCACGAATGCCACACACGCACACCTGACTCCAGCCTTCTCGGCAGGTGTCTCCCGCAAATCATGCCCGACACTTCAAGTAATCACTATGATCGGTGAGAAGCTGACGCAACCTGTGGCCGATGACTGGGGTACCGATATGAGAGCATTCAATACTTACGGGCCCGCCGAAGTGACAGTGGTTTCCACGATCAGGGAGTTTGGTAACGAACACAAAAACATCAAGAGCGCGAACATTGGCTGGCCGATGGATACTGTGTCTGTGTTTGTAACAAACAAGCAGCGGCTCATCATGAAGAATGCTATAGGCGAGCTGGCGCTGGGCGGACCACAACTTTCTCCTGGTTATCTGAATCAAGAGGATGTCACCAAGGCCAAGTATGTCTGGAACGAAGAGGTTGGTCAGATGGTGTACTATACTGGAGATTTGGTTCGCATGCTTGCTGACGGATCCCTGGAGTACATCAATCGTGTTGATGACTTGGTCAAACTGGGAGGTATCAGAGTGGAGCTGAGCGAGATCAGCTTCTCGCTCGGCGAGTGCCATCCTCTGGTTGAGAATATTGAGACGCTTATTCTCAACCGCCCAGACCGGCCTAATAAGGTTGTGGTCGCCTTCCTCTCTGCTCCGAAAGCTACACGCACCGAAGACGAGCAGCTCTTGATGATCGATAAGGCGGCACTTGAGATTGCCCGTGCTGCCAGCGAGAAAGCACAAAGCGTTCTACCTGACCACATGATACCGTCTGTATACCTTGTGGTCTCGCACATCCCGAGAACATCATCCGCCAAGACAGATCGCAGGGCCTTGGAAGCTGCCTATGCCGGTGTGGATATCGATAGTTGGGAGAAAGAGATGAATCCAGAAATCAAATCTTCTGCAGCGGACACCCAGGACCAGCATACCGCGACCATAACACACCGGGTAGTAGAAATGATTTCTACCTTGGCCAATATCTCCCAGTCAATTATCACGAAGTCCAGCCGCCTGGGGAGTCTGGGTATCGACTCTATTCGCGCAATCCGGCTTGCCTCTAGACTCAAGGAGGCCGGTCATCAATTGTCTGTTGTGGAGGTCCTGAATTGTGTGACTGTCCAGGATCTTGTCCAACTGGCCTCCTCATCTACTGTAGTGGAGAAGCCCACCTTCGAAACGTTCGACGTTAGGGCATTCCATGACACCTGGCACACAGCCACAGTCAGCAAAGTACCGGAGGGATTCATAACTGTGCGCGCGACCACGATCCAGGAAAGTCTTCTTAGTGAGACAATGGGTACATACAACAGATATTGGAGTAATCATTTCTTTCTGCTTGACAGCTCGGTGGATGCGACGCGAATGAAACAGGCTTGGCTTGCAACGAGCCAGAAGGTGGAGGCTCTGAGAACTGGCTTTATCCCTGTTGCGGAGGTCGATGACGGGAAAAGCCGATCGCAAGGGAAACTTGACTTTTCTATATTGCAAATCATTTACACGCTACCAGATGTTGATTGGGAATACATCAACTGTTCAGAGCAGGATCTGGTGGAGCATCGCGAAAATCGGATTGAGGAGATCATGACCAAACACCAGAAGAACTATTTCAAATATCCCCCATGGGCCGTTACAGTATTCGACACAGGCAAAAGGCAGCTCATGATCCTCACCCTCCATCATTCGATTCATGACGAACCTTCCCTGGGACTTATAATGGATGATGTGCGATCAGCTTATGCTTATAAACCTCCTCAGAGACATCAACTCAGTGATGCGCTCTCGATCGTTCTACCAGGAGAAAATCGGAGCAAGGAGACCAGAAGCTTTTGGAAAACCGAACTCAAGAAATTTGCAGAGCTTGATGCGCCAGTGTGGCCCGATCTCACTGGGAAGAGGTTGCAGCCAGGCGAAGTACCCAATCATATCTTGATTACAGAAGAGTCGCCTTTAACGGAGCCTGTTGGCAACCTGCAGTCGTTTGCAGCCCAACTTGGGGTCTCATCCATTGCCTCGATTATTCGAGCCGCATGGGCCTATGTTTCGCTGGCTTATCTTGGTCTTCCAGCGACAGTCTTTGCTGAGACTCTCTCTGACAGAGTCCTGCATGCTGACCTTGAAGACTGCATTGGACCCCTCATCTCCGTTGTACCTATTCCGTTCCATCCAATGGGAAACACTCGTGAGCTACTTACCGAGCAGCATCGCATCTCTGTTCAGTCCTGGAAGTATCGCCATATCCATGCTCGCGAGGTCCGAAAGATTCTCAAGAGACCCAGGGGTGAGGCCTTATATCCGGCGGTGTTCAACTTCCACGTTGCGAAAGAAGAGGGTGCAAACGTCACTCAGCCTAACATTTGGCGCGAACTCGAAGATGAGGTCGGGCTGCATGTTGAGCATCCCATGGCCATGAACGTTTTCCAACATATGGATGGCTCTATAGTCCTCGAGGCAACTGCGGACAGCAGCATAATGTGTCGGGCACAGCTGTCACTATTCATTCGTCAGATCGACGGGCTTATCAGTTCAATGCTCGCATCTCCAGACCAGCCCCTTGCAAGTCTAATCAACCGCTTTCCTTCGCCATTACGATCGCTATCGAATCAGCCTGTCAGAGAAGAAGTAGTGAAGTCTGTTCGACTGAGCCCTACGCACTGGTTAGAGGTGTATGCGAAGAAGCACCCTGAATGGACAGCCGTTGAGGTAGCCAGTGAAATTTCCTCAAACGGGATTGTGAAGGAAGCCATGACCTTCGGTACATTAAACTCTGAAGCAAACCGTGTTGCGGCCTACCTGGCATCTCTTGGTCATAAGAACAGGATGATCGGAGTCTGCATTGGGCGAAACCTGCCCTCTTATCCCATCATAATCGGTATCTTCAAGTCAGGAAATGCTTACCTTCCAATCGAAGAAAACCTTCCGGAGGATCGCAAAGCTTTTCTCATCAAGGATAGTGATTGTCCTATTGTTTTCACCGAAACGGCGTTCGTGAGCACGTTCCAAAGTACCCCCGAGGGATGTCGCGTGATAACTATCGACAACCCGGAGCTCTTGGGCTCACTTGCCACTATGTCAACAGAAGATCAAGACTATAACTCCGATCCCAACGATCTGGCATATCTTTTATTTACCTCAGGCTCGACAGGGAAACCGAAGGGTGTGATGGTGACCCGAGGCAACCTTTCATCTTTCATCGAGTCGATCTCGGTGTTCACAGGCCGGTATGCCCCCGCTACGTATGATCTGGGTGGCACTGGAAGATATCTCGCGCAGGCCAGTCGAGCTTTTGATCCCCATCTGTTGGAAATGCTCTTCCCATGGCGCCATGGGATGGCTACTGTTACAGCTCCTAGGATGATGATTTTGGATGACCTTGGGATAACCTTGTCCAAGTGGGATATCACTCATGCAAGTCTGGTGCCATCTCTTCTGGATCAAGCAAATATTGCACCAGAGCAATGTCCCAAGTTGAGATTCATGACTGTTGGTGGAGAAAAGATTTCACAGAAGGTATTGGACACCTGGGCGGGAACACCACACATGGCGCTTATCAACGCATACGGCCCGACAGAGGTAACCATCGGCTGCACATTCGCTCCTGTCGGAAAAGACACAAACTTGCGCAATATCGGACCTCCCCTAGCAGCCTGTGTGTCTCATGTTCTTGTCCCTGGTACCCTTGACTATGCTCTGAGAGGCCAGGCTGGCGAGCTATGCTTTTCTGGAGACCTCGTTGGAAGGGGCTATCTCAACAGACCAGATGCCACTGGCTTCATCACCGGACCTAATGGTGAAAAAATGTACCGGACTGGTGATTTGGGACGCATGATGCCAGACGACTCGGTCGAGTATCTTGGGCGTGGCGATGACCAGACCAAGATTCGTGGTCAAAGGCTAGAGCTCGGTGAGGTATCTGAGGTGCTTCGCTCTTCGTCGACTGTTGGCGTTGATGTTGTCACGACCGTGGCCAAACACCCTGGTCTTTCAAGAGTCCAACTTATCTCGTTCATCGCGCGGTCGGAAGCCCGTCAACGTGTGAAGAGCGGGGATGTCACCTTCGTTATGTCCGACTTCGCAACGCTGGGCAAGGAACTTCAAGACTCTTGCAAGAGGAAGCTACCGGGCTACATGGTTCCCGAGCTTATTCTCCCCATCACTTATATACCTTTGGCACCGATGTCAGGAAAGGCAAACATCAAAGAGCTTCATGGCCTCTTCTCCAGCCTTCCTCTGTCTACTGTCCTTCAAGGTAACAGTTCGGCAAGTAAGGACGGCGTCGTTATTGAACGGTCTTTGACTGCCGACGAAGAAGCTGTGATCGAAGAAGTTCTTGATGTTGTTTCGGCGGATCCTTCGGTTGTTGGACCCATGACGAACATATTCGAAATTGGCCTCGATAGTCTAAGTGCCATAGGGCTTACGATTAAGCTCCGGAGAATTGGGTATGAAGTCACGGTAGCCATGGTCATGGGCAACCCGATCATTGAGCAGCTTGCACGCTTACCTAGGGGTTCTTCGGACGCAGAGAGCGCTGTCTCGCAGACACGTCAAGCCTTTCAGATCATTGAGTCTCAATACCGCCAACAACCTTCGCCCGGTGTCAACCCGTCCGATGTGGACACGGTCAGGCCTTGCTTGCCACTTCAGGAAGGTTTGGTTGCTCGCTCAATTAATAGTGAAAGCGATCAGCTCTATGTCAATCATATTGCCTTTAAACTCGAGGCCTGTGTCGATAGTGAGAGGTTAAAATCTGCCTGGCAGGCTGTCTCCAATGACACCGAGATCCTGAGAACTTCATTCGCTCCTTTGGACAAGCAAATGGTGCAAGTGGTCTACACGGTCGATTCTCATCAGTTTCCATGGAAGGAAGAGGAGTATGAGAGCCTGAACGAAGCTATTAAGCATAACAAGGCACAACAGAAGCAGATCTCTGAGGAAATCATTGCAAACATCTCCACTGTCCCACCAGTGCGGTTCCTCATAGCCAAATCCTCGGAAACCAAGGAACCGCTTGCCCTCTTCATTAACATTCATCATGCGCTCTATGATGGAGAATCTTTCACGATGCTAATGGAGGATGTGGCAGCACGCTATGCAGACCAACCTATCCCTCAGAGAGGCTCGCCGTCGGCTTTCGTTGAATACGTTTATAGTCAGGATTCAGAAAAGGCCAAGCAACACTGGGTCCGCTATCTGGAGGGATGCCATCCGACAACTTTCCGTACTGACTTCAATGCCATGGAGCCTCCGGTTGTCGTACATAGAAGCCTTGGTGTGAAGCTTTCTGAACTGGAGCACCGCTCTGCAGCTCTTCAGACCACTGTACCATCCTTGGTGCAAGCGATTTTCGCACTCTTGCTGGCTGATACCGTTGGTGTGTCAGATGTGACCTATGGGTTGGTCCTGTCCGGTAGAGCCGTGTCGGTTCCCGGAGCCTCCTCGGTACTTCTGCCTTGCATCACTACTGTCCCTGGTCGTCTCAATACCGCTAGCCTGGGTACAGTTGACGATGTTGTGGCGGATGTCCAAAAGTCTACGGTGGGGTCGCTTGATTTCCAGCACACACCCCTAAGACATATACAGAGATGGATTAATGCGGAGACACCTCTGTTCGACTGTCTATTTTCATATATTAGGACTGCTGCGCCACCAGAACACCGCCTGTGGCAGGAACTAGACAGCAATATGCCTGCCGAGTATCCGTTGGCAGTGGAGGTCGAGGCCAACCATTCCATGGACACTGTTCAGCTCAACTGCTTCTTTTCATCTGCTTTCGGCTCCCTATACAGTGGAAGTGAATTGATCGAGAAGATGGACGCAGTGCTCTCGAGCATTGCAGCGGGTCAAAGTCTTTCGCTAGACGACTTCAAAGTCTCTCATTCAGCAGCATCTGGTTCGCGTCCTGCTGTGCTGTGGGACAACATTACATGGTCCACCGCGGAAACCACAATTCGTGAATACACGATGTCTTTTTGCGGATTGACTTCGGCGGAAGTCACTAAAGGCGCTTCTTTCTTGAGTTTGGGTGTTGATTCGGTCACGGCAATTCAATTTGCGCGTCAGCTACGGGAAGCTGGGCTTCAAGTTTCTTCTGCTGATATTATGCGTTTTTCATGTGTTGGTGCTTTGGCTCAGCATGTGGAGCAGAAATCACGTTCTCAGACCCCGGTTAACGGTGCCAATGGGCACGAGAAGACAATTACCGGGATCCCTATTGAGACCTACGGCGAAAATGTCCGACTCCTTGCAGAGGATGACTCGATCTCTACAATGTTCGAAACTACGCCCCTGCAGTCGGGAATGATCACGCAGACAATTGCTTCTAGCGGAAAGGTGTACGTTCACCCGCACATTATCAGATTAAAAGACTCGGTCGATACTACCCGACTGAAGGAGGCTCTTTTCAGAGTCATCGATGCAAATGATATTCTGCGGACATCCTTCCACCTGATCGCTGAGCTTGGTTCCTCCTGGATTGCCGCCGTACACACCAATCCTCCTTTCCAGTGGGAGGAGCTCACATTGCCTTCCGGGGCCGATGTTCTGACTGAAGTCGACTCTCTCTATGATTTCAGCGAAGAGGCTTCTTTCGAGGTCCCGCCAATTCGGTCTGCTCTAGTCAACCAGCCTGAAGGCAAATTACTGGTTGTTGTTCTGCATCATGCTCTGTATGATGGTTCTTCCATCCCCTTCCTGTTTGAGGACCTGGCCGTGTGCTATGAAGAAAGCAGTCTTCCGATAAGACCACAGTTCTCAGAGACTGTCCAGCATCTACCAAGCGGTCAAGAAAAAGCTTGCGAATTCTGGACAGAAAGACTACTCGGATATGAAGCCACTGAACTTCCTGAGCTTCCTCATCCTGAGTCGTCAGACCGCATGTTGCTTTCTGAATGCCGGGTTGACCTTGACTTGTCGGCCATAGTGGATGCCTGCAAGGCAATGGAGGTCACCGTGCAGAGTGTATCTCTCCTGGCCTATGCGAAGGTTCTAGCAGGTGTGGTCGGAAAACGTGATGTCGTCTTTGGACAAGTCCTTGCAGGCCGCTCGTTGCCTGTTGCTGGTGCCGAACGAACCCTCGGGCCAATGTTCAATACAGTTGCTCAGAGAGTCTCTTTCGAGCCCAAGTTCCTGAGTAACAAGACCATGGCCCAGCGCTTACAACAGCATACAATTGATTCGCAGAGCCATCAGAACGCGCCACTCAGACTTGTGCAGAATTCTTTCAGGCAGGCTAACAACAGCACATCATCCATGCTTTTCGATACTCTCTTCGTCTTCCAAAAGAGTGCGGACTTCGCTGGCAGTATCATAGAAGAGCAACAGATTTGGACACCTTATGAAGCAGATGACTATGCCGCGCAGGCAGAATATAAGCTCAACGTTGAGGTCGATCATACTTGCGATGGACTTGTGGTACAAGCAACTTGCAATGGCCGGTACATCTCCCAGGAAACGCTTGACCAACTGATGGAAGAATTCGCCATTGCGTTCCGTGACATTATCGAGCATCCTACTAGGTGCGCTACCATCGTGCCACAAGGACTTGGTGAGTTACCGACAAAGCTGTGTGTTGAGCAGTCGCTCGACCCCGGTGTTGAATCATCCGAAGCACCATCCCATGAGGCCATCATCCAGTCTGTGCTCGCTGAGATCGCTGGAATCTCTGTGGACAACATCAAACCAAACACTAGCATCTTCAATATCGGATTGGACTCTCTCACAGCTATCCGCATTGCTTCGATTTGCCGATCGAAGGGTTTAAAAATTGGGGTAGCCGACATCCTTCAGGGGAACACCCTGCGTGGGATCAGCCAACGCATCCAGCCATTGTCCGAACAGGCAATCCAACCTCGGGGTTCACTTATCAAAAATTACACCGAGGTGGAAACCACTGTGCTCCAACAGCTCAACCTCAGCAAGGACTCTGTCGAAGCCATTCTACCTTGTCTCGGTGGCCAATTCTATCATTTAGTCAGCTGGTTGAAATCTGGACGGAAGCTGCTCGAACCTGCCTGGGCATATGCCTGCTCCGGGCGCATCGACAGTACTAAAATTGAGGAAGCTTGGTTCCAGCTCCGCCAAAGGCATCCTATCCTCCGCACCTGCTTCGCAGCTATATCCTCGTCGGAAGCAGTACAGATTGTTCTCAAACAGGCAATGCGTGGTGCGGGCACATTCCAGGTTATCGAGACCTCTACTCCTCTTTCTGAAGCAGCCCAAGCACAAGCAAGAGAAGAGACTCTCCACCCATCCTCGCTTTTTACGCCTCCCGTCAGACTTCGTCTATTGAAAGCTAGCGACAGAGATGGTATTCTCCTCCTCATAAACCACGCCGCGTATGACGCATGGACCATGCCAATGTTCGTTAAAGAGCTAGCAGAGCTCTACAATGGCCAACGCCCCGTAGCTAACACTGACTTCCCTGCATTCGTCGACTTCTCAATGCGCTCTCTCCAGAGCCTCGATGAAAAGCAATACTGGAACACTACTCTCGGTGACGCCTCTCCTACCATCATCCGCAACACTCGCACCGAAACCCAGCCTACCCCAAACCAGCTCTTCATCGGTGTCTGGGAAAAGGTCAAGGACCTCTCCCAACTCGAGACAAAATGCCGATCCTCCAACGTCAGTCTACAAACCGTCGTCCTCTTCGCCATAGCCCGCTGCATCGCACGTCTCACCGACGTCCAAAATCCAACAATGGGTCTCTACCAAGCCGGTCGCTCTGCCTCCTTCAACAATGTCGAGAACCTCTCCGGACCCTGTCTGAACGTTAACCCATTCACCATCCCTAATGCAGACACCAACCCCATCGACACTGATCTTCTTACTCAAGTTCGTGCTATCCAATCCTCTCTCGCGGACCGCGTCTCCTACGAACAAAGTTCCCTCCGCAACATCCTCCAATGGATCTCACCCGAGAAACCCCTCTTCAACACCTGGGTGAACCTCCTCTGGACGCAGAACACTATCTCCTCGAATGCCAATTCCACATCAGATGGTACTGAGGACTTCTTCTCCCCGTTGCGGATCGGTGTCCCTACAGACTTCATCCCCGAACAGTCTTTGGCTGAAGAAGTCACTGCCGTGTCGGCACTAGATACGGAATTCCTGCCGTCAGAAAATGTGTTCATTGATGTTGGTCCAGATGCCAAGACGGATTCTATCGGGTTTGGTGTTCGAGTTGAAGGGGGAGTCATGAGTGTCGAGGAGGTGCATAAGCTTGTTGATGAAATTACGGGAGAGATTGAGAGAATTATGGGGATGATGGCATGAGCGACGATATTTGATTTTGAGGAGACGAGAATGATTTATAGATGTCATATAGATTGCATGGTGGTGTTGTTCTTGTTCTATTTTTTGGTGGAGAGGGGATATATGTGTGCATGATGTGGTTTACTTCAGTGGTTTTGTTTTATTTCTGTTGCTGTGACATTGCGTATAGATCTTTTTTTTCTTCTTTTAGTACTTTCTATTGTTCATATTTGACATTATATATCGGTTTCACTGCACATATTTGTTCATGGCTAGCGTTATGAAATCAATAGTAACCATTTCGACCCGTGACCCGCAATCAATAGTATTGTAAGATCTCCCAGAATAAAACAATTAGAAATGGATATGTCTGAGCCGAACCATGCCTACATGCTAATCAAGCCAGCTCAGCAATTCCTAACTCCCGGCTTACTGTATCAGCAGTCATTGCAATGATAACAATATACAGTTCTCTGTATAATTTACGAGCTGCGATACAACATCATGTCTTTGTGGAGATTATTGTATTATCTCTCTAGTAGGGAGGGGTATATACCTTGAGGTAAGTATGTCTATGTATGTACATGCTTGAAAAGAAAACCGCCCATATGCTGAACGAACATATCCAAAGGGAGAGAGAAACCAATGGAGAAAAATGTCCCATAAACGCCCGCAACATAACACCATATATTTTATCGACGATGCTCTTCCTCCATTTGAAAATCCTTCTGCACCTTGATAGACATTAAATCGTACCCCATGGCTTCTTCTTCGTCGCTGAGTCTCCCCTTGCCTACACCGTCCATTTCGATGTGAACTGAGGTTGTCGTTAACACGGCTTCATCTTCTCGTGTCTGTCTCCGATCCTCGCCGTGGATTTTGCTCATGATATCTGGTGCGAAGCGGACACCTTTTGTGGTGGTTCGGTTTGGCAAGCTCCGGCGGTTGATGATCGTTCGGAACAGGGGTTGGAGGACGGGGAGGCAGGCACAGACGATTCCGATGGACGGCTCAACACTCGACCAAATGAAAACGTTACCCAGGTTCCAGGTGACGTCGACGTCGTTGATGAAGGTGAAGTAATATATACGAATGGCGCTGGCGACGCATACACTGTCGTCGGTTGGCGATTAGTTTAAGCTATTGGGAAGACCGCAGGGGTGTGTTATAGTTGACTTACAAGCCACCGAGAAGGAAGATGCTCAGGATCTGGATCTTCTGTCCCACTCGTAATTTCAGGCGCCAGACTAGCGGAATCGGAACAAGAAGGATGAGAAGGTCCCCGGCCATGTTGACGACAGCGTGAGCAATGTAGAAAGGGTAAAGATCATATCGGACGTAACCGCCGAGGGGATTCTCGTATTGCGTCCAGTAGTATGAGATTGGTTGGCAGGAGCACAGAAAGGCGACTGAGCAACCTATCCAGTAGCCGATGGACAGGGCGATGCAAGCCCACATGGTCCACTGCATACCGAAAAGTCGGCGATATGAGAGTATTATGGAGACTTTGATGAGGGGAACGGTGAGGATGTAAAGGAGCACATTGGCGTAGAGTATCTAAAGCATTGACATGAGCTTCGACATTCCTCAAGAGACTGGTACCGAGGGGTATCTTACATGCACCATGTGAATGATTTCATCCAGAGTGACTACCCAAACATGTTTCCCAAGACCATAGTGCCCCCCTAAGATTAATGTCAGTACATTAATTGGCTGAACAGTGTGGGCAATTACGAACCGGCTATTGCACAGGCCATGTTGGCTGTGCCTGATAACTGTAGTTTGATTAGGACAATAGTTCTCACAAGAGAGGATGCAACATACCAATGCTCCTACTATCAGCCAGTCATCAAGCCCTATATTGGCCTGCTGGATCTTTATTCGGGAAAACAACCGAAATCCAATAGTCACAAAGGCCAGGGTATACATGCAAACGACAACGGCATCATTTCTGCCCGTGCTGTTCTCCGCAAGATTAAGGCCCTTGGGCGGCTCACCAAAGGGATTGGACATATCCGCAGCTTTACAGAGAGTCCGGTACACGCAGGGGCATCGTGGGAGGAACAATTCCCAGGACAGACGACGAACTGGCTCCGGGGCCCATCAGGGTTTTCATCCATCCATGATTTAGGGGCCAGGAGCGGGCAGTTAATGAAAAGCGAGAACGGCCAATGCGAGGATCGTGGCTGTAGACCCTAACACTGGCTAGTGATGTAATCCAACCATGATTCTGGGGGCTGGTTTCCATCCTTCCATCAGCATGGCGTGGATTCTAGAATTCAGCACGGCTGCATTTACTTAGCGTCGCAAACAGGATCACCGGGTTTCTCCCGACCACGCTGAGGGTAAGTGGGGGCGCATTGGCGGCCATCTCCACCCGGCCTGTCAGACTTTGAGTGCCTTGCAATCGAGGCGCAATTTGATTTTAATCAAGCTAATCTTTTGAACTGCGCTAAGTCGTTGTCGGATATTAGCTGTCTCAATGAACTGCGCCCCGACCATCGGGGGTGCGCACGATGGAGAAACGGGGGGCGTTTGTCCTTATTGGCGCAAATTCGAAGCTTTGGAGCGCATCAGTGATGCCAACAGAAGCAATCGAACTGAGCGTCAGCATATGAGGATTCCTTCTTGGCCCCAACCGTGCAGGGCTTATCAGCGAAGCTCCATCGTCCGCACGTGGCCCAAGCAGTGGCCTGATATTATGACTCTTTTTTCATTGTGTGACCTCTGGCAGTTAGGCAGCTAAGGAGAAGTGCTATAAGCATAATAAAAGAAAATTAAGGTAGCGGGAGCCACTAACCACGGAGGAACTCCCTAACGGAGCTGGTCATTGGCAGTTTCGTACTTTGTAGTTGAGACCCGGACCACTTGCCAGAAAAGTGGGAACGGCGTCTAGCCCCTATTCGGAAGGGGTTTTGAGAGTGCAAGATATTGCGACTGTGAATCATTGGACAATTGTACCAGACACCGCCAAGCAAATGAAGTGCCGACGCGTCGGTCGATCCAGGGCCGGAGATGGGAGACGCTTTGGTCATGGAGTGATTGATTGAGTAGCAGCTTCTCCCGGGACTCGGGATCTACCTAAACAGGCGATCGGGGGATTCGGGGACATCATGAGTCACGGTGGTTAGATCCTCCCCAACGCGTGAGGGCGTGGTATATGGCAATCATGAAGCTTGGGGATGCAATCGAGAGTTCATGGCATGTAAAATGCCTTTGTTTTCCTCTGTTTTTCCAGTTGCGATCGAGCCCACGTGGCTCCCACGTGATTGCAACGGTTGAAGCCAATCAGGGAGTCAGAATGCCTCGTGTCGAGTTGTCATCCACAAGATTCTATCATCCTGCTACTTGACACGGTCGTGAAACAGTGCACGGTTATGCCAGCTGGGGATTTTCTAGAAGCTTTTCAGTAGCTCTAGGCTCCACGGCTTCTCGGTGTGGATGAGCTTCATGATCCCACCTGCTCAACACTCAAACCTCGAGTCAGTGTAGAGTATGTATCCCCATTCCTGCAATCTCCGTTCCAGTGGATCCCCATATTTGTTTTCCTCTTGCTGATACATGGTGGCAGCCACCCGGGTTAAATATCGGCCCATCCACGCTCCTTTACGCTGTCAAAAACCCCTGATTTACGGATGGTTTCCACAAACACTTCCATCGGTCTACCGAGCATCAATTCGGCATCAATCGAGAGATTCAATCCATCACAATTGTCTCACGGCCATGGAATGCAAACTGTAAGCCCTATAAATGCTGAGAGAAGCTCATCAACAGCTGGCTATATAGCCTATAATCACTTAGTCTGCACAGTCATCTCTGATGCGCCTGTCTGCCACCCATACAATACTAGCATACAGATGTCGTTGGTCCCTGCTTCCCCGCGTTTTGCATATGCAAGATATTGGGGTCGGCATCGACGTGCATGGTCGCTAGGGCATCAGCAGTGTCTTTCATGCCCTTCTTCAATTCTCTTACAACCTAGTATGACCTTTCTGCTCTTTATGTGCTGTTACCCGTTTCCCCTCCGCATCACAATAACATTGTGCTTCAAAGCTTTGCGGTGTTGGCAGGTACAAAGAGGAATTTAATTGGCTGATAAACATAGGCTAACTCCTTGAGCATTCTTTCTAGAAGTTCCACTACCGGTGCTAGAGACCTTCTGGCCCAGAAACAGGTTACTATCCTACGACCGACAAGAATCCACGATTCACTCAAATTGCACTCTAGAGTAACAGTGCCTATCAGGGGCTAATATTAGGTGTAGCTCACTGCCGATGATGGAAGGAGCCTCATCCTAGGACATACTTCCAGGATTCCATTGCTCTGTGGGGAGATGCACAACAATCGGCCCCCACTAACCACACGATTCTTCTGGACGAGGGTAAGCGGGCATCTGCGACCGGGCAAGCCGAGTTCTTGGATTTGGAATCTCCCAGGAAGATGGCACTACTAAACGAACTGACCTTCTGGGAAATAGGAACTGCTTTCGTGTGCTTTTCCTCCTCGCAATAGTTACAGTCAGGAGGCTGGCCCTTGAGCTTTTCGCTGGATGTCCTGACGATGCGCGCACGGTTCTCTCCACCGCCACCATCGATCTATATTCTCATCACCGTGCGGTTTTCGTCGAGGGCAATTGGTCAAGCGAAAGACACCATCATCGTCTCTATCTGCTTTCGCATAGGCTACCGGGAAAGCTGCGCATTTCGTGAGATGGAGCTTTTACCAAAAATGGCAGCAATGGAGCCGTCAGACCTTGCAAGACCATCTAGCGTGCATATGAAAAATCTTCTTCTCTGCGCAGTTAGGCGATCACACCACTAAGATGGCCGCTTGGCCTGAATTGAACGTACAGAGGCAGTCCTGTCGGAAATCGAAGCCGGACTGGCCGTTAGTCGCCTCCGCCACTCGCTAACGAGCTCTGAATCTCCCTAGCAACCGAAGAATCACTGGTCCCTGGGGCACTGCTTGCCCGATTGGGGCCGAAATGTTTCAACATGGGGCGAAAAGGTGACGCGATATCCTGCTGGCGGCGTGGCTAAGCGCAAGATGCCGAACTAGGAAGTTAGGGCTGACAGATCCCCCCGCGGCCCCCACACGTTCTTCGCACTCGTTTCTCGATTTCGCCTTCTTCCTAGCTTTCCCACGTGGCCCCCATGGTCGAGCTCGTGCATTGTACCCTGTCCTGCCTTTTCAGGGCCTAGCATCGTCTCCTGCTGAAGAACCTCGGCTGCACAAGGTATCAAGCACATGTGTCAGATCTGCCTGCAGATGGAGCGAGTACGCCATGTGCTTGAGGCTGAATTCAGTCGCACCATCCAAAAGTCTGATATGCTTGAATGGCTATGTATGCGCCGCTGCTTACTACTCTGATTACTATACTTACTGCTCATTGGATCAGAAGAATGCTATGTCTGCCTTATCATTGACCTAATTCCCAGTTACCTGCTTTGTACCAGCACCAAACGGTGTGATCGTACCTAAATTCTAGTCGGTTCGTGCTCGCTTTGTCGAAAACTTAATACTAAGTCCGAGTCATCACAGTAGATAACTACTCATCGCGATATACTTCTGGACATTTGTCTCAGAAAACGCCTGACAGCACTAGGTGAACTTGTATCCTCCAGCTGCGAGAAATCTAGGGAAATGGCTACCACTAGTCTGTAGTATGGGTGTTAAAGGGAGGCCATTTGGTTCTGACCTGCTCTTTTTAAGACAGCAGAACTCGCAACTCATGGCCACCCCATGGCACTCGCTACTTGAAGTCAACCAACCCACCATCAGCATTGAAGAATTGATTTTATAAGTTACTATAGTCTCCAAATCATATCTAGCTCTCACCCTTCCTTTCTCTCTCTAGGTCTTTTTCCATCAGTCCCCCGTTGATCAAATGCGGTGACATGGTATGTTATCGATAAATTTACCTAAGGCGGTGGCAGAAGTCCCTGGCTATGTTTTGACTACATGCCTGCTCTTGGTACTCTTACCACTACCATCTTGATAAACATCTTAAATATAGCCTATTACATGTATACTCGGAGTAGCCTCATCCACACTCGGTCCATCCTAATTCATTCCTTCGGTTTATGCAACTACACCATTCCTCTAATAACCAAACACCCCCCTGACCCCCAACATAAATAATCCTGTCCAGCGGGAGAAGACATCTTAGGGAGCTCAGCTGAGTATCGGTCATGCCTTAGTTTGTTGTCACATCCTGCCAGCGTTTGCATGCTCTGGAGTACTAAGAAGGGAAAGAAGGAGGGGGTTTGGTAAGTGCGACTAGTCTATCAAGGATCAATCTGCTTCAGTACCCTTTATATGTTATTCTAATTCTTCTGGGTATTATTGGACGTATATCTACTTCCATAGTCTCTGGTCTGATCGAACCTGCTACTATCATTTTATATTCTCAGGTACCTCACTATCTGAAGCACTATCCTGGCCTATGATTGGTATCAAATTTCATAGAAAATCACGACTCGCGAAGTAACATAGAGCCTATATGTAGGCAACATAAATGGATTTGTTGTGATATACATAACGTTATAGAAACGGGTATAATCGGCTGCTGCGAGTGCTGAGCCAGTTAGCTGCATGTTTCTATCCTATCTTCTTCCTTCGTATTTTTCTACTTTTCACAACTCCAGCGTTTGATGTGTCAATAACACGTAGCCATGTTCTGTGACATGATCATCGAGATACCATTGGGTCCTCTGCCCGTCATTTCCGGCATCTATCTTCATGACCTGAAAGCAGGATTGTGATGTTGAATTTCAAGTTATGTGCAATCAATGCTTTATTAACCTTATTAATCAGGTATCAGATTATCTGGGCTCCATGTACAGTTGCATACACCCATGATTAACAGATGGCTATCGTTGTTTCTCTGGAAACAGGCTGGTAGGTGTGCTTGAATGGTGCGTTCTCTTTCAGATCAGATTGAGCAAGGTGACTTTCGATTCGATTTTTGGATTCTGGACTGAATCTTGTGTCTCAAGCCGTGGCAGCTTAATAGTCACTGGTGGTGATAACCTGTATGGGTAACACTACCACTATGGCGTGTTTACGATTGCAGTCCGTGACTATAACAACTTCATGGTGCAGTACGGTAGTATAAATATATTTCACCTAAAGGCTGAGGTTGGCACGAGACGGCTTCGATTGGCCACAACGTAGAACATCAATGGCTTGAAAAGAAACATCTAGGTACAGGGCTTACTTACTATTAGTTTCTTTGAAGAATCCACTTAGAATCAATTACTGCAAGAGTAATGGCACACACCGCAATGGCTCTGCTGAGCTGTCAGTAACAGCTAGGTCCTATGTAGCACTAATGTCAGGCAGCCTACATCAACCGGGTCCCATAGCTCAGTTGGTTAGAGCGTGACGCTAATAACGTCAAAGTCGAGGGTTCGAGCCCCTCTGGGACCATCTCTTTTTGCTTTTTCTTTACATCTCATGCGTGGATGGATTTACCATATAGGATAATTTATGTGTGCTAATAAATAGTATCGGAGTTTGGTTGGTTTGTGGCTGCCAGTTGAAGGCGTTGTCTGGTTCCTGGGTAGTCGGTTGTTTGGCTGGAGTTCTACTTACTCCGTTGTGTTTAGCTTCACTATCTGTGACGGCACCCTAGTGGACACCCCGCGGAAGGAGCTGCTGGGGAAAGCAAGCTTATAAGGGATGCGTGTCGAGCCTAGTGGCTCAAAATCTAGTTTTCTGCCCGGTGTGTAGCTGCTGGCAGGCAGGGACTCTGTCTTTAAAAGCGCACCTAGTAAGGAGAGGTCCTGACACTGTTGACATTTGCCAGAAGCATTATTACTTCGCTTCGATTCAGCCAATATATTTACAGATCGCGTCATATTATGCATATAGTAGGCAATCCCAGCTAACATGCAGTATTCCAAAGCCCATCTATCTATATATCCCAAGGTGTACATACAACTAGTCTATCGACAGAGGTATTATATATGAGCATATGTCACCGAGCTGTGTCGACGGCTGTCTAAGCCAACCAGCACTGGCAGAAAGCCGTCATATGCAAGGACCATACTGAGGTCTACCTGAGGCAGTCGAAGTGCTCTGCTATTGCATGCGCTGTCTCAGAAAGCAGAGCTGGAATAGGACGATCAGTCGCCGAGGAGAATTGACCAATGTACCCACAGAAATGCGCAGTTGTAGCCAAGAGCTATGGTACTTTCTTTGATCAGACCGAGTCTTCATCTTCGGCGTAGTCCACCTTCTTTGCTCGTCGGCTTCGACGAACACCACTGCTCTGGGATCGCTTAAGAGCCGGCCTCTCAGGGATTTCGGGTGCTTCTTCATCTGAAGCTGACGGTGTAGTCGCCGGAGAAGCTTTCCGCTTCCTGGAGACCGGTTTCTTCACATTAGGCGTCTTCTTCTTTGACACCGGCGTAGCTAGCGCGCTTCCATCCGGTTCTTCCTGTGGTACAGAATCGCCATTTTCGACCGCGACTTTCTTTGTGGCAGGAGTGCGGCGAGGGCTCTGGATGGCTTTGGTGCGAACAATCTTCTTCGGTCGAAGCCATTCCTCCATGCCAGGAGGCCAGTAGACCCGTCCCTCCGGACCACCCATGCCCACTTCTTCTTCAGGGACAGTCTGAGGAGGTGGGACCAGTCCCTCCAGATCCACAAAGCCCCCGTTCTTCTTGGTCTTCCTCGGCGGCTTATGTGGCCTGTTTTCGTCATTACGCACGTGAGGAATGATATCGTTGACAAGTTCGTGACCCGGCAGCTTAAATGTCCGCATCAATTCGAAAACAGCTTGCTCCTTGTCCTTGGCCTCGATCATCAGATCCATGGTGGGATCGCACGGTGGAAGAGTGGAGACCCGGGGGCTATGCTTCCGACGTTGGCGGTTCGTGATGGCAGATGGTTCTGGCTCAGAATAGTGCATCTTCTGCGTGATGCCCTTCCGGGTCCATGTCGCCTTGATCCGATCAAACAAGGACATGATGTCCAGCGTGCCCTCGCGGAGCTGGCTCGAATCAAAGATGATATTGTGGTGGTGAAAGTCGAGTACCAGGGGTATGTTCAGTTCTTCACAAATGGGCAGGAGGTCGTGGACCGACCAGCTGACATCGTCGTTCTCCAAAACAAGCCGATTTTTGATGTCCTGCGATAGGCCTCGATAATTCTCTCTAAACCGGTCAAGAGTGGCTTCTTTGTCACCAAAGACGCCGCCCATGTGCAGAATCATAACAGCATCCCTATCCTGTTGAGGTGGCAGCTGGAGCAACTGGAGCATTTCCGAGTGGTATTCCAGATCTCGAATGGAGCTTTCCACTACTTCGTCTTTAGGAGAGCCCAATTGCGTGAATTGACCGGGATGAACGCTCACGCGATGACCGAGCTCGGCAACGACACGACCAGCTTCTGCCAGTACTTCAGAGGCAAAGGGAGCCAACTTGTAGCCGTACTCCTTGTGGCTCGCAAATGGAAACATCTCGCTGCTCAATCGCATGAACTTGATTCCGTAGCGGTCATTCCAGCGCAGCATTTTGACGAGATCGCGAGCATTGGTGAGGCCTATAGCCTCAACATATGCCTGACCGCGTGCGACATCAGCGGGCTGATCACGATCCGGACGGTTCTTGGTCGGATGAGGGGCCTGCGAAGGATCCGAGAGTGGATGTCTGTTTTCCAGGATGGAGGCAATGCGGCAAGTCCGGGAGCAGAAAACGGGCGGGGTCGCATATCGTAGATACGTATTCAAACATGCCTATACAGCATAAGGATTGGTTTGAAAGAATGATGATGCAAACTTACATAACCTAGTCGTCCCTTCCAAGGGAGGGGTAGGTAGCTGCTGTTGACCGGCGGCGCCCGTGTGAGAGCGTCCTGAAGCTCCTCGGCCTCAACTGGTACATCTTCGTCTGACTCTGGATCCATGGGTGAACCTTTTCCTAAGTCACTGGCATCCAGAGTACCTTTAGGATCGGCATTTTGTACCTCATTGTTGGGACTACCATCTACCCCATTTCGCATGACTTCATCATCTGCCATTGTGGGAAGGGTGTCGTTGGAGGCAGCGCGTGAGACTGCTGGAAGTAACCTTGGGGAGACGAAGGTTTGAGCGGATGCCGTCACGGGCCTAGACGATCGACAGGGATGTGTGGTAACACGACTGGATATATGTCTGCGACACACCGTAGCTAAAGAGGGACAGGAAATGTGGATTGGCGCAACAAAATTGAGTTGGTTCGCCACTGCGAGCTTAGAGATCATTCGTATGAAAATTGGGTGGCGAACCTGGCCGAGCTGGGAGCCAGAATTCGGGGGGCCATGGTAGTGGCCGGCATATTGGACTGGAAGGAGAGCGTAATGGAACCTCTGCCTGGGCAGCAAGATCCACAAAGACATCCAGCAGAAGGTTTCAGACTCGTACTGTCAGAAAACAAAGCGGAAACTAGGAACAGTGACCACGACGCATCATCCTGCTGAGTGCAGGGTGGGAAGGGATGTTCGAATGGACAGATGAAGGCGTCGAGATGATGCAAGAGGAAGAGCGAGAGCCCCGATGGCCAAACGCGATCGGCGCTAGTCCCGCTTCGGCGCTGGTTCCTGCAGTCGCGCGTGCCTAATCGGGTTAGTCTCGGTTTCAACCACTCTTAGTCAGGATCTTGCTCTGCCTGTTCCTTGAGGCCGTCAACTGAGTCAGGGTCTGGATCGATGAGAGTCATTTGACAGGTGGAGATAAGCAGAGCTCTACGGAGTACTCCGTAGCACATTGAAGAATCATACATGTTCTCTACGAGGTAATATCACATGGCACAGGTTTAACGATTATTACATCTATTGTCAGGTGCAACAGATTCAGTACCCACAGCTATAGCCAAACCCTTTGTAGTGTTTATCACAAATATGAACCAAAACAGTATGTACTTTGCAATATCAAACCACTCCATCCAGCAACCCAAAAAAAACCATGGTATCTTTTAGTCGAGTCAATTCATTATTCATCACTTTCTCCGCGACTGCCACATTGGGGGAGGTCATCACACCCCTCTGTGTCATGCCTGGTATGTCTGTACATACCACATACCCCTAGCACCCCTTGCATCTCAATCCTTAATAATTTCCCGTATATGCCGAATTTCCATATCCGTAAGTCCCAGTCTGTCCCGCAGTGGCAGTACCACCATTCACATTGCTTCTCCACGGCATATATCCACCACTGCCGGTAGTAGCGCCGACATTGGTACCATTCAAGCCATCTTCCTTCTCTGCTGCCGTTGTGCCGTTCGCACCAAGCTCCACATCCCTGGGCAATGGATGCGAAGGCAGCATGTCATCAGCACTAGCAGTGTCGGGGTTGTTCTTGTTTCTTCTCCAGAAAGCGAAGCCCCGGGTAGTGCCGGAGGTGTAGCCGTTTGCGGGGGAGGGGCCAAAGCGCTTCTCGCGCTTGTGATATCGGGCGTAGAGGACTTGAAGAAGAATTGAGATCAGGAAGAAGACGCTGTACACGGGTTGTTAGCATCACATAAAGTTTGACATTAGTTGCCCTTAAGATCGGCCAAGAAAGGAAGGGTCTGGGTAGGTGAAGGAAGGAACCTACATCCCAATAATGGACACCGCAAAGGAGGCTTTCTCCAGTTCGCAGGCGTAGCCATAGCTTGTCCCTGACGGTGAGTCATCACTGCTATTACCAGACCCGAGAGGGGTGGTCACGCGACCAGAGCAGCTTTGCGTGCCATGACGGGTCATGATAGCAATGGCGACCATAGCACCGATGAAGCAGACATCGAGGACGATGGCGAGGAAGGCGAAGAAGGCGACGCCGCCAAGGCAGCAAGTGAATAGGATACCGAGGATGCCATAGAGGGTCGCAGCGCCGGACAGACCCTCGACGGCTTTCATCCAGCGCGGGATATCCTGGTCATGTCGAGAAAGGACAGCAAGAAAGTAGGAAAAGATGCCGAGAATGACAGCTGCGGCGAGGAATTGGAGAACACGGATGGAGAGGTTGGAAGCGCGCAAAAGAACGCCGCCGAAGCCCATATTGGGGCAGTCTGATACAACGGGCTTAGTATGTATATAAAAGCGACTAACTCGTATAGTTGAGAACCCAGGAAGTATAGGGTTTGGTGTAAGCGGATTAGGCAGATGGATTCACTGGGGTATTAGACCAGAAGATTGGTGAGAAACCGTAAGGCTTAGGGCAGGGTCTCCCGTGATATAAAGCGGAGGGAGACTCGACAGAGTTTGTTGGAGCGAAGGCAGCAAAATAGCCATGCAGGCGTCGCAGCCAGCCGATCAGTGGATAGGGACGGCCATTTCCTGGATGCTTTCCAGGGCTGTGGATGGCCGGTCCACGGATGACGACAACGGGATTGTCGGCCGCCATTGGTTATAATTGGACAGTACGAGCGGGGCAGCAGTGCAGCACCAGCCACACTAAAAGCCAGACCCTGACCGGCGTGATGTCAAGTTTATGGCGTGTGATTGGTGTGACCCGCCTGTCTAAGCCCTGTTGGAAAACGTCCACGATTTAGCACCGCCATCATCCCTGTCCGGATGCTCTGGAAAATCACATGTGCTGGTCCACCTGCTCGGCTTAATTTAGGCAACACGCCGGATTTGGCAGGTCCTTGTCGGATGATCCTAATCTCTCCCATGTCTGCTCTAGCGGGTGTCCCCTGGCTGCCTCCGAGCATAAACATGGACCGAAGGGCATAAAAAAAGCATATGACATGATAGACATCGTCCACGCAAGCATCTGCGTGGAGCGGACATTAAGATAGTCCGAGCATAGACGCGGAATACACCGCAACTGTGGTTAGGCAAAAAAAGCAAAAAGAGATGGTCCCAGAGGGGCTCGAACCCTCGACTTTGACGTTATTAGCGTCACGCTCTAACCAACTGAGCTATGGGACCAGTTGTTGTATGTTGCGAAATTTCCATGTCTTATGAGCCATAGCTTAGTTTCTTATATGTTAGAATTGCTGGATACGGAGTGCTAGTACGGTGTCGGGATCCTTCGACGAGTCACTGACACTTTCTTCGTAAAAATAATTCTGGGAGGACTTGCAAACTAAGGAGGCAGCTATGTGACATTTCCGTAAGTCTGGACCTGCGTATGCTGACGTCTAGGGCAATTGGGTGGGGTAGATGATGATACTATTGGATGAGATGGAACTCATATTAGGTCTATGTATGGGTGGTGCTCGGATACTGTCCGAGAATTTCTATTGTTCTTTTGCTCGGTCTTGTGGTTTACGGCAGTATAGTTCCATTGTACTTCATGGTGTTTTCTATTTCCCAGGATGAGGGCGGATCTCCATAGTCTTGACCTGAACTAAACTGTATGATGTGCATAGTATATCACCACCACCGTACCTCTTTTGATCACATGCCGGGAAATTGACACTATCCCAGGGATGGCCACTGTATAGTCTTCATCTTTCTCTCCGCCGTGACCGAGTACTCAGCTAGCTGACCATGAATTTTATGGCATGGCGACAAAACGAGTAACTACACACCGCTATCTCACCAGGTCTACTAGTCCTCTTCGGGGCTAATTCGGAAGTTACTATTTAGCTTCTTCGCTTGGCTAATATGGACCAAATGATCCGTTCACCCTTTGAGTAGGTATGTCTGTCTTGGGTATTGTATAGGGTGGCTTGAAACACTGCCTATCGATCTCCGCACTTTGGACTCATCTTCCAAACCTGAGTGTTGCCTTTCTCATTCGTCCTGTCACATTGTATATAAGATTGATCTCAGTCGGTCAACTGCTCATCGATTGTAATGCTGGGTTTTTATATCGGAACTATGTGTAATGGACTAGTTGACAGCATTGCGCACTGCACTGGCCTATTAACACAGCCATACTACTCGTGCTCCATCGGTATATATTCCCACACGATGGCTGTCGCACTCTTGCCCCTTGTACTGTGACAAAATGTATCCTGCATTATTGAAGATCGGCCTTGCCTTCTATTCATGATGTAGTAATGTACCAAGCTGTATATTCCTGACGAACAAAGTAGGGTAGATAAGAAGGGTGAAAAATAACATCCTTGTTAACCACATCATCTTGCACACTACCCCACCCGGATGTTACTAGGCGGTGTTCCAAAAAGAGTTGCAAGAAGGCTACCCAGAGCATGCTGCAATGGATTTCCATTGATGCAAAAAGATGGTCCCAGAGGGGCTCGAACCCTCGACTTTGACGTTATTAGCGTCACGCTCTAACCAACTGAGCTATGGGACCCGCTTGTTGTTTCGTCGGCTGATGTGGGACTATATGAGGGGTGCAGTATCTCGCATATGAAAGTGTGTGAAGTAAAATGCAGGTTAGGTGTGAACAAATTTTGTGGGTTGGATGAAAGGAGGCATGTTGGGCGATTGATCCGTTCCCCTACTCTCCCGTTTTAGAAAATCCTAGATTAATCAATACATGGGATATGCATAGAACCATTAGCCAAGCTCAAGAGCTGTTGGCGTGTTGTTAACCTTGTGCAATGGCGCTAGTCATCTGCTGGACGGTCTCCGTTGACGGAACTATTATCCGGTCGTTCATGTTGACCGAGGGGACAGGACTAATTAAGACGGGTGGATACATCAACCCAAAGAGACCAAGAAACTCTACACTTCAATAAGTAGATAGTGACAGCCAATCTCGATTGTTCTATGGAGCTTGCAGCTACCCACATTTGAAGCCACACAATATGCAAGGTGAGAGACATCCCATGACAAAAGCTGTGATACACCGTCTCTCATGTCCCCACCAAGGTCCATTCTCCTAAGGCCACTGCATTACGCGAATTTTAAAGCACTGGATAGACAGCATAATCATATGCACAATGCTCTATACCGCTATAAAAATAAGACCGACTGTGGAGATTTCAATTCAACTATATTGCTAAACCAATTGAGTAGAATTCCTGTGAACAGACCGCAAGGTTTAATTTTGGCTTATATTTGTTAAAGTAAAGCGGGTATATATCAACTGGGTCCCATAGCTCAGTTGGTTAGAGCGTGACGCTAATAACGTCAAAGTCGAGGGTTCGAGCCCCTCTGGGACCATCTTTTTGCCTTTTGTCGGTCGCATTGCTACCATGAGTAGTCATTGGGTAAGGCAGCTAAAGGAGCGACTGATTTTTTTTTGTTCAATTGCACTAACTAGAGTTGGTTGAACTTGAGCCACATATTTTTGTTGCATTCATTGCGCCTTTCGGGTCAGTGCCTGGCGAGATGAGTGCTGAATGATGATTAGGTTGTGTACTGTATCTATAGCCTCAGGAAAGAAGTGGATCATAGTGGCCGAAGATGTGTAAATGCTGTTTTGGGTCTATATTATGACACCGGTAGCAGGGCATAGGGTCATATCAGGATTTCCTGGACATGCTACTACCAACGGCATCAAGTAAGATACAATTGCCCAACAAACAGACCATAACTGGTATATCAGATTCAGTTCAATCCAATCATAGCAAAGTACGAATATCATTAATCGAATGGAGCCCCGTTTACCCTGTTCTTAAGACCTTTCACAGGGTTACAGGAGCACAAAGCTAGGATACCTCGATGCTCCCAGAAGCGGGTATTTTAACACGCATGTGAAGGAACTCAACCCTGTTAGAACCATATATTTAATATACGTCACATATCCTCATATACCCAGATATTTACACCACAACTCCATACAGTCCAATGTACCTCGTCTCACACATATCATCTCATTTCTTTCCATTCCCAACCAACCGCTTCTCCTCTAACCACAACACCGGCCAAAGCAGCACCACCCCAAATACACAAAACACCGTTGCCAGCAACTGCCAAATAGTAACCAGCAAGCCGCCTCCCCACGGCGCCACAAACTTGACAAACTCCGACGTCTGATAAAAGTCCTCCTGCTGCTTGATGTAGTACCGTTTGCCGGACCCTGTCCTCGGTGTACGGTTATCTTCGCTGTCCGTGGTGAGGTCCAGGACCGTGGTCAGATGTACATGGGCATGGTGGAAGGGTATCGCCCAAATGGAGAAGAGCTGGGAAATTTGGAGGTAGAGCTTTTGGTTGGGTTTATCGTATGCTATTTGATAGATTTCAAATGTCAGCGATTTCTTTGGCGATTCCTTGAGAAAATTTATTAAAGGTGGATAAGTATGATCACCTACCTACGGAATGCACCTCCAGATCAATTCGCGGCGACATGATCTTATACCATTGGTAGATCTTCTCGATGAACCAGCGACTTCCTGGGTAGGGCCAGACACGACAAAAGGGATGGATGAAGGCTGCGCTGGGAGTGAAGTATTTCTGGATTGTGCGTTGTTGGTCATCTGGAGGGGCTTGCGTGAGATGATGGATTATAGGGGTGATCTCAGATGCTGTGATGCTTATCTAGATTAGTCTTAAATGGGTGATGGTGGTGGTGAGGTTGTACAGGTACGGGGCCATGTGGATGGGTGAAAAGGACGCACCTGGATCTTCCATTTTGTGATTGTTTTGGTGAGAATTATTGGGAGAGATAAGATCGATGAAGTTAATCGAGTTGATAGACAATTAATAAGGATATTTACAGTAGATACAGACACATGAATTGAAGTTGGAGGGGAAAGCTGGAATAGTTATCTAGTTGAATCGGGATGATGTCATGCATGCGGGCGTCGCAAAGGCCGGATGCGACGTTGGTTTACTGGATGCAAGGTCGGCCAACCAGCGAGATGTGCCTGGTGCCTGTTGGTAAGGTTCTTATCCTACATCAGATCAATAATTGCATCACTGCAAAAGATGTGATAGTGAAATTAACTTTTGTGGTATCGCAAATCACTCTGGCCATAAGAGCGTCCAGTACAGTCGGGCTGCTTTATGCTCAGTGATCAGCCCATGTTGGTCACATCCAAACAATTCAATGTGTATAGAGCGCTGAGAAGAAAGGAATAACAATGATGCATCGTAAAAGCGAAAAAAGTATGTATACAAGTCGATCACCGCTTCCAGCTGTCCACCTTCTTGCGACGCTTCTCGAAGATCTGTCCCACTCCCATCCCATCATCGCGCTGTCCGTCTTCATTTTTGCGCTTCCGACTCCGATCCAGCGCTGAGCCGCTTCCTTGGGCTCTCCGGGTGAGCTTTGTGATCCGGTCTGCTCCCTCAGTAAGACCACGCCATTCCTCTCCGCCAAAGGTGCCTCGCGGACCCTCAGCACGCAGACGTTTGGCCCGATCCTTCTTGCTCTCCTTCGCCAGACGCACGAAGTTGGTTTCTTCATATCTCGTCCGCTCAGCCTCACGCTCGCGATCCTTTTTAGACTTCGTCTGTCGTCCACCACGTACGATCGTACTCCCGATACTGGGCTCGGCCATAGGTGCGGATGACATCTCGGCGCTAACGAATTCATCAATGACATTGGACCTGCGTTGCGGGCGCTCCCTGCGCTCCCGGGTTTCGGTAGTCGGTAGGGCTGTGGGCATGATGCGAGGTGGTCGGTAGATGCCGTCGCTTGTCGCTCTCGCGGTCGCCTTATCCTGCTTGGCCTCAGGCTCGACCTTCTTGGAAAAGGCAGACACGTTAGGCCGGAATGCCATCTCATCTATATCCTCCTCCTCATCCTCATCCTCCTCGTCCTCCTCACTGTCTCCCTCGCTGTCGCTGCTACCTTCGTCGGAGCCAGATTCCTCGTCGCGAGCGGACTTCTTAGCCTTCTTGCTCTTCTTGGGGGCTGCGGCCCCGCGCTCAGCCCGCTCCGCATCCTCTGCAGCCTTGATAACCTTGTCAACCTGGTATTTCAGCCGTCCTTCCAAAGGCCGGACACCGCGATCCAAGTAGACACGTAGTTCAACGAGTTTCTTTACGATATCGTCCGGAAGCGAGTCGTTCGTTTCGGCGTCCTTGTCCGCGGATGACTTGAGACCCCTCAACTGGAATATGACCAAGAATACGAGGTTCTGCATGTAGGAAAGGAGGAGATCTGACTTGGTGTCAAGTAGCGAAATGCCATCTTGCGGCGGTTCGATCGACACATCTGATGGCGCATCCCGCTTCGTCTTGGGGAGCGATGATCCGGTGCTGTTGAGACACGTGGTGAGGGTCTCGAGCAGAGCCGAGATATTCTGCGAGCCAGAAGGCTCTGACTGGGATACGGCTGCCGCCATTGTGTGCTGTGCTGTCTGACTGTCTGTTGAGTTGTCCGTCGCCGAGATGGAGAGGGAAATTTTTAGAGACCGCTTATCGGCACGTGTCGATAGGCACTGGCTTAGTCAGACCTACGAGGTTCACGTGCGGCCAAGTGCGCGAGCTGGCCTCAATGCATCCGGGCAAGGCGTTCTCTTCTCAGCGAAGAGCCCGGTTTCGGTTCAATTCCTCGTTAAGAATCCCTGGTCTCCATCTCAAGCAGGTGGTTACTACCCAGACCACCCCCAACCCATGCGAGCTTGAAAATCGCTTGTGGCGTGGAAGCTGTAGCCTGTATGTATGCCACTGGAGCTTGGGTCCAGCCGAACCCCAGGGACATCCGCCAGCGACCGACAAGAACTAACTAATACCGCGCTGGAATAGAGATACCCACCATGTGGTTCAACAAACGTTCCTCGCCCATCGCTGCCCTCCTACTCACTGCTCCCTCATTATCCGCCGCTTTTTATCTTCCCGGAGTTGCGCCTACCTCCTACGATGAAGGTCAATCCGTACCACTCTATGTCAACCATCTTACGCCCGGCCTAGCGCAGCAGGATGAACAGCTCCATTCCGTCTTCTCCTATGACTACTATCACCCGGCGTTTCATTTCTGTACACCCCCCGAAGGTCCCAAGGATGTACGCGAGTCACTGGGAAGCATCCTGTTCGGAGACCGCATCCAGACGTCGCCTTTCGAGCTGCACATGGGCAAGAACGAGACCTGTAAGGCTGTCTGTGGCCCGGCATCGTTTGATGCCCGCAGCGCCAAGTTCGTCAACCGTCGAATCCAACAAGGATACAACATCAACTGGCTGGTAGACGGTCTTCCTGGGGCGCAGATTAACATGGAGGCTGTGACGCAGACCAAGTTCTACAGCCCCGGGTTCGCTTTGGGATCGATCAACGATGAGGGACAGCCGGTCTTGAACAACCACTTCGAAATCCTCATCGAGTACCACCGTGTCGGCTATGGAAACCAGGACAAGTACCGTGTTGTTGGCGTGCTCGTGCAGCCGGAGTCCCGGCGCAACTCCATGGTCTCGGATGATGGTACCGCCCAGTGTGATGGCGACGGTGTCGGCATCACCTTGAACGAGGAGGGCGAGACTGCGGTGACATGGACATACAGTGTGTACTGGCGTGAGTCGCCCACCGCATGGGCCACTCGTTGGGACAAATATCTTCATGTCTATGATCCGAAGATTCACTGGTTCTCCTTGATAAACTCGGCCGTGTTCGTGGTCTTCCTGGTCGCGATGGTGAGCATGATCTTGGTTAGGGCTCTGAAGAAGGATATCGCCCGGTACAACCGTCTGGACATGATCAACCTGGACGACTTCGACAGCACGTCCGCGGCGGTGGAAGACGGTATCCAGGAGGATTCAGGCTGGAAGCTGGTGCACGGAGATGTGTTCCGGTGCCCCAAGTCCCCGCTGCTTCTGAGTGTGCTTGTCGGTAACGGAGCTCAACTTTTCATGATGACGGGGGTGACTGTTGGTAGGTTGCCCTGCCGCTTAAACAGTAAGGTTTCATGCTAATAGCTATAGTTTTTGCTCTCTTTGGACTTCTCTCCCCCGCGAACCGTGGCTTCCTGGCCACTGCAATCCTTCTGATATATACGCTTTTCGGCTTCATTGGCGGCTACGTATCGGCCCGAGTCTACAAATCGCTGGGCGGCGATGCCTGGAAACGCAACATTATTATGACTCCAGTGCTGGTTCCCGCACTTATTTTCGGCGTGTTCTTCCTTCTGAACCTGTTCGTTTGGGCTAAGGGATCAAGTGGTGCTGTGCCCTTCGGCACTATGCTTGCCCTGGTCCTGATTTGGTTCGTGATCAGCGTGCCGCTAAGTGTTGCGGGAAGCTGGCTGGGATTTAAACAACGTGTACGTCGCATGCCTCCGAAATTGCTATGATGATTGCTAACTGCTTGTAGGCTATCGAAGGTCCCACTAAGACCAACCAGATCCCCCGCCAGGTTCCTCCGATGACGGGTACGCTGCGTACTGTTCCCTCTCTGCTGTTGACCGGCATCCTTCCCTTTGGGGCGATTTTTGTGGAGCTCTACTTTATTATGACCTCGCTGTGGACAAACAAGATCTACTACATGTTCGGTTTCTTGTTCCTCTGCTACGGGCTGATGGTTATCACATCTGCTGCCACGACTGTGCTGCTGGTGTACTTCTTGCTGTGCGCTGAAAACTACCGGTGGCACTGGCGGGCGTTTGCCGGCGCGGGAATGACCGGTGGGTATGTGTTCCTGAACGCACTTCTGTTTTGGATCACCCGGGTCAGCTTTGGTGGTCTCACCGGCGCGGTGTTGTATGTCGGCTACTCCGCTCTCATCGGATTTATCGTCTTCATTCTGACTGGTAAGAACCATTGTGAGCCCGAGAAGACTTATTCCACTAACCCTATGACTAGGATCCATTGGATTTTTCGCCAGCTGGGCGTTCGTGCAGCGTATCTACGGCTCCATCAAAGTCGATTAAGCTGTTCAAGGATTCTGACATGAGCGATCGCTCATCGCGGCGCGGCCCGCCCCCAGAGTCGTAGACCAAATGCCGAAATCTCATCCGGTATTATCGCAGGAGGGAAATCCGCAGCGACTCAGCACGCGCGGTGATCGCGGGGATGCTTCACGCAAATGTGCTTTTGCGATATATACATCGTAAAATTCGCTTGGAATCGTTCTGGATGGGTGCTGGGCTAGGATATCCCCTGTAAAGTTGTGTTCGGATTTCGCATCCGTTGGTTTTGGTTCTTTGCTTCATTCGCGCTTGTAATGGTCATGATGTGTACATAGAGAAGTCGGGAAAGACGGACGGGCGTTCGGCAGGCGACGCCCGTTGGCAGGATTAGAAATGCTGGACGCGCACGATTGAATGTACGATACGGGCCGCGCATACGGATGCAGGAAGCGTGAACGTAGTTCGGAGTTGCCTCGACCGCTCTAGGCCGACGTAGAAGAAGGTAGAAGAAGCAGGGGGACGGGAAGGTGGAGGGGAACAATTGGTAGACGAGCGAGTAGGAGCCGTGGATCTCAAACCGCTTACGCTTCAAACCTCGTCACAAAGTGAAGCCGCCAAGCCGCCGTGTTCTGGACCCGCGGCTCTTCCAGCATCCCCGATTCTTCCTCTGCCATCACCACGACGCCTTTCTTTCTCTCCGTTTTCCGCTGTCTCAGCTTTTGATCTGCACTTTAAACCCCCGACCTAGCATTTCAAGACCTTGTCAGCTGTGCTGGTTCACCCCCCGATCGACCGCCCTTTCTTCTGCCCCTCGGCCAAGCAGCGCACGCTCTTATCAATCCAACCCAAACTTTCGTCTACCCCGCGCCTTCCGAGACCCTGTTTCATCGCGCGTCCTTACCGTGATACATCGAACCTAGCGATTTCTTTTCTTTCTCAAAGACCTCCTACATTAGAACCGAGCGCTTGGAGCGTGTGTGATTCGAAGATGGGCAAGTCGTAAGTGTTGCGCTTTTCCGATCGCTCCGCATGGGTCTGGCCAGGAACAACAAGGGAACCGCTTCGGGCAGGGGACAACGGGCACCCATGGATGGTCGCACTCTAGCGATAGTGACTGCGCTGCGAAGTAATACAGTCCCTGATGGGAGTTGTCCGATGCTTGTCCATATTGCCTCGCTGGTGCCCTCTTGAGTCCCTCAGAACTACCCCTGCTACCCCGGACCTCGTGTGCCCCGCTTGTCCGCATCAAACTAATGTATTCACCGGTCTTTCAGGCAGTCGAAGCTCTCCCCCTCCCAGCTGGAGGAACTCCAAAAAGCCACGCATTTCGATAAGAAGGAATTGCAACAATGGTATAAAGGTGTGTGAGAGACATATCATGGGCTTCCGACCGGGTTCCCCCGGCAATTTTTCCTTCCCTCGTTGTGAAAGCAGCCGCTGACGAATCGCTGCGGGGCAGGATTCTTGAAGGACTGTCCGTCGGGGACACTCACCAAAGAGGAGTTTCAGAAAATCTACCGGCAGTTTTTCCCCTTTGGCGACCCGTCGTCATTCGCAAATTATGTGTTCCGCGTGTTCGACTCGGATAATAGCGGCATGATCGATTTCAAAGAATTCATCTGCGCCTTGTCGGTCACGTCGCGCGGCAAGATGGAGGACAAGCTGGACTGGGCCTTCCAATTGTATGACATTGATGGTGATGGCAAGATCACGTATGACGAAATGCTGGCGATCGTTGAGGCGATCTACAAAATGGTAAGTGCTGTGCGCCTAGTCGCCGTTCCATTTTCTGGCCCCCACGCCGGCTGACCCCCTTCTCTGCATCACAGGTGGGCTCGATGGTGAAACTTCCCGAGGACGAGGATACACCGGAGAAGCGCGTGCGCAAGATCTTCCGCATGATGGATAAGGATGAGAACGGCAGCCTCGACATGGAAGAGTTCAAGGAGGGCAGCAAGCGGGACGAGACCATCGTCAGCGCGCTGTCGTTGTATGATGGGCTGGTGTAGGGATAGATCGGCTAACTACTGCTACAACCACAACCACAACCACAACAGCAAGACTGTTACTAGCTGCTGTCTAGTTGGGTGGGCCGGTGGCATAATGACCATGGTTGCTTCTTCGCATCCTTGATGTGTCTCGGATGGTGAAACTCTCCTCCTGGTGAATTGGCGCTAACTGTTGACATGCTTTATCTGCTTCTGCTTCTTTTCGTCCATTTTTGTGACTTGGCTTCTTCTTCTCTTTTTCTTTCTTTCGTTCTATGTGTTTGCTCATTCTTCAGGATTCCCATTATTACTGCTCGTATTGACTTGATAAATGCGCCCAAGCCTGGAATCCACCGCCATGCCTTTGCACTAACGCACTACCGATAGTTGTCGCGGCTGCTCATAGCGGTATTTTTGATTGTCCATTTTCTTTCTTAAACTTCTTGCTGAGCTGGAACTATGGCCGCTGGAGACAACCTGGGTATGTACAAAGGGTGAGAGGGGAGTCAATTCCCGGCCGATGAAAATATATTTATGATCGCTTGTACATAGTCGTTTAGCTGTTATTTTGACTATTTTTTTTTTTTTTCTTTCTTTTTTTTTTGGGCAGGTTGTTTTGTAGCGGCGTTGCTTCATCGCATGTGTCGGTATGATTGCAGTGACTATTAGCTAAAGACAGATACAGCTCGTTCATTGAATGGCGGCCATGAGCACGATTTGTATGTGGTTTACTATGCTCATTAAAGAATACAAAATCGAGTCTTCTCACATGTACCTCCAAGCAAATACCGAGTAGTAACTAAAGCATCCACATCACCCGGGATTTGATTCGGTGTTACATAGTACTAGTTGGCAGCCCGCAACCAACCAAATAAACAAGCAATATAAATAAACACCATAACCTTCAAATAAGTAAATATATTTTCTGCATCAAAAACCGGACTCCTCCCGAGAACCGGGATCTGTCCCATTAGCAATATTATTTGCTTTTTCCCCCTTCTCCCAACTCATCCAGTGACGAATGATGAATTCTTCATATGCACGACCATATCACGGACGGGGGGACTACATTGGGCACCGTGCATAATTCTCTTTCTTGTCTTTTTCTCACTATTGACATCGGCATCATGCCGATCATCCCACATTAAGATTGTCTATTGTTCCTGCGAGAGTTAACTTCCTGGTTTTGTGTCCCGCCAATCGTAGAGACGGTCAGGAACGGTTGTGCTTTTCCGATTTTAACCGGGACTCACTAGTTGCTGGGATCTAGACGTGGACGGAACTTGGAACTGAGTTTTTATTCCTTATGCGGTCGGGGGGAAGTTTATCGCTACGCTGGTTATGGTTATGCTTTGCTGCTTGGTATAAGGTTTGCATGTGGGTTGGAGACACATGGGGGGCCTCGTGTGGGGAGAAATCTTCTTTGTGATGGGATGGATTAGCAGGTTGGAAATGGGGATGAAGGAAAAGTACAGAGTAGTAGCTGTTGAGTAACACTGTATAACTAAGTAATTTCTTGGGATAGTAGCAGTGTTGTCAGTAGGAGAGAAAATAGAGAAAGAGAGAGACTAGGATGAGATGATGGATCGCCTCCCGGTGTCGATCCGGACAGACAGCGGGCCAATCACTTGGATTCAACCGGACAAACTCGAGGCCATCCGTCCATCCTGGAGTTTCTTGGGAATCCTGGAGAGTTGAAGGCAGTCCCTCTGGTCCATGATTCCTCGCAACCAATTGAGTCCAGACTCTCTCGCCCAGCCCTGCCGATGCTGCTCCACCACCTCCACCATCCATCCATCGCCATCCTCTTTCTCCTCCGTTCCATTATTGCCTTCTCCCCCGTTCCTTTCTCCCTTCTCTCACCCACCACCCCTCGCTTCCTCTCACTTCATCCACTCCCTACCATTCTCAACTACTACTCTTACTCGAAATTGATTCATATCTTCTCTTTTCTCCCCTCCACTTGACTCCTTTCTCCCCCCTCCCCCCCCCCTTTTCTCACGTCGCTCGATCTCCCTCACCCCCCTGCCTTCCCCCCTGCGTCCCTGCCTCACATTTTCTCCATGCCTTGGCTGCCAGATCGCAGCGGTCTGGCTGGGGCTGTTGATCTATCTTCAGCATGGTCCGAGTGCCACGCGGTTGTCGGGCTTGCGCTGACGCCCATACTCAGGTGCGTGTGTGATACGGATAATCGAATCACTGATGGTTCCGTGTTGGTCGTTGGCTTCCTTCATTGTTTGCTGTCCTCCCCCAAGCATCGGGCCGCCCGTCCTGGCGTCTACTAGTCGCCATTCCTCTCCTTGTGCTTGACCCCTGAACCCTGTGTTGCACAGATGTTGGCTGTTGTTTCTTTGTCTGTTGCTGCATGCTTTGCCCCCTAAACCTGCCAGATGTGCCAGATGTCAATTGCCGACGTTCCTTTCTGGACTACATGGTATCCACCAGGGTTTTGCTGCTGCTGCATTATTCAATTCTCCGGGTGTCCGCCTCCTTAATGAATGAAGGCCAAAATGTGTGTCTGGTTTGCGAAGGTCAGGTTCTAACCGTCAGTAATCGGCTCTCTTCTAGTGCGACGGCAAATCCCCTTGTAATCACTGCAAAACCCGCAACGTGCCTTGTCTAAGCCAGGCCCGAACCTTCAAGTTCCGCAACGAAGTACCTGCTCTCCAACAACGTTACCGCACTTCCATCTCACCGACCACCTCCACTACTTCTTCTACTTCCACATCCACTGCGTCGTCGCAACTTGTCCCCCGCGCACCCCGCGAGAGGGACCCGCCTTCTCCAGGTTCGGCCCGCGGGCGCGACGTGCGATTCGCCCCGCTGCCGCTGTCAATGGACGAATCCGTCTCGCCGTCTCTGACCGTCACTGCGGTCTCCGCGCAACAAACCCAAATCTTCACCAATTACGTCCTCACTGCCTTCCCTTGCTTCTTCAAATGCACCGAAACTCGCGTCCCCGTCAATTGGGTCGAATATGTCGACCGTCGCCGTGGCGCCATGAACTCCTGCTTCGACTGGGCCATTCGTGCCTGCACCCTGTCTTATACCGCCTCCCTCTACGATATCCCTGAATTCAATGACGTCGCGCGCTCCTTCTACACCCGCTCTCTCGCCGGTCTCGCCGGCCTTCTCGCCGACGAGTCGACCGCCAAATCCGACGAAGCTCTCTCCACCGCAATTGTCCTCGCCGTGTTTGAGAAACACCACTGTACCGGCCCAGAGGCGTGGATCCACCACGCCCACGGTATCCGCGCCTTGCTCAAACTTCGTGGCCCCAGGGCCCATCTCTATGGTTTCGGACGTGCCATGTATATTGTCTACCGGCCGATGCTTGTCTCCGCTGCCCTCATTGAGGGCGAAGCCTGCTTTCTCGAGGAGCCTGAATGGCAAACCCTCAACGAGCAGATCTCTGACGACAACGCCAAGCTGCCCGATTCGTCATTATATACGGATGTAGTGGACCGGGGGCTGCGCGAGATTATAAAAATCCCCGGTTACGTCAAACGCGTCCGTGAGCTACTCTCTTTACCCCTCACCAAACGGGCCAAGCTCGAACCCCCCTTGCTGCAAAGCGTGCAAGCTACCCGCGCTGCCCTGCGCGGTATCCACACCGAGTTCGGTGTGGCCATATCCATGCTTCGTGCCGGCCACAGTAAGCCGCGCGGGTTCATCGGACCACTTCCCCAATTTTTCTTCGAGGGATATTCGGCGCATGTCACGCGGGGCGTGCACGCCGGACTTACGATCCTGAATTACCTCGTCATCATGCTGGACCCGAGCCAGCGTGAGACACTACAGAAAGAAGCTCGTCTGTTATCCAACCCGCCATCCCCGGAGAGTGTGGTCAGTCCGGCGTCGGAGTACAGCTCCCCGGAGACTCCGTCAAGCTCGCCGGGGCATCCCCAGCTCGTTGTGGAGTCACTGATCACCCCGGACTATAAGCAGGGTCCGACAACGGACTGGATGGATCAGTTGACGTCATCAATGGGGATGGACGGGGTGCGGGTGCGTATTGTTGACTGATTACAAGAGTTGGGTATGTATAGCACGTTTGGAGTTTGTGAATTGGACTGGCTTTATCTTGTTGCTCTTGGGATGGTTTGGTTGACGGTTAGATACCCATTGATTGTTTGGCGAAGATGGGAAATGACCCTGCAGGATTGGATTGATGTGTATATGCCCAAAAAAGTAACGGTTTGGTACTGTAACAAACGAATTGAATGCTTCGGACTGAAGGAATTAGGTATAGTTTGTATATAACACTACTCAGGAGTACAAACATCAATTCCCGCACAAGCTATCTATATTTGCTCGTGGATCTAGTACATTTGCGGTGAACAAACCCGCCTACCCATTGAAACAGACAGCCAACCACACTAGTTCCAAATATACCTCTTCTTGAAAAATATACAAGAACTATATACACCCCCTACTGTTCTCCCAATCCCTCCATACCTCTCACAACTCGCAACTTACGCCCTCACCCTATCCTCAACCTCAATTTTACCCACAAACCTCCCCAATCTCCCCCTCATACATCTCCAACGTCCTCCACCTCGCCACACTCCCCTTCCCCGTCATCACAAACGGCTTCTCCCTCCTCGCAACAACCACCCTCTCCAGCCCCAACCGCACACACTCATGACACCGTTCATTAACCCTATCAAGATATGGTCTCAACGACTCCACAAACTCCCTCCTCTTCCCCTCATCCTCCACATCCTCAACAGCCTCCACCAGCAACACCGGCTTCGCCCGCCCATGTCCCCCAATTAGGGCATTCTTGACCCCCGGATGTGCCACAATCTCCGGCTCCAACAGCGCAGCATTGATCCCGTCCCCGTGCGATAAGTACACGTAGTCATCTACCCTCCCGATAATCTTCCATAATCCCTTGTGGACGGGATGTTCTTGCCAGAGGTCCTTGGTTTCGAAGCGTGAGAGGTCCGGGTAGAGTTTGAAGATGGGTTGGAGGGCGCAGGAGGGGTCGCGGATGAAGACTAGTTCGTGGAGTTGGCCATCGCCGCGTGGTTCGAATGCTACGCCTGTGTGCTTGTTGAAGGTTAGGTAGTCCCATGCGTCTGTCCGGTGGGGGTGCAGTTCGGTGAAGTAGCCGCCTGCTTCGGTGCTGCCGACTGCGGGAAATATGGGGACGTGGGGCAGCAGGAGGGAGGCGGTTTTGGGGGATAGAGGGGCGCCCGCGTAGTGGATGTGTTGGAGGGAGCGGAGGGCGGAGAGGCCCTCCGGTGTGAGGGTTAGGGCGTCGATTAGGGAGGGAGGGAACATTGCTGTGGTGACGTTGCCGTGGTGGAGGAGAGAGATAATGGTTGAGGGGGTGGGTGGGCTGGGAGGTCCGATTACGGCGGTCATGTGGATGAAGGTTGTCATGGAGAGGGAGAGGGCCATGCCTACGAACTGTTTTGGGGTTTTAGTTAGGGTTTATGGTTGAATGGGAGGTGTGGTGGGTGCGCGTACGTGGAGTGATGGTAGTGGGGTGTAGCAGCGGCGCTGGGCGTAGTGGTGGATTTGGGTCTCGCCGATGTCAGAAAGTGAGGCGACGATGTCTGCTCCGGCCATCATTTCGTGGGTGTAGGTTACTGGTTTGGGGTTTCCTGGGATGGTTGGTATACTGTCTTGATTGTTATGGGAGGGGATGTACCTGTTGTGCCTGAAGTGTGGAACACTAGCCATGGATCTGCTCTGCCTTCCTCGTAGGTCTTGCTGTAGTTGACTGGCTCTGCTTCGGCCTCTTGCATGAAGGCTTCAATATCTGGCACTGTAACGGTCTGGACATGTGGAGCTGCTTTTAGAATCTCTGCAACAGGCGCTTCCATTGACGACGGTCTCAAGTAGACTGTGCACCCTTTCTTCTCGAGAATATGCAGCTGGGCCTCGGGAGTGACTAGTGGCGAGGGAAGGACCATCTATGATTGTTCTCAGAATGAAGTCCATTTTGGATGTCTGAGAATTATTACGTACCACTCTCTGCACCTTCGCCGCTGCCACTGCCAGAATCTGGTATCGAAGATCCTTAGGTCCAGCATAGGCGAAACATTGGAACGGCTCAGACGTCGGAGGCAGGTTCTGCTTCAACCAGTGTGCTGCATGGTTGGCCGCGTTGTTCAGCTCCTTGAAGCTGATATCGCGAAATCCCTGTGACAGGTCCTGGTCATTGATCGGTACGGAGACCCATGGTGGGGTGTTGTCTGCTTTGGCTCTGGCCTCGATTACGGATGTAAGGATGCGCTGGCCGTGTTGGACACCTGGGAGAGGGAACGGAGATTGGAAAGAAGATGCCATTTAGTATGTGCTGTTATTAACGTTTGGTGAAAATCGTCGACAATTGGTGAGAAAATGTCAAGAAGAAGTGTCAGCCTGGAGACATGACTGCATTATATACTAATTCCTAAGCGCCCCGCAGCCTTGTGAAGCTCCGCTTGCAGGCGTTAGCACACACTTAGGCATCTAGTAAGCACTAGAGGATGCCCGGCGGCTTTTAGCAAGTCAGCCCAGACAAAATAAGCTGAGACTCTGGCAGGTCTGTGCAACATTTATCCGTGTCATCGTCATCGACTTAAACGAAGAGAGCGTGAAGAAGAGGGAGTCGAACTGAATTCATTGCATGACAGGCTTGTTTAAGTCATGCAGGGATGCGGGTTGACATGTCCTTCCGGCCCATCCAGCGTATCTTCGCAGCCAATACATCCCTCAAATTCTGCTTCAGTATTGCGAGTAACTCATAGTGTTCTGACAGTTAATGGGGACTGAGACTCAGAATGGGTTATTGTCTGCTTTGGCTCTGGCCTTAATTACCGAGGTGAAGATGTGCTGACCGTATTGGATACCGCGGCGGAGGAACCGAGGTTGTAGAAACTAACAAGAGCCTGTTCTGAAGAGCCTGTTCTGAACTGCCTCTCAGCGATTTTGGTTGTGATGATAGAAAGATAGGAATATGAGTATATGTCACAATATGGATCTAGCAGGAAACGTAAGAAGCTCGGCTACAAGATGGTTGACTATGTAGAGATGAAATGCTTTGGAAAAGTAGAACTTGCAGGGCGAAAAGTATTGGAATTCTATCTCAAGTGGTACTAGATAAATAAACTAGTATTGATGCTATCATCAAGTTCAGCTGTACCGGAGCTAAAGCGCAAGAATAGTGACTACCACGAAGAGTCTATCCAAAAATCATGGACCCTTGGGGCTCCAATCTCCCAGCTGGTCTAGCTTAATGTGCTATAAAGAAGGATATTTAGACTAATAACAGAGCAGGCGACCGTATTTTACAAATTGTTAGCCATTGGTGTTGACCGTACAGTAGAATCTAACCCGCCGAGGGTATACCATTTTGATAACAATAGCATTCCGATGGGAGATGTGGAGGGTGTAACTCGGCAGCTTAGCTCAGAGTGGCGGACAGTTACTGCTAGAATCGCCTAGGCTGCTAGTGATCCATCCCCCAGGGAATGAACCATTATTGAGTTCGTAGTCTAGAAAATGCGTTCAATTCAAAGATTCTGCCCCCTACCGTAAGTCTGTAAGTATATTAGTACGTTCAAGGTTATTTGTTCTTTAGCCCTTTGTGGAAGAACTTTTGCAAGTCTGGAAATCCTCTGTTTCTAACAATATATGGGTCATATTCATGAACATCTAGGTTCTCGGGATCTTTGAGGGTGGATAATAGTTAGGAGATGAAAGATGTGGCGACGGAGGAGACGAAGGCCGTGAATAAACCCCGTAGGTGACAGAGAATCTGGTGAAGCATCTGGCTACGGTGTATGTCCCAATCTGCCAGAATGAACTGGTAGCATGCTAGAAACATAACTTGCACTATACTATAATCACTGCATCTCTTGACGGCCCAGCCTCGTGAAAGGGAAGCTGCACACTGACCAGTGTTAGTGATCGCAAAGATCTGGTAAGCACCGCATAATGCCCAGCTCCCATTACAATAGGGAAAATGTGACTCAGGCAGATCTGTTCAGTTTTCATCTGTATTATTGTCATCGGCTCTTGAAAGACAAGAAGTCAGCCAGAATGATTCAATGTGTGACAGGCTTATCTAAGCCATGCAGGGATGCGCGTTGACAGCTCCTTTCAGCCTTTTCGCTTCATCCAGCGCATGCAACTCCTCTCGCGATCTACTTCCACTACTGTAAGTAGAACATGGCTAAGCGACTCGCCCAATCACTTCGTGTCTGGTCAGCGTTGGGGCGCAAGTCCCGCACTTCGTTCCATGGCACCGGCCTGGAGCTTCCTCCCGAACCCAAGATCGAAGAGGAGAAGGTCCCAGGCTTCAAACCCAGTGCCTATTTCCCCGTTAAACCGGGACACATTTTCAATGATCGCTATGAGGCCTTGACCAAGCTTGGCTGGGGAGTGAGCTCCACCGTCTGGCTTGTTCGCGATCTCCAACAGTATGCCGCCCACCTCCTCATCCCCACAGTGCTAATGCCCGGACCATACTACTAGATGGAAATGGCTCCCGGAACGCTACCTGACATTGAAAATCGGCACTTGCGACTACGCGGAAGGCCATGAAAGTCATGAACTCAATATGGAACAATGCATCCGTGACTCCAACCCCAAACATCCAGGCCACCCTCTTTTGAGAACATTTGTCGACTCCTTCGAAGAGAAGAGCCCGAACGGGACACACATCTGTCTGGCCTACGAGCCCTTGCGAGAGCCCTTGACACTTCTACAAGGGCGTTTCCAAAACGATAGATTTCCTCTTGACATCCTCAAGGGATACATCAAGTGTCTCCTGATGGGACTCGATTACTTGCACTCCGAATGCAAGATCATCCATACCGGCTAGTACCACTTATAGTTCCCCCAGTATATCCAGCACAGTATCCTCATGATTTGCAACTACATAGATATAAAAGCGGCCAACATCCTCGTATCTATCGAAGACTCTTCAGTCCTACACAGCTTTGCCCAATCCCAACCATCAAAACCCATGTCCCAGAAGACAGTTGGCGACCATACCATTTACCTCTCCCACAACAACTTCGGCCGCCCCAAATCCCTTAACTTTCTTCCAGTTCTTTCTGACTTTGGATCCGCTCAATTCCAACTCGACGGCGTCACAAATACCTGGCCAATTCAACCGGATTGTTACCGCGCACCCGAGGTACTTCTCGGCGCGGGCTGGTCATACAGCGCTGACATATGGAACCTAGGAGCAATGGTACCCCACCCACCTCATCGACCGAACAAATACATATTAACAATGTGTTGATACACAGATATGGGAAATGCTCGAAGACAAGATCCTCTTCTCTAACGCCCGCGACTCAAACCTGAAAGGCACCCCAGCCGCTCATCTCGCGCAGATGATAGCCTTTCTCGGCCCGCCACCTCAGGAACTCATAGCCCGGGAGAAAGAAGGACTCAACCGAACATTCGGTATAAAGCTACGGAGTCCCAATGGAAAGCTTTGCAACTCACCTGTAGAGTGGTTCGGTGGGCCGTTTTTTGATGAGAACGGTGAGTTTATACCTTCCATCCTACTACTTGCTGTCTGCTATGGATACTATACTGACAAAAGCCACCACTATAAAAAATTAGGGGAATTTCTACACAAGCATCTCATCCCAGAAAACCAGACTCTCGAAGACACAGTGACCTACCTTAAGGATACAGAGAAAGACGGCTTCCTGGCTTTCGCTAGGAACATCTTGCAATGGCTGCCTGAGAACCGGAAGACGGCCAAAGAGCTGGCTGATGATCCATGGTTGAGTGAAATCGTGGTTTCAGTCAAAGAGTAGTCGTGAAGGTATAGGCTGTTTTTGTACGATACGTAGTAGATGATACCCCTCTCCACTCTGCTTGTTTTATGTGTAAATCTAAGTGTATATAGAATAGAAATCTCAGCTCCGTTGTCCATAGTATACTCGAGATTCAGACTACACTTACGAAATTGGAAAGGACACGCAGGATACAAAACTGGCAATTGATGGTCTTATCCTTCTTAAGTAGTATTATCATAGTGGACACAGAATTTGAAGGGAGAAAGGCTGTCTCTATATTGTTTACAAAAGTACTAACACTCAAGATAAACACCAAACAACTATATAGTGCCGGACACCTCGTGTATGTATACTAGATAGAAGTGCCAATCAAATTAGAATGTACATACTCCGTGCTTCGAATCGAAAGACAATGATTTTAAGCGCGAGCAAAAGACTGAAGCGAGTCTCTACATCAGGCCATCAAAATGCTATGGTAGGACATCAAACCAAGTAAACTGTGTTGAAATCCAATGTTATACATCGAAATGCAGGTAATTAGGGACTCAGAAAACAAAAAGTAAATTAAATGACAAGAGTGGGATTCGAACCCACGCCATCGAAAGATGATCAGGAAGCTTGTGGAAGCTGATTTATTTAGGTGGACCTAAACCTGACGCCTTAGACCAACTCGGCCATCTTGCCTGTATTTTCGTTGGTGGGTAGCGAGTGATGTTCATTCATTTCCTAGGATCATCATGTGGTAAGTACAAGTTAATATCCAATACTATATATATAATGGTAGTTCGCTTTTCAATAAGTTTTTTCCTGGTAGTAAACATACACTAATTCTAATATCATCCAATGTTATTACTCGTCTTCAAGGATATATCGCTGTAGTGAGCCAACACAATCAAGTTCCTCATTCTCACGCTGAATCACCACCGACCGAGCCTTGTATTTAGGGTCGCTCAATACCTGCTCTACACTCTCTTTGATGGTCTTGGGGCTGGGGGTATCGGTTCGCAGGTTTATACCGATTCCGGCCCATTCTCCGCGCATGCATACTTCGCCCTTGTCTTCTACGGATACGGTGGTTGTCGTTAGTGATTGGTCAATTTCCAAGGCCGAGGGAGGACTTACGAACTGTCCCGGCTAACACCATGGGCACTCCGTTCATCACACCATGCATAAAGCTGCCATACCCGCCGTTTGTCACGAAGACGTCAACGTACGGAAGAACCGCATCGTATGAAAGGTAATCGATGACTTGGGCGTTATCGGGTATCTCGAAGTCATCGTCCAATACTGCGCCCTTCACTCCTAGCACGCCAATGACCATGACATCTGTTCGGTTGGCAAAGGCCTGTACGGTGGGGATGAGCAGGTCCTTGTAATGGATCTTGACAGTACCCTGGGTAGCGAAGACAACTTTCTTCGGGTTCGTGGCCCGTCTGTTCGTCTCCAGCTCACCCCACCATTCAGGCAGGGATGTAGTCGGGTCGATTTCCCTGCGTGGTGTGCCGCCAATGAACCGGACCTTGGGCGAAAGGTCGCTGCGCGGGTACTCCAAGCTTGGGGAACAGGGCTGTAGGAGGATATTATGACCCGTGCTCCACAGGTCGAATAACCACTGGTCTACTTTCATCGTTGCTCCAAGAGATGCAAACACGCTATTGGTGTAGTCGACTAGATCATCGCGGATGGCTTTCTCGGTGGCGTACATGGCAGCGTTGCGGGCTCGGCCGTCGTCGCTGGGGTCGGGAGGTAAACCGTGGCCGAACGGTGCTGTGTCGACACTTGAGACGAGCAAGGGTGAGGTGGAGAATGTGAGGGTCTTGGGAAATCGCTCGTAACCTTTGGGTAGGGGTGCGCCGAGAAGGAAAGGCCAGGTGCCCATGTAGCCGAGCTCTTGGATGAGAATGACCTCACGGTTTGGGTGCTTTTCGCGGAGAGTTTCCAGGACGGCTTGTAGTGACTTCATTCTGGATGCGGTCATGTCAACGAAATATGTCTTCAGGCTCCAGACAGTGCGTGCGATTCGATCGGGAATTGTCTTCACGTAGTCTAGGCTCTCGGGGGAGTATAGGTTTTTTATTGGGTAGAAGGTTGCGCCGGTTTTGCGGACGAGAGCTTCAAACTCTTGACCGCCGATGAAGGAGACGTCGAAGCCTTGTTTGGTCAGCGCGGTGGCATGAGGGAGTAATGGGAGTGTGTGCCCGATTATTGTCGTGCAGGCAATGACGATAAGTGGCTTCGAGCAGTGATCCTCAGATGGGGTTACCTTGGTGTCGATAGTCATGATTCCGGATTGGCACACTGAGACATACGCAGTGAAGGAATCCGCGGGCCTTTCCTGAGCAGTATGCTGATGAACTAGTTGTTTTAAAGGAATTCAACGAGTTATAATGAAGCGGTGCTGGTGGGCAAGTATCGCCAGTTACAAAGGTCTCCTTTTATACTCTGTCGAGGAACCTCTAGCTAGCCAGCCGCAATGCAACTAGCGCGGGAAACTTGATGTATGTATTGTCGTGCGATCGATCTCTCAGATCTCGCCTGGTGTGGGGTGTATCGACCAATGAGCACTGCCATTTCGAGATTCGATGAAAGGGCGAAGCATTGAATCCCGTGTAGGAGGTATGCGGGCCCTCAGAAGAGTGAAGACGTAGCTGTCAGTGTGTGAGCAGATGGTCTCTGTTGTCTAAGCACATTCCCCACAACCGACGCATGCGCACAGGCCCAATGGGCTGTTGAGTTCTAGACCAAGGGAGAACATGTCTGCTGTTGACATTCCTGTGAGCAAATGGACATGCACATGGACGGGCAAGGGGCTAAGCTTTCGATGGCTCTGACATGGCTCCATTGTAGAGCTTAGCTGAAGGAAGGGAGGAGAGAAAGCAGAAGAAACGAATAATAGCGACCTCACCTGACTAGCAGACTCGGTTGAGATGCAGCCTCCAGTTCATTCGAAGGAATGACGGCTAGCCATAAGGGAACTCTCACTCATATTACTTCATGGCCCCCAGCCCAAAACACTAGCACAAGGTTGTTACCCACATACCACAGTCGGTAGTCGCCTGCGTGTACCTGTTTATCCGGACAGCGATGGAATGAATGCCTTGAATCTTTTTGTGGCGGTGAAAAATATATTGGAAAGGATCGTCTCTATCATGCATGTCATCACGTGGAAAATTGGGTTCTGGACTCCAAGCATTGAACGAAAATAGTGAACTTGAACCAGCTAACATAGCAGTAGATCAGAAAATGGCTACGGAGAAACATTCCATAATCTAACGTGTCATTTCTATCAACCACCCATGTCGCTATCAACTACTGCGGCCGTGAACACTTCTATCTGTCATGTACAAGGGTATCGGTGAGAACCATAGGCCTCTCGTAACATAGGCTGCGGACTCCGAACGTGCCAGATTGCAAACGAGGGGAGGAAAGGAGGGATAAGTATAAAGGAACAATCATGAAATAAAATAACAAACGCGTTCATCCAACGTCATGCCAATGACCGTACGCGAGGATATCGACATGTCAACAGGGCTTCAAATATTTTCGGAGAATGGGTAAAAGAGACAGCAAAAGAGAAATCGTGGATCATCGTCGATCAAAAAACCAGCTGGTACGCTTCCCAGTCTCCTGCGACTGGACTCCTGCAACTGGAGCACTGCTCTCGTTTCCTCCGCCGCCGCCTCGGAGCGGCTTTGCGATTCTCGAGCCGCCAAAACTGAAACCGCCGCTGCCATCCATACTTGGAAGACCCCTCGTAGAGCCCTGCTTCGCAGCTTCGAGTCGCTCTTTGACCGCAGTGAGTTGGGCTTCAAATCTGTATCATCATGTAGTCAGCAACCTGCTTTCGTTCCTTTGTCAAAAGAGTGGAGAGGGTCGTACCGGTGATTCGCTTGGGTGAGTTTCTCCTGGCTCTCCTGGAGCAGGCTCTCCAAGCTCGCAATCCGCTCGTTCCGGGCAATGAGCTTTCTCTCCGCAATAGCAACCTCCTTCTTCAGGCTGCTGTTCTGTTCTACCAGCTGCCGCTGCACATGAGTCAGCTGCTCCAGGTTGCGTTCCAGGAACGCCATCTTCTTCTGCTGAGCCCGGTTGTTCGACGAACGGAGAACGTTGTTATACTGCTCCCGAGCATCGTCCAGCGAGATCTCAAGCTCCACAACGCGCTCGCAGCGGTTCTGGAGGTCGCGCATGAGCGACTTCTTCATGGCATCAAAGTCGGCAATCTGCTGCTGCAGGTTCTTGCCGGCTGCGCCGTTGGTCGAGACCCGGGATTGGGAGTCTGCAAGGGACTGGCGCAGCTTGTCCAGCTCATCATCCTTGCGTGCAATCTCGTTCCTAAGGTCCGTGACTGCCTGCATTTCGGCCTCCTTCCGGGTCACGTACACCTTCTCCAACCGCTCCCGGATTTCCTCCACGTCGCCTTCGCCCAGGTTCCGCTCCAGAAGGTTCTCATAGTCCCGCTCGAGATTCGCCAGCTTCTGCTCAACTTCCGCTCTACGGCTGTCCTGCAGCTCATTGAAATCTCCCCGGTCGTTCATCGTGAGCTCGGCTTGACGGATGAACCCTTGGGTCTCCAGGAGACTCGCCCGCAGCTCCATAAGGTCGTCAGGCGCGATCGTCTCGCCGGCTTCGCTGACCTTGTGCAAGGAATCGACCCGCTGGATCAAGTCCTGAAGCTTGCGTTCATTATCGGAGAACACGTCACCGCCCAAGTCGAATCCGGCCATCATCTTCGCCATCTTTTCGGCCTTCTTCTTCTCCTTCTCGTCCAGTGCAGCGCTGGTCTCCTTGGCCTTCATCCGAACGTCGAGAAGCTGCTGCTTAACATCGTCCAGCTCGGTAGTCAACTCGGAGTTAGCCTCGCGGAGGCTGTCCATAGTGATAGCGGCCTCCTTGCTTTCATACGACACCTTCTCCAACTGCATACGAAGCTCATTGACCTCGGTGGTCAACTTATCGTTGTCTTTACCTGAGCGGGCGGAGTTCTCTTTCATGCTTCTCAACTCCTCCCGCGCCTCACGGAGACCTCTTTCGACGTTGGCGATGTGCGACTCCTTCTCCGCGATCTGGTCCTGAAGCTCATTCTCGCGTCTAAGGAACTCCTCTCTCTCGTCCTTCTCGAGAACAAGGCTAGGTGTGCTAGAGCGATCGCCAAGCCTGGACTCAGGACGAGGAGTCTCAGATCGAGGCGTGTCCTGGAAACGGGAGGGCGTACCGGGCCGTGGTGCACGAGCCTCGGCCTTCGCGGCGCTCACAGCATCCCCTCTGGCGGGAGTCCAGCGATCCTTGGGAACGGCCTCGCCACTGCGCCACACGTGTACTTCAGTCTCAAGTTGTGAAATATATGTTTCGAAATTCGTCACCTGGCTCTGGGCCTTGCGCAAAAGTGCCTTCAGTTCCGAAGGGCTCAATTCGGCGTTGACCTTCGCCTTGTTCTTGATTGCCTTGGCGCGCACACCGAAACGCAGGGTGGAGATGGTTTCCGCGTCGTTGTAGCTGCTGGGGGAGCAGTTGATGATCAATGTCGTTCTCGAGTTACCCCCCAAACTCTCTTGCAGAATACGCGTGAGCTTGGAGTCACGGTACGGGATATGCGTGGATTTGCCATCCGTTAGCGCGTTGATGACCATACCAAGAGCACTCAAACTCTTGTTGATCTTCTTTGCTTCTTCGAGCGTCTGACCACTGGCGCCCGTCTTTCCAACCTTCTCACTACCTGCCAGATCCACCAAGAACAGCTGTCCGCTCTTCGCAGAGCCGGTTTCCAGGTTCTTCTGTGTAACAGTGATGACGAAGATGGAGTGGGACCGAGAGGATTCCTGGTTCATATTTGTCGCCGCAACCGCTCTTGCTGTACCACCACGTCGCATGACTTCGTACACCTCCTGGACGCTTGACACGTATACCTCCAGGAGACCCTTGACATAGACACCTCTCGATTTCTCCTCGTGAACGGGAAGGTTGTCGTTATGCGGCACCAGCAAATCTCGAATTCGTTCCATGTAGATTTCCATGTAACTCACGCGGACGGTGTACTCGATGTTGCTTGGGCTGGTGAGGATGCTGGCGAAGATCTGCTCGACAATGCGGGGAATGATACCCTTGCCAATATCATCGTCGATGTCCGAACCCATCATGGTGTAAGACTTTCCTGCACCCGTCTGACCGTAAGCGAAGACCGTGCCATTATAACCGTTCAGAATATCGTCTACGGTGGGCCGAATCGAGAAGTCGAAGATATCCGTTTGTTTCGAGTCCATAGGGAACACGCGGTCGAAGGTGAAGGCTCCAGAGCCATCACGGGCCTGAACTGAGTTAGCCCACTAGGCGAACTTGCCTCCTATGCCACACCCCCACAAGTCGAGAGAAACGCTCACATTAACGTAACATGATTGCTCATTTTCGAATTCAACAATCGGCTCTCCTCCAGAGGACAACTCAACCTTGTTTTGCGGTCGGAACCTCGCAACCACTGTGTGTGAACCGTCAGTTTTAAGATCACCTCCAAACTCAAAAAAGTATACGACGCGGCGGGGAGTTGATGCGCACCCTTAATGGTGTTGTTCGAGCCGTTGGGGCCAGATGACCTGTCAAGCGAAACAAATCAGTCCTAACCGCTCCCACGGTCAAGCGGTGAAGCAACCAGAAACTCACGCCATGTTCAGTCTGACCCGAACAGAAAAAAACCGATGAAGATAGAAGAGGACAAGAAGGAAAGAAAGCCCCGAGAGGAGGGGATTGAGTGAGGGGGGACTTCGTTCAGATCAACAATGAGGCAAGTCTGCTTTGGAGGGCCAGGGTCGGTGGGCGGTGTTGTTTGGGTCAGGGGTCCACGTGCACTAGACCGAAACGAACGTGTGCAATAAATGCGCTATCGGCAGCCCCAAGAATTAAGAGAGATCGGGCAACAGAAAAAGGGCCCCAGCACCCATGAATAGACAACGATCGTGAGTTGTGACGTGGTCTTGGACTGGTCTTCCCTGCCTAAGGTGGGGAGCAAAACAAGTGTGGGTGTGTATGGTTGTGAAGTTAGGTATGCAGCATTGTTTCTGGGAACTCTGGAAGTTGTTCCGGTGCAAAGCAGGCAGGCATCTGGCTTTCCCCCCTCCGTTTTAGAGTGTTCTTGGCGCCCGCCTAACCATCCTCAAGTGCCGCATGTCCATCCCCGCCAAACATGAAGAATGTTGCATGTAGTCATTGACTGTTGTACCTGCCTTACGGTCTGATTACGGGAAGGGCTCATATGAGGGGCTCGGGTTAAAAATTATAACTGGTCTGGGACAAAAAAGCCACGCAGTGAGGAGATAAGAGTTATGTGACATGCAGCGAAGGTAAACAAGAGCCCGACAGAGTTAATGCATTATGCAAAAACACACTGAAAAATATAATGCAGCTATCCACAATACCGAATGAAATATTAAATGTACCAGGCGCCAAAACCCCACGCTGTGCACGTCATCAAATGGTGTAAGACTCCATCAGGCCAAGGTAGGAGTCCCCCCACAAACGCATGAAACGGATCACAGCAGCTTGCCGTTAGCTTCCGTCGCACCGGAGACGGACAAGTCTGCTTCATCATAACCATGTGCCCCAAAGCGACCAAAACCCATAACAATAGTCCGCAGCTTCTCTACGTCAGTACTATCCTAGTCCTCCCAGCTCTTCTCGACGGTCTCGCGCACGCGCTTGATGTACTCCTTCCGGTTGTCTTTGTAAAGGTTTGACGCTTCTACATTCGCCGGAGATGATGTGTTGGGATCGTTCAACAGACTACAAGCCAGTAAAACACTCGTTAGCATGTTTCGTGTTTCATCTTCCTTCAGCTTTACCCTGATTGCAAGGGTCCGTACCTCTGAATACTGGTCAGGATGGCTGCCACGTCATAGGTTGGGCTCCAACGGTTCTGTAGAATGTCCAGACAGAGCTCGCCCGTACCGTAGACGTTGGGGTGGAACATCTGACTGATAAACTTGACGCCCGGAGGCTTGTTTGGGTACTGCTCCTCGAAGTGCATGACAAGGCGGAAAGTGCCATCTTCAAAGGGAGTATCAGCGGGGCCGATGATGACGGCGTTCCTAGACGTAACAAAGGTTAGGGACTCAAAAGGCCGACATTAGGTGTGACTGGATCAGCTTACCAGGTCATGACATTGTCCGCCACAGGAGAGGCAGAAACTCCAGCAGGAGGGTCAGTTTGCATACGCTGCGTAGAAGAATGTCAGGTTAGCTCACGCAACCACTAACCGTATCCAATGACAGAACATCTCAGGTGCCCTTCAAGTATAAAAACCAGAGGGGGAGGAGGAAAGGGACAAAAAAAAAAGAGCAAAGTAAATAAGACAGGGTAGAAACGTAGGATAGAAAGCGAGCTCAGAACCATGCTCGTCATAAACACACCTTGAAGTCGCGCATGAGACGACGGCGGGCAGAGGTCGACATTGCGGCGGGGTACTGGCGATGTCTCGGAAGCTATTGAGATAGTAGAAAGGAACAAGGGGAGCCAGATAGGTTTGGCAGTGATCCGCAAAGTCAAGTGCGCAGTGACTGAGTGAGGGGGGCAAACCGAAGTCCCAGGCGAAGGCGGAGAGAAGAGAAGTTGAGGTGTGACGAGAGTGGGTGGTGGAATCCAAGAGAGGTCGATAGCCACCTCGGGAGGATGAGCGTTGATCCAAAGACCGGCGAGTTGGGCCGTGCCTCCTCCTGAGCGCCGTTAGTCAGGAATCCGACTACTAACTAACTAGCTCACTAGTAGTTTGTAGTGACTCTCTCTCGCTCGCCGCCCGCCGTTGTTGGGCCTGCAGAAGCCCACTGCTGAGTCTTAGCCTATCCGGGCAAAGTCTCGGGCGCCACTAGATTACGTAAGTCACACATGCATCATGTGACTGCACTGCACGTTCCACGGCCCAAAACGGGGGACTAACCTAAACGAGCATCTCCATAGAGGAGCTGAGCTCTTCGTTCTCCAACTGATGCAGCTAGCTAGCTTATCGCGGGAATCTCGTATCCTTACATGACAAGACCTTAAGGCCTCTGTTCTGTCAATACTACCATGAGGAGAAGGTAGGATTCAACTCTGTGAAGAAATGTCCGGTCCCTTAGAACTACCACTTTTCCCTTCTTGCTACGACTGTCTCTCGTGGTCGGAAGATGGGGAGCTCGCGATCGCCGCTGGAGACTACATCCAAATCTTAGTCAGTGTTAGAATCCCTGCCATCAAAGCTCATACTTATATGACTTAGACCCCGAAAAACGCAGCTGAACGATTGGGACATGACCCAAACCAATCCCCCATAAATAATTGGCATTCAGCTCGCTTCCGTGTCAATGTATTCACGAACAATGAGTGGCCTACGATCTATCCCCAGAATCGGGATAATTTCTCTCTCGGGGCTGAACAGTCCCTCAGCAACGTAGTAGCATTGGCCTGGTCCCCTCCAGGACTGGCAAAATATCGACGTTGTGTTCTCGCTGTTCTGACATCTAACTTACTGTTGTCGCTGTATGAGCCTGTCGGTTCTCAGGGAAAGTGGACTCGGGTTGCCATACTCAATGACTCCTTAAAGGCTCATTTCAACCCCATTGTCAAGGAGGATGGCATGCTATTGCGGAAATCTAACATTCGTTCTTTCGCGTGGTCTTCGCCGCTTAAACTGCCAGCCGAAACGCATACCGCAGCTTCTTACTCTGTCCTACCTGCTGAGAGTCGCTGGGGCTTTCACCTGCTCTCAATCGCGAATGATGACAACGATGTTGTTGTGATGAGAATCCACAGGCCACCAACAGATCTCAGTGCGCCATATGAAGCTGGAGTTTTGTCGGTCAACTCCTTTAATGATACAGATGGGAATTATCCGAAGCTGCAACCATCGTCTATTTTTTCCGAAATTTTGAAATCGAAAATTAAGATTCTGTCCATGTCGTGGGGCCCATGGTTTCATGCAAAAAATTCCGCGAGTGGGCTTCTCGCTGTCACTCATGGAACTACTCTTAAGGTGATTCACTTGGATGTGAATGTTCTGTCTCAACCCCCCGAGACAAGCGCAGAGCCGCAAAAGCAAATCGAAGCGAGTTCCAAAGACATTACTCCAAAATTCTACGAAGGCTTAGGGGGAGATCACTTTGCAGGGCCATTGGCGTGGATGAGTACGGTATGTTTCAGAAGCGCTACAGCTGGGCAGGCACTGATCTGGATAGGACGACTCTCATACTGTCTGTCTGGCTGCGGGTACTCTGGCAGGGCTCATATTGATAAAGGCCTCTAAAGAGCCTCATAAAGGCATACATCCAAGCTCCAGCCGAGTGCGACTGCAAGAATTGTTATTCTACGAAAGTCCGGAAAATGACAGCGAAACGGAACCTCCTAGGCACTCAGAGCCAATATCCGGTAAGCAGTGCGCACCATCCGCCCCTTCGCTCGCTAACATGTGAAGCAATGATTGTGGCGATGGACACCCATTCCCACGCTCCAGTGCTTTACCTAGCCACAGCCGGAGGATTCACGGCAGCAGTACCTTTCCGGGATGGCGACGATGAATACCCGATTTATGCCGTCCCATGGAAAGACCAGCTCGATGATGTGCGTGAAAGGTATGACTTTGACCGCGATCTTGGAGGCCTTGCCGTTGCTCGAGCTTGGGGTATGGCTTCTTGCAAGGGAATGATCGCAGCTGGTATCACCGTACACCCAGGGGATATGATTGAGTATCGCACAGCAGCGGAGGAAAGGTTAACAATCATCATGTCGACAGCCGATGGTTCTCAATCTGACGGATTGGATTCTCGGTTGGTGTCGGACAGCTCTCCCGAATATCTCCGCCAGCAGCGAGAGGCTGCCTTGGGATACATCCTACACTTCGAAGACAATAACGAGAACAGACAACCGCTGTCTTTGAGCATACTTTACGCAACGGCCTGCTGCACCATCATTGAATCCAGGAATGAGGCTTTACTGTCCCAAGCTCACAAGGTCTTGGTAAGGCTGGCAACTATCACGGGTGTAGATCTGAACGAAGAGCTCTCGAAGTGTTCGACATCTAGACCTAAGATTGGCCACAAGCCTGCCGAGATGCTTGATGGGCCTGGTGGCCAGATGTTTGAGCGATGCGAGATCTGCAGCGCTGGGATCTCATGGTACTCAGCTGAGGAGGCCCAATGTGCCACAGGCCACGTCTTTGGTATGTTCGATGCAGCACTCAAGGCGTTGCAAAAGACCATAATGCTAACTCTTCTTCCCCTCATAGTTCGCTGTAGCTTGACGTCATTGGCTATTCAGGACCCCGGATCTTCCAAAGTCTGCTCGTCGTGTGGAAAGGAATATCTGAATGAGGACAGTATAGAGCCATCTGAATCTGACGTATCGTACACCTGCCGAACGCTCTTCGATGCGTTCGACACGTGCGTCTACTGCAATGGCAAATACCGTGTCTGAGGACATGCCCCAGGTGAAATCCGCCCGATGTCATGTCTGTGCTGCTTCGCGTATATTCTACTTTTATTGTACAGTAAATATGGCCGTCACTTGCTGTTCAATCATACTAGGCCTAGCAGCTTTCCGGCTACGGGGTTCCACTCGTCATCCCACCGACGAGAACTTTCCTCTCGTGCCCCAGTACGAAGTTCTTCGAGTGCTTCCGGGTTTCCGAAGAGTTCGACAAGGTGTTCCACAAGTTCATCGGAGCTTCCAAAACCTCGTCCATTACGACCTTCAGTGACCAGCTCCGGCCACGCCTCGAAGCGATTCCAGCCAACGACGGGCAGTCCAGCGCCGAACATGTCGACGACTTTCATGGGCAAATCTACCCCGCTACTGCTGGTGTGCAGACTGACACCCAGCGAGGCGGATGCCAGCAATCGTGCATAGTCTTCCATGCTTAGCCACGCGGTACGAATGGTGGCCTTTTGAAGTTTACCGTTCTTCTCCAGATCGGCAATTTGTTTCAGATACATCTCGCGCTGGGGCCCCTTTCCCGTTATGATGGCCAGAATCGAAGGTAGGTCGGGGTTTGATGCCTCAGCCAAGTCCGAATACCGACACAGAGCTTCTATAAGAAGCGAGAAGTCCTCATCCGCTGTCCAAGAGGTCGAACTAACCAGAACTCGAAGCTTGTCAGACCCAATGATTGGCCGGACAGTTTCCGTCTCCGACAACGAGCGCAGGAAGTCCTGGCGTACGCGATCGTCTAGGATGGGCTGAAAATGATCGGCTGGCCGGTCATGCAGCGGGAGAATGGGCGCCTTCAGGGCAAACTCCTCTTTCAGAACAGATGCCATTGCATTGGTTACACACAAGTGTGCCGTCGCGTACTGGCAGAAGATCTTCTCGTATGATTTGGAAAATCTGACCAGTGGATGGGAGTCTCCGAGTTTGAGTGCCAGGATGGTGTATCCAAAGTTATGCCAATCAATGAGGAGCTTTGTGTGACGCAAGAAGCAAACGAGGGATGCGATCGCTAGCGTGGGAATCGAAGGCGGATTCTGTGACGGGCAAAGGATGGACTTAGCGCTGCTTCGATGGTACCATCCATTGGGGACAAGGTGTGAAATAACCAACCTGGACGAGAAGCCATTTGGCTGGTTTTGCACGATATGCCAAGATCCAGAACAAACAGACGATTTGAAAAAGAACTTTCAGCGGACCGAACAATAGGAAGAGGAGCTTGTTGCTTGTCTGAAGGCAGGATGGATGCGGAGGCAGGGCGACAATGGATATTCTCGGATGGGAGGAAATCTCGGGATGCACGTCGGATTCTATAGCAATTTATTAGCGTGGAGCTTTGTGAGAATCAAAGGCGCATCTTCTAGCGCACCATGATAGCCGATCATGTCCACCTGACCACCATTTCTGGCAACGCTAAGGGCATGGTACTGCATGCGCGGACTACGGCCAATATCCCCTAACACGAGAATCTGAACAGTCGTCTTGGGTTCATTTGCCGCATTTTGGCTAGTGACAGACCTGGACTCATGCCGCGAAGGCAGCAAGAGAATGCCGATAGTAAGCGCCGTAGAGAGACAGAACGCGACGCTAATGAGCGACTCGATCATGGTGTTGGATATTATTGGAGGTTTTGAAGGAAGTTCAAGCGATTGAGTTCAGCACCATGCTGGACAGATTGGTTCGTGATGCAGCTCAGCGCATGGCCATTGAAGGGCCCGTAGTACCAGCGAAATGGGGAAATTCCACCAGCTCAGAGGAAGGAGATAAGAAGCACGGAGATAGCTCCGGGGAGGGGAGGATTGCCAGCTGTACTCCGGTTTGAACGGAGGAATCCTGGGCCGATCCCCAACCCCACTCGATGCCGCGTCAAAGCAAATCAAGCGCGCGGCTCGACCTCGGATTGGTAGGATGCATGCAATGTGCCTGATCGTGATTTCTGCAGGCAAAAAGCAACGCGAGATTCAGGCCTGGCCGTGTCTGGAACAAGTTCCCTGACCTTCAGCCAGTCGCCCAAGGTAATTTGGTTTGGTTGGAGATTAATCCATTCGGATCGAGGCCGGGCGATCAGCCCGCGGCCAGCCCAATCACGTGGCCCGGGGGTTATCGCGGGCAGCCGATCATTCAGTTGGCGGCGCGCATCTGGGGGCCATCCCATCCCCATTACTTGCCACAAGCGCCCGTCAAGCTGCCAACTCGTTGCCCAGTTGCTCCCAATTCCCCCTCTCCCCGGCGCTATGCCACCTCGTTTGCACCAGACTCCCGGCCGTTCATCTGCTTTGAGCTGCTAGAGCTCCAGTCTTTGTCAAACCACCTCCTTGCTCCCTCCCTCCGAACGCTCGCCTTGTGCTCCCTCCGTGGTCAGTCGCCTCTCTTCACGAACCACTAGAGATCATGTCGACGGGGGCTCCTGTGTCCACCGTGGATACGATTCCTCAGGTACATGGTCTAGGACATTCTCGTGGCCGCGGTCATTCGCGTGCATCTCACCGGTCAAACGGTCCCATCTCCATCTCGGCTTCCTCCTTCGATGCCTCCTCGGCGCAACAACAGCCCCCACAGCCTCTACCGACTACACGACACACCAATGGCCAAACTGTGAGCCCATCGTGGCCGGAGCACCATCACACACATTCCCACTCCCACTCCCACTCCCATTCTCATTCTCATTCCCATTCCCATTCTCATTCTCATTCCCATTCCCATTCTCACTCACACTCAACTCATAATGTGTGGGAACATGCCCATCACACGAGCCTCGGCTCCATCAATCACACTAAGAGCGATAGTGTGACGGGATTAATTGGAGCTCAATCGATTAGCTCTTCAATTGACTCTCAACCAAGCACGACGTAAGTGTTCTTTGACCTATTCACTGGGAACCGATCCTGACTCTACTCAGTCAGGAAGTTCTCTCTGGCCTACTCCTCTCCCTGCCGTGGATCATTCTTTCCTGGTACCACCAACAACATGCGCTTTGGCAGACGACGCTTTCGACAAGCGATGAGACCGCTGCATCTAGCTTAGGAAGCGAACTCTTAGAGCAGGCTGCCAGCAAAACCTCTATGCTGACCGCCGTCACAATGATTGTATATGGATGTGGGCAATTATTTCGATCGATTCAACGAGGAGGGAGTGACTCGGAGGTTACACTGCCTCGAATGAGCTCCAGTGCGGCAAGCGCTGCTTTGCTCCGGGTGTCTTCTGTCGCATTGCCGATATATGCGACATTGAAGGTGGGAGGGTTCCTTGTCGCATGCGGCTTGTTGCTTCCTGTAGCGTCAGGTTTGCCGACCGTCGTTCAAGGCTATGGCCTTCATAGCAGTGCACAGTCCCGGCTCAGCCAAAAGAAAGTAACGGCCATGCTTCTCGTCACCATTATTGCCCTGAGCCTTTGGGGTATGAATGCGACGCGAGACCCCCACCCATACCTGGGCTATGTCTCTCTGCTCACGTCGGTCTTCGTTCTTCGGCTCCCCTTTTCAGGGACTCCGTCCGTTTCTGCTGATCTTGATTACTTGACGTCCAATGGCGCAGTGTCCCAGAAACAATCTACAAAGCAGGACTCGGGCAAACTTTCGTCTAGTGATTCAATCCTGGCTGTCCTTTCAGGCATTATCCTGGCACTTGTTACTGTTGTTGTATCTGGCAATGTGTCCCTGAAGGCTTCCAACATGATGTACCAACTCGCAGCTGCTGGAGCACTTGCAACAAGTCTCATATTCGTTTCCCCTTCCCATCTACGCTCACCACAGAAGATTGGTCTTATGATCGGTGTCGGAGCTGCCGCGCTCTTAAGCTCCCCGCCGCTGCAAGAGAAAGTCCACCTAGCTTATGTAGCTCGCGCCATTGCAACTGCCGCCTCGTTCCTTGCTGCCAGATTCGATGACAGACAGATGCGCCTTTCGCAACACTCTCATACCCATAATCACCATCATCATGCTCACTCTGGAGCTGATGCTACGAAGATAACGAGGCTCATAATTCAGTACAGCGAGCCTTATCCGCTTTTGTACAGTATTCTCAAGGAAAGCGATTCGCGACGTATCTTCTACTTCATGAGGTATTTCATTCGTCGCCTTATATTTGAGGTAGCATGATACTAACTTAACTAGTCTTAATTTTGCCTTTATGCTTGTTCAGCTGTCCTATGGATTTATGACTGGATCCCTGGGTCTTCTTAGTGACAGTATTCATATGTTCTTCGACTGCTTAGCGCTCGTGGTTGGTCTTTGTGCTGCTGTCATGAGTAAATGGCCCCCGAGCTCTAGGTTCCCCTACGGATATGGCAAAGTCGACACGCTTTCTGGGTTTGCCAACGGCATCTTCCTTATGTAAGTGCTGCGAGTAAGCATTTTGGATGACCATGCTAACAGTACATAGGATCATCAGCATTGAAATCATCTATGAAGCTGTCGAGCGACTTTCATCCGGCAGTCAGATGCATCGTCTCGGCGAACTACTGGCGGTAAGTGTTGCGGGTCTTCTAGTCAACCTTGTCGGAATCATGGCATTCGATCATGGACACGCGCACGGCCACGATCACAGTCACGGGCACTCGCACGGAAACGAGAACATGCACGGCATTTTCCTACACATTCTCGCCGACACTCTTGGCTCCGTGGCCGTTGTGATCTCGACCATCCTCGTGCACTACTCTGGCTGGCCAGGGTTCGATCCAATTGCCTCTTGTCTCATTGCAATCTTGATTTTTGCCTCGGCAATCCCGCTTGTCAGCAGCACTGCGAAGACCCTGCTGCTCACCCTGCCAGCTGACATTGAATACAATGTCCGCGAAACCCTTGCTGGCGTTAGTACTTTACGGGGCGTTGTCGGGTACACCGTCCCAAAGTTCTGGCTGGACGATACGGGGAAGGAATCCGGCCACCACCACCATCATCATCATGACGACCATGCTCATGCTCATGCCCATGCTCATGATCATGGATGCAACCACAGTCAAAGCCATAGCCACGATCACGATCACGATCATGCTCACGACCACGGCCATACTCACAGTCATGACCACCATTCCCACAGCCACGATGATCATGATCACGATCACGATCACCATGACACGCATACCCCCAACGTCCTCGGCGTAATCCACGTCATCGCCTCTCGCAGCTCCGACCTCGAGGATGTCCGCCAACGCACCGTGGACTACCTCCGCGAGAAGTGCATGGACATTCTAGTTCAGGTCGAACGCGAAGGAGACGGCCGTTGTTGGTGCGGTGGCGGCGGGAATAAGCATTCTTGATTGCGTTGCTTCCCTTTTTTCTATCCTTTTCTAATACATACTATTGACCTCTTGGCTAAGCTAGGTAGATAGATTTGACTGCCTGAATGGAGTCTTCTCTTTCTCTCACTTCATTCTCCATTCTTCTCCGTTCCCCCGGCAGATAATATATGTATAGCTTGTCTAAGTAAATAAATAATCAACTGAAGTAATGTAGATTAGTTATAGTTCCTTTTCCTGATCAGTGTAATAATAGTAGAGAATGGTAATATTACCCGTGTATATCTGTGCACTTGAAGGGATGTTGGTACCACCAAACTATGCTCAATGAGACTAAACTTCAGAGGAGGAAAGTGGTCTGATCATCCATCTACCAAATCATCATGACTAATGGAGAAAATGTTTCCAATAGAAAGTCACGGACATTCTCAGTAGTATCCTCAGGGCTTGGTAATGGACTCACTCTGCGTACCGTAGCTTACATTGAATACCGGTGATTTCTACTACTGGACCCAACAACTACAGGGAATTATGTTACACCTGTGTCTCATCACAAGGATCTAGTACCACGGATGATAGGACTCGCACTTCATACGAGTAAATATTAGACATGATTGCTGGGAACTTAAGGCAACATTTGTTCTGGACTGAACTGAAGTTATGTAATCGATTATTATATTTCTGGTGAGAAGCCTCAAGGATTCAAGTTGTAGTTTTCTGTTTGAATCTAGGATCAGGTCAGAGACCGTTGACTAGTGAGATAATAGAAGGTATGGGGAGCCTCTACGGCCTTATAATCAGCCGAGGATTCTTGCTTTGGCCGGTAGCACTGCGTTGCACTCTCGCTCCGGTGTGGTAGTGCGTGATCGCTGGTGTTGGTTGCGGTGGAGTGTAACATGTGACGATGATGGGGTGTATATAGTAACCCTTCGGGTGGTTTTGTACAGGTTTCCCATGGCGAGGCGACTACCTGGTAGCACCCCACCCCTTCTCTTTATCTCTGAAATATACTTGTACAGCCCTTCTCTATGCCAGGTCCGGACCTCGCGCCGTATCAGAATGAGGTTAAGAGGATCGGTTATGCAACATCTTACGAGAGACAGACCGTCCTCCTGACGGGCAGCACGGGCTCACTGGGAGGATGTATTCTGTATAAGCTGGCAGTGCAGCTTCCGACGCGGAAGATATTTGTTTTGATCCGTGGGTCGTCGGAGTTGGCTGTGAAGAAATGGAAGAAAGCCATGCCGGATCATACTCAGGCGATTCTGAACTCGAACAGGATTCATTACATAGTCGGGGATATTAGGAAGTCGAACTTTGGGATTGAGGACGTGATGCTGAACCGATTACGTGAAGAGGTCACGCTGGTTATACATGCAGCTGCGAGAATCAAGCTGGATGCGAGCATCTCCGAAGCATTAGAGAACAACTGTCTGCCCGCCTTAGAATTGGCTGCGATGGTTTCGCGGTTTCGTCGACTGAGGCTGTTCATCCAGATCTCCACTGCATATGTGAACAGCTTTTTGCCAGACGGTTATGTGGGTGAGCGACTGTATCCCATTTCAGATGACGACCCAGAGGACGAATTGGCAACCATACAAGCAACTGGTCATTCTCCCTATACGGATCGCTTCTCGTCATCTTATACCCATGCAAAGCATCTAATGGAGCGCTTGACGTTCAAGCGGTACCCGATGCTCCCGGTGTTGTTTGTCCGTCCGACCATCTTTGGACCGGCCGTCAGACACCCATATCCGCTGTACGGACCCGAAGATTCGACGCCCCTGACGAAGTTCTCTACACTATACTTTTCGGACCAGGGAGGTACCCAGATATGGCACGCCGCAGAAGGGTATACAAGTGGTCAAATATCTTGGATGAGATCCCAGTTGATTTTGTCGCCAATGCGTGCCTTCTGCATGCAGCGGCGGGGACGCAGGGGATCGTTCATATTGGATCTCAATTATATGTGAGCCATACGTTCGACGAGATCCTGGCTATATGCAGGGAGAATGCCCCGGAGGAGATTCGGCATGAGCTACCAAAAATAATATTCGTGCAAGACCGAAGTATCCCACAGCATATCTTGGCAGAGCTTGTCAAGGTGGGCACACGCAACTGGGTCTTTGATTGCGGGCGATCATACTGGCTGAAGCAACTCGGAGGTCCCCTGAGCTTAGCGATCTGTCAACTTGATTCTGAACGGCTTGCCTCAGCACGGACGAAGGAAGCTTATGAAAAGGTGCTGAGGAGGATGGGAAAGCTTTGAAGAGGCGCCTGTGCATTATTTTGAGATAGTCATTTGCATTACCTGTTATTTATACGCGATGTCCTTGTTGTGTTTTAGTCTGTGCTGATAGACCCGTGTTCATCCATACGCTGACCAGCGCGCATATCATGGGAAGCTCTTGCAAACCTTGTCGGTTCGGAGCTCGTGCAGAACACGTTAATCCGGTGAAAACTGGGGCAATAATGCACCAACAGATCCAATGTATGTACCTCAAAGTCCTATTTTACGTTGTGGCCACTGCAATGCCCCTTCCCACCGCACGTCGCAGGGACGAAGCGCATTCAGCAGCTCCGAAACCAGAGCTTTTCCAGAATTCTTTGCCCACCATACTTTCCCATCAAGCTCATGGAGGAGAGCACCCCAGTGCATGAGAACTAGCAGTGCGAGAGTTTGACGGCATCTCAGAGCATGGACGAACTTTTTATCAACTGTTGCAACCCATGCGAGGATGGAAGCCGCGTCTCGGGCATGGTTGTATCTGCAGAAACAACGGCGTAGAAGGGCTATTGCATCTTTGATAATGTGATGCTGCTCAGCATTGTCGGTAGCAAGCATGTCATTGTTCAAGGCTGTTAATCGATCCAGTGCAGCCTCGATTTCACTGTCAAGTATGGAAAGCTGATTTTCCCAGAAGCCTCTCCGGGAAGTGAACACCTTTCCTTGAAGCCAAGGACGACTGATGGTAAAGATCTTACTGACACCGTGCAGCAACTCGAAAACGACAATAATATTTTCGGTCATGCTTTGACTCTCTTCTCGTGCAACAGCCGATTGTGGTAATGTTATGCCAATAACAGTTATAATGACCGAGTGAGTTAGGACTGCGTCACAATTGGCTGGATTAATATTATCAATTGCATGGCGAAAAGGTGCAAATGCAAGATTGTGGTACTCCAGAGCTGTGTCAATATAGGAGAGTGCTTCTGGTGGATCAAGTGTCGACGCGATATGGAGCGATGCAACCGCTAGTATCCCGCTCATGAGGAAGTCGTGCTGCAAAGCTTTGCGAGGGATAACATACTGCCATTCGTGGTGGTCTGTTGGTTCATTGCAAAGGCTTTGATAGGTCTCCGTGGAAAACTTGTGCATTAGCTCAAGCTCCCGCAGGCAAGCAAGGTTTGGAGGTGAAGATCCATGGCGGGAGATGGGCTGGTTGGCATGAAGTGTTGCATCAGAGGGTGCTACTAATCTGGCGGACTGCAAAGGAGCAGGACTTGTCGATAGTGTAGTCTCCTTGCGTGCCGCGGGGGTCTTATAATAAGTACATGCCAGCTCCCGGCTAATGCAATTGGAGCATGGTGGGCCTCGTTCATCGCACTATAGCCGTTAGAAGAGTGCTGCAAGGATGACAGTGAATTAGACGGGTATTGAATAGTTCCAGAACTGGACAGTTTTCGGCTAATCAACACAGGCGTAATCCAGGAGATACGGGATATGATAATGTATGAAACTGGACGGTGCTTACCTTGACGCGTCTCTTCTTACACTGGTCACAGCCATTGCGCGACTTGGTATGGGTCCTTCTGGGCGGCATTTCCCCTCAACTTGTACCCACTATTCTCATATCTTGCGAGTTCAGCCGTGTTTCTGATATGGAGCATATCGGACGCTTATTTGCCGGCGGATATCGTCATCTGCTCAACGATAGAATAATTCCTGTGGATGGATGAGAACTACTAAGCGGCTCCACGTGCCGCCGCGGGGTGACTAATTCTCCGTGTCACGTGATAGAGGAACATCGAAACCATCCACAAGCACCGATGTTCCATTAAGCTATGAGATTTACTGGGGTTAATGCAAGCTGGGGACCGGCATCCCGAGAGCTGCTGCAACTATCTACAGAGAAGAGTTGTTTCATCTTTGGCTGTTTTGTCTCTCCAACCAGCAGCAAAAGGGGCGCAATGATACAGGTGGAGTCGTGAGTCCCCACAACGGCCGCTATCAAGTCGGTTAAATGAATGCTTACTGAATCATCATCATCTCCAGGCACGGTTTATCTATGTCGACGACCTGGGGACGAATGAGCGCGGAAAAAAAATCAATCGGCTCATTGATGATGAGAAACGGATGAGTACCTTGAACAGATCCAGGGGACACGAGCTTAATATGAACCCTTCTGCGATGAACAAATCGCATGGCCGGAGAAATGCCCTTGTCGGCGATAACGGTCGAACCAACGGATATGGCCGGTGGAGTAGTGCGAGAACGAAAACGAGAACGAGAACGAAAGCGAACCAATCGGCGTTGTCATGACTTGGATTTTATACACGACCGATCCACCAGGAAGAGGACCGTCTCCAGGACCCGGCAAATCGGGATAAAGAACGGGTCGACTATAAATTTTATTCGACTGTCTTATATTAATAGGTCTGATCCCCATCAGGCTGACATACAATATGTGCGCGCATCTGTCAGGGTCGGAGCTGGCTTCATCTTACATATCTGTTTCTTTCTTTCCCTCGTTTCCTACTTTGCTTGCATATATTGCATAGTATATTGCATATAGACCTATTCATAGCGGCTTGTTGCTTTCCTTTCGTTTCTCCCACCTATATCGAATATCTCTTCGACACCCACACCGATACACGAACACTACTACGACCACCAAAACCAGAGGAAAACCATCACCATGAGCCTCACTTGCACGCACGTCACACCAGAATGTCCCGTCACGGCGACAACATATGGCTACTATCCCAATCTAGGCGGTAATATCTTTTTCGCCGTCTACTTTGGCCTACTCGGCACCCTCCAACTTGGTCTCGGCGTCTACTACCGCTCCTGGACCATGTTGATAGCGATGGTAATCGGCGGATACATGGAACTAGCAGGATACATCGGCCGAATCTTAATGAACCATAATCCCTGGGACCAAGGCGGCTTCAAACTGCAAATTGTCTGTCTCGTGCTCGCCCCGACCTTCATCGCCGCCGGTATCTATCTCACCCTGAAGCACGTCATCCTCTCCTTGGGCCCAGAACACTCGCGTCTCAAGCCCCGGCTCTTTACCTGGATCTTTATCAGCTGTGATGTCGGATCGCTCATTCTCCAGGCCGCAGGTGGTGGTGTTGCCGCTGCAGCGGGCAGCGAGAATCAGAATCTGCTGAAGGTGGGCGATGATATCATGGTGGCGGGTATCGCCTTCCAGGTGGGCACGATGTCGGTTTGTGGTCTGTTGGCGCTGGATTTCTTTATCCGCGTTGTGAGAAAGGGACCCGGTTTGGGCGGCGAGAAGTATATTGATGAGAATGGGAATCTCACTGGGCCGAAGCACCTCAGGGTTGTTGTTTGGGCGGGCATCGTGGCTTACTTTGCTACTTTGATTCGGTGTATTTATCGGTAAGTTCCCTCTCTACTTCAGCGCTCTCAAGCTACGGACGATACAATGTACTAACATAGTTTGCCGTGGGTAGTATTCCCGAAATGGCCGGTGGATGGGGTAACCCGCTCATGCAGAAGGAGAATGAATTCTTGGTTTTGGATGGAATGTGAGTATTCCTTTTGTTTATGTTTTCCCTTCTATGTCATGAATCCAGACGTACTGATTAGAGTTTTAGGATGATGGCCATCGCCGTGAGCTGCCTTACCTACCTTTACCCTGGATTCTTCCTGCAATCTATCCGGAAGGGTATGAAGAAGACTCCGAAGGCCTAGGTTATATACAATATTTCATATTTTATTGTATATTTATATATGCATAGCACATACAATAGATACCCGTTTACTACTATCGCTGGAGTTATGACAATTTGTTACTACTGCGGTATTCTCAGTATGGTTATACGACTCTAATCTGGTACGACAGAGTAATACTTGAGCAACCAACAGTCAGTGTTGTCGTGTATGTAATCCTATACCACAAGTATATTCACTGGGAAAGGAAACCTGCCTACACCCAAAAGGATATACAATCAAAGCTGGACAGCGCATGACAAGGATCAAACGAGTGCAATGATAGGTTGAAATAGAAAGAAAGGAAGGCAAGGAAAGTCAAGTAAGCAATTGAACTAAACTCCGTCTTAGACCAATCAACAGCTCGAAAAGAAGCAAACTCCCCGCATCAACAGCAACAAATGTCAGTTGAAAAATGCATATCATCCGGTAAGTAAATAGATAGACCATCAGCCGAATCAACCGCACCAAGCAGTCCTTCTATCATGCAACCAACAACACAAGGAAAAAGAAACCATAGTGACCCATTTCCGTCTCCGTTCCATGTAAATCATATCATACCACGACTGAGTAGCTGGACTCAAGGTATGAAAAAAGTAGATAAGGGAAGGAGGAACTCATTTACTCCTCTCCCAAACTATCCCGTACGCACTTGCGCACCTTCTTCTTGAACTCTTTCGGGTCTTCCCGCCATAACCGCGCGGCCTCGACATTGGCGGGACTTTCATCATTGGGGCTGGAGAGCATGGAGATAACGGAGAGGAGGATCGTCTCGGGCGTTTGCACGGGGGACCAGCGCTCGGCGGCGGATTCGTATCCGTACTTGTCTTCCTCCGGGGGGTGGAGGATGGAGATGCAGACGTCGCCGTTGGGGTAGACTATATGATTGTAATGAAGAGAATCAGTATTCTGTGATTGTCTTGTGCCTTGGTGGAAGAGGAAGTTTAGAGGGGAAAGAAGAGTGAGGCGTACTGTTAGGATGATACAGAGGCGTCTCGAACTTCATTTTCGGCGGCATGTGAGGGTAGTCAGGAGGAAACGAGAGACGAGCGCGGAAGAAACCACCTATTATTCGCCTTTAGTCAGTAAAAGGGCTCTTGAGGAAGATGTGAAGATGCTCATTCAGGCTTTCTCCCACCCAAACTTTACTCACCGCCGTACAACTTGACATCATCGGAGATCATAAGCATGACCTCCCATTCAAAGACATTGTTATCGACCAATCCGCAGCTAATCCCGGGAATGTCCTTGTCCGACTGCATTTGCTGCAGTTGGCGGGAGAGCATGCGGCCTGCTGCTGTTGTGGCCATGGTGGATAGTGTATACCGGAGAGGGGTAAGGAGGGGAAGAGGGGCGTTGAGCCGATGCTACGATGAGGGGACGCAAAGCGGGTTGGATGGTGAGGAGAGAGGTGACCCTCGATATAGTAGGGAGGTGGCCAAAGGGGAGAAGAGTAGTAGAAGAGAAAAAGGTGAATAGGAGGGACTATTACCCTGAGGGTGATCTAACACAGGGAACAACTGACCAGGAGGTAAGGTAAGTAGACCGAGGGCCACGAAGAGACTGGCAGTTGATGATGGGAAAGAATCGCTGCCGGGCGGTGAGTGGCGGGCGGGGCGGGCTGCGATAACAACGCAAATGGTGCGCCTCGGTGGCGTTGTACTGCTACTACTAGTAGCTGTGAGTACCTGGCGGGTATGGTTAGTCCAGTCCAGTCCAGCCCATGATATGTGACTGGTCAAAGGCAAGTCGAGGATGCTGCAGTAGACCGGTGAAGATGGTAGCCTACCCTACTGTGAACTCTCCCTGTCCTGTATGTAATCCAGTCCTGGCCAGGTGAGGGGATAACGCTTACTCATTCGGACCTCTGCAGGACAACCCCGACTCTCATAAGCCCCCCCTCATGCGTCACACGCCATGCTTATCCCTGCCCGAGGTAACCGGAAGGGCGAACAAAGAAGTCTAGGAGATAGTACACAGGATCAAACTACGTCATGGAATATGGAGTATCATGTACGCGCTATATTTAACGCTAGGGCATATGTATAGATTCATGCGAAAGAGCAGAGTCGTAGCTGGTTGATTTTGGATCTGTACACATATCAAGGCATTCGGGCTATAGCTAAGCGTTGTTCCCAGCGAAGCCATAGGTCACCGCTCCAGCCCAAACCTGTACAATCAGCAGAGTGGTGAAGAACACGGCCACGGCAACCTCAATAGCGAATCCTTTGCCGATGGCCTTGACGAAGCGAAGCAAAGCGGGCCGGTCGAAGGTCTTCCAAGCATCCATGATGCTCAGCTTGCCGCTGCCCCCGACGATGGCGGGGGAGACCTTGCCGCCGAAGGAACGATCGAAAGGCACAATGGACTCATCCTCCTCAGGAAGCATAGACGCAGCCACGCGGATGAAGATAGCCCGGGCAGGGATAGACACCACGAAAGAGAGCAGAGCGGGCAGAGAGACGAGTGTAGCAGCGCCTGCGAGAGTTTTGGCTGGGGAGTCACCACCGGACGGGTTCTCAATGTTCTTGAAGCCGTTGCAAGCGCTGATCAGGACCAAGGGAATGTAGTATGCAGCATTGGTAACGGCGTGTTCGAAAGCAACAACAGGAGCGATCTTCTTCCAGGCATCAAAACCGGGGATCCGCTGGTAGAAACGTTTGGGGGAAGGCTCGGAAATGACAATGTGGACCCACGCCAGCTGCAGGTTGGCCAATGCGACGCTGGAGATCATGCCGACAATGAACTGAGAGAAGAATGCGTTGAAAGAAAATGGCATGATCGAGAAGACCAGTCCTTGTGCGATACCATAAGTGACGAGCATGCTCAAGCCACGGAAGCGGGAGAGGAAACCGGCACGGGCATGGAGGTGCTGAATCGTGGTGCGTAGTTTGCTGGTTATGGGCATCGGAGGGGGAGCTTCGATCACAGGCTCGGCATCGGGCTCGTTCGCATCGACAGGCTTATTGGCGTCAAGATTGCCATCAATTCGGACATAGACATCGGGGTTGGAATCCTCGATAGCGGCGAGGGTCGGGACTAGCATTCCATAAGTGTACTCCACCTGAGACTACGCGTCAGTGTCTGTCGATAATCAACTCAGAATCAATATGCAGCTTACCGAAAAGGCGATAGCGATAAAGGCCAGAACTGTGAAGACGAACAGAGCCGACAGCCATCCTGCGAAATGGATGGTGGGTTGGTTCGGGGTAGGCTGCTCCAAGGCGGCCTCCACACCTCGACGGACGAGGGAAGAGATGGTCATGATTGTGCTGAAATCAAGCGACAAGATACGACAGTCAAAGGGAAGCGATGGATTTGATGAATGCGATAGTGAAGAACGGCCAGTCGGATGGGAATGAAGCAGCGAGGATGACGAGGAAGCAGAGGAATAAATGGGAGAAGGCTCGCCCTCCAGGATCAGGCGGCAACGAGCAATTGCAGGCAGTAACAGGGCTATTTTGGGACTAGCTACAAAGTAACTGGGCGACTGCTCGTAATCACGCCTGCTGAAGTGGGGACCCGCGTCACCCGCCGCCAATCAGGAAGCTGCTGACTGTTGGCGCTACTCCAAGTCGGGGCTTTCTTTGCCCGGACGCTATCATTCCCCGATCCGAATGCAGTTCTTTTTTTCTACTAAGTACGATCCATTGGACCCTGGCTTCGCCGTTATCACGAACTGGTGTTAGTGTGGTCTATCTGGACCAGTAACGAAAGACCCCCGTGCAAAACCTGGCAGAAAAGGGGCACTTCAGATTATTGCGTTCGGGATAAGGTGCACAAGTCGGCATATCCTTCTTGTAATCTATCAAAACAATATAGGTTTCAGCCACAGTGTTTCAATCAACTATTTATACTGGCTTGGCTTGCACTGATTAACTTAGAAGGTTCTGGCGCTCGTACCAGATCATGGCCCGGATTCACAGTTATTGACATGCACCTGACCAGAGAAGGGGGTTGCTAATGCCCCAGAGGTGCTTAATATCCTTGGGGAGTCTGGATACTAACCGACGAAGCGACGGCACCGATACTGACGCGGAACGGGCACTAGCCTATCGGTCTAGCGATCGAGCCAAGTCTCTTTGGATCAGAGACAGATTATTTTTTCAATGCATATTCCAAGCACTCGTACAGACAAGCAGGTCTGCTCTGGTCCCTTCTATCAGCCTTAACGACCTCCAGAACAGACGACAAGAAGTATACAAGCTACACGGCGCGTGATATTACCCCTCATGCACTTTCAACTTACGTGTCTCGCCATATTTACGCCGCTATATTCCTAGTTAATTGGTAGCTACTTAATAACCGCCAAGCTTCACATGCGTTTAACTTCGTCTGAAAGTTGAGCTGATAAAGATAAGCATACGCCCAGGGTCCGCACCGGTTACTCCACTCTAATGGTTGGACTGTTGCTATAGAGCCTCTCTGGGAGGTAGCAAAATATATACTGCCCCTTATATGTACTATGTAACATTCGAAGCTGGCATATAAGCAGCAGTTCAGGAGTCTATGCATAGACATGAGCATGGTTCTCAGCCCTATCTCCATCCTTCCCTGTTCCGTTATTAGACAGATGGGCAATTAGTAGATGCATCATGTGAAATGAGTAAGTATTGAGTCTGAATCATGTCTACCCTGGGTGTAATCGACCAGGTATCTGATCTGCTTGATCTGAATACAGATCCGATCTTTCCAACTTCAAATACTGGAAAGAAGTACACGAAGTGCACTTGTGACAATTAGAAGGCATTTTTCTCGCTTCAAGCTCAACTATTGACAAGTTGACCATTTTGAACATATCTTTGGGCAAGTGCACTAAATATCTGGGGTGTACGCCGGAGTTGATGGACAGCGGAGACTGAACCCATGTCGATCACCGCTTGGCCGTGTGGATGAGCATATTTATTCGTAATAGTTGTTTCAGGCACAGACACATTTGCACCACAAGGAATTATAAATAGAGTTAGTCGCCAAAGATCTCCCGTCAATGTTTCACCTCACTTGCTTCTGTAAAGTCGCCAATTGGCTGGACTTTTTTAAGTTGTTGTTCGATGGGACTCGTGCTCGACCGATCGGGTATAAAATACGAGAACGGAGGACGGGACAACGACGCACACCCCGGAAGTTAAATGTTAATTATTCTTATGGCTTGAGAGGTTTCTCTTATGGACAGAGAATTTGAGAATATATGTATCCATTGGACTACAATCCCCATAGCTGGTGGATAGATCGCCATCATCCTACGTTTCTTAGCAAGTACTATCTACTCGCCGCTTCGACTAGCTTCAGGGCCACACTATTCACCGAGATATCCCCGCTAGGATGATATTTTTACCAACGTGGTATACCATCAGTGGGGGAGTTTCTACTGTGCCGTCTTTACTAGTGGCTGGGCAGTCTTGGAAAACACTACAGTAGCCTGCCTGTTAGTAACCCTGAGACGGCTGGAAGACCCTTATACGCATAAATCTGCAATACTGAGGTACAATTATTGTAGCATCGTATATATGAAGATCACTGTGGGATTCAAGTGTGGTACTGTCGAAATTGGTTGTTATTTTACTATATTCAGGTGAGCCGCAATATGAGTATGAAATAACAGATTTACAAGAGAAAAGGATCACGGTAACGATACGGTCCTAGTTGCCTTTGTGACGATTAAGGGAGATATACATTTTGAAGCTTTGACTTCCTTCCAACAGGCCAGTCACCTACTACCGTTTACCCACCTTCTTGAAGGGTCACTCTAGGGCTCTTCCATAACATGCATTGAGCTTACGATGGTAATCGTTAGAACCTAAGCCCTGTGGATCTCTTACGGACACCCCTGAGCGGAGAACGTATAGCTCCATGGCATAGAACGTGCAAACTACGCAGTGGAGATCCACCTGCCCAGTGCGTAGTGCTTGGTTTATTTGCCTATTTATTTCTCTCCGCCCTGCAAGTTCTCTCTTTCCATGCAATCCAACTTCTGCTTTCTCAGACGTCTCAAGGCCTGAAGCTTCAATCATGTCGAGTAACTACAAGCTCTATGATTATGACCCCTCTGTCGGCGCTGCTATTGTCTCTGCCGGACTGTTCGCCGCAACGTCCATGTTGCATCTTTTCCAGATGATCCGCAGGCGGACATGGTGCTTTATACCATTTGTTCTTGGTGGATTCTGTGTGTTCCCTCATCCCCTCAAGTATTCATCACCTTGCTAATGCCTTAATTCCTTCCAGTCGAAACATTCGGATACATCGCACGTTACTACAGCGCCAGAGAGACCCCAAATTGGACCGTGAAACCCTACGTCGGACAAGAAATGCTGCTTCTTCTAGCCCCGGCTCTATTCTCCGCCTCCATCTACATGATCCTAGGCCGAATCATCCGCCTCCTCGACGGCCACACATACTCGCTAATCCGGCCATCATGGCTGACCAAGATATTTGTAACCGGCGATGTGCTCTCATTCTTCATCCAAAGTGGCGGCGGCGGCATAATGGCATCTGCGAAGACCCCCAGCAAGGTCTCCTTGGGCAATAACATCATCGTGGTCGGTCTTATCGTTCAGTTGGTCTTTTTCGGCTTCTTCATCATCGTCACTGTGGTCTTTCATCGCCGTATGGCTGCTTCGCCGACTGAAGTGTCCGTGATAATCACACAGTGGCACACCTATATGCGCATCTTGTATGCGGCTAGTGTTCTCATCATGGTGCGGTCCGTCTATCGTGTGCTGGAGTATCTGCAGGGTTCGGAGGGAGGTTTAAAACAAAATGAGATGTTTCTTTATATTTTTGATGCTCTGTTGATGTTTTCGTGTTGTGTTTTGTTCAATGTCATGCACCCGAATCGTATTCTTTCAGCTCGTCCGGAGGCTTACGACAAGATGATGGAAGTGGAGGAGGATCAGGTGGAGATGCTGCGACGGAGACGTTGAGAATTTTCTCGCCTTTATTTGTGCTTATCGAATTACGATTCTCTTCTTGCTTTCTTCCTTTTGTTCCCTGTGTGCCATTATCTTCTTTTCAACCTTTGGTTGTTATGCATACTGTACCATTCACTCTTCCCCTATAATCCCTATTTTCTCAAGCTTAGTGCTCGGACCTGAATTTTCGAATTCTCGTATTTCACCGGTTCGCTCCACTTGTCTCCCTGGAAGGGGAAAACGTACGAACGATCGATGGCAATATTATCCAAGGCAGATCTCGGCATCTACCTTAAGATGCCTCGTCGTAGTCGTACCCACTACCGTTTATGGTTAGTGTATTTAAAAGTGGAGCCCAGCAAAGTGATCGAGACTTAATTTCTAACGTCTACTATACTTTACTGTTTATAAATAAATTCGAATTTGTGGGGATTAGGATTCGAATAGGGCACTGAAGAAGGAACGTGGCTGCCTTATTTAATTACAGTTAAAGGATGTGGAGCTTCATTTTAAAGTATACATTGCTCATCTAATCCATGGAAAGAGAAGTAGTACCCTTATACCTGGCTGAGCCCGCTATGTAGATGCTAGCTATACAAGCGCTTCATCGTCTGAAGCAAATATGGCCATGGGCGCCTTCACTTTTCTTAGGTCTCTTCGATGAACACAAGTAACCCGAAGCAATGGGAGCTGCGATATTGGAAGGTCGTCGCTGCAGCTAAATACAATTGAAGACAACGAAAACAAAGTGAAGATAAGAATTAGTGTCACAACTGGCTGACCAGTTGTCTGTGAATTACCATATTTTCGTTCATTCACCGATTCCTGCTTCCTACATGACCGTAACACCTCCTGTCGCCTAGCAGGACTGATGGCTCCTCCCGTCGATCCATTAACATTCCCAAACCCTTGCTTCATCTGGCTTCAGTCATTCTTTCTCGCGATTTGCGCCAATCACACCCATTAATGCAATGGATAAGACCAAGCGATATGTCATCAACAGATGGCTAGGACTCAGGTAAGAAACCCCTGTAATTGCTTAGAAGGAATTTTCAATACGTCTGTGCGGAGTTTATCCATCTTCTTGATGATGATCCCATTACCCTGGAGAAAGTTTTCGAAGAAAGTCAATTTTTACCCCCGTTAGCGTTAAGTAATTGATAGTATAACATACCTATATGCTGAAGAGTCGCAGTGGACAAGCTTACCGGGCAATGAAATACATGTCTGAACTCCCACTATCTCTCTCTACTCTTCTTCCATACATTCATAGCTTTCATAAACACCATAACAACATTGCGCAATGCCCCCAAAATATGATTCTCTATCACACAACCTCCGCCTTCACTTCCTTATGAACATATTTATCAAGAGTCCCATGGGCTTTGAAATACCGATAATCCAACACACAAAGATACGATAATATCCCCACAACACCACTATAACCAGTTACTTCATTTCATCCGTCAGGACCACCTTACTCCTATGAGACATAGAAGGTGCATAGTCAGAGACATAACAATACTCACCACAAAACCAACGAGAGAATAGCCACGAAAGCACCCAACGTCTTACTAGCAGCACTATGTCCCCCGCTCGCGCCCATGATACTAATAATAAATAAGGCGAACCAAAACACCGTGTCGATGATATCTAGGATCATGTTGGCCTTGAGGCTGGCCCATCGCTTGAAGCGGTCTTTGTAGGTGGTTAGGACCTGGTAGGTGAGGAAGAGAGCGGCTTTGAGGCACTGTTATATCAATTGTTAGTTTCTCGTACTGGAACCACTGAATCATGTAAGGGGGAATGACTGTACCACTGCTATACCCCAGATATTGGTGCGAGTCGCTGGTGTGCCGGGGGTAGCTAGACGGGCGATAATGAGGATGAAGGTCAGGGCGATGAGAGATGCGATGAGGATGTGGAGGCGACGTTTGATGCGGGGGCGGTCGGCCATGTCAGTGAGGTTGGTGAGATTTATCATTTTGGTTCACTGCTTGCTTTCTGTGAAGATTGGACAATGATATGAGGATAAGATGTCTGGATAGTAGAATTGAATAGATTGTAGATGGAACATCCAGTACCAGCCGGACCATTGGACTTTATAAACTACCTGCTTACATGGATTTGCCATTCAACTTAGACTTAACTAAAATAACGGAACGAATTAGGCATTCAGATAAGAACAAAAATAGCCATCCACATTGAAACGTGCTTTGCATGCCGTGGTGCGCAGTGGAGGGTTGAGTGGCTGGTCACCTCTCGTATCAGATACTCTCTTGAGATATAGATACGACTGCTGCCTTGCTGCCTCGGTGCCTTTGTGCCTGTGAATGGTACGGTCACCTGACCCGATCACCTTCCCCTTTCGAACATTACCTACCACTCTAACATTGGAATATAAGGGGGCTGTAGTAGATTTTCGTCTATGACAAACAGCAGAAGATACGCCTGTTTGAACTGTAGCCAACTGGTGCTTGTGAAAAGATGTTTGATTTGAAGCACCAGTATTGCATCGACTTTCCATGTTGCCAGTAGATTTAGTACTTCGATCTATGTTAAAGTAGCGAAGAAGCTGATCCTAAGTAATGATTCTCATCAAATTTATTCGAGTTCTTCTCCAGCCTCCCGAAGACCGGGGTACTTGAATATGCAGTAGCGCATGCCACTTGCCGCGTTTAAGTCTTATCGCCGGAATACTATAGATCTAAGGATGAAATAAAGCAATAATCCAGTGATCTCAAATTTAGGAATGTAGTATGTCTAATGGAATGAAAATCGCCATGTAATGTTTGTGTTGAAACCTTGCTTGACTTCAGTTTGAAATAGCATGTTACTATTACTACTAGTGTGATGCACAGATATATATATCCACACTGCCAAGCCCACTATTAGTACTATGAAGTTATCTTAATCACTACGAAATGAACTAATTGATTGACGATAACCTTGTTGCAACGACCAACAAGAATAGTATTGAATGGGACTCATGCACCGTGCAGCGCCTTAGTTGGCCACCAGGTCATGCACTGCCGCCGACAACTGAAGATAAATATAGTAGTACTAGAAAGTTCTTCATGGTCGGATCATACAGTGACTTGTTGTTGAGATGTACTGAGCTATAAATAAAGAGGATGGCGATGAACTTTCGAAACTTAGCATTTCCTGCAAAGCCATAATCAGCTCAGGTCACAATCTCATCGAAATGCAGTAGTATTGAGCTTATCGCGCATTCTTTGCGTGGATGTTTACCTTCCGAGGCCCATTGCAGCAGATTGATTGTTACACATCACATTCTGACGCCGTTCTGCATAGTCTACGTCATCACAACATGAATACCCCTCCTTATTCCAGTCTACAAGCATCGTCGCCATGTTGGAATTACTCAAGATCATTACGCGGCTTCGTTGATGATTCGAAAAGTTTATTGACTGATTAACCGACCGAGAAAGAGTGTAATTCAACCTGGTTATCCATTAAACCATCCATAAACCCATCCATGCTGCTGCATATCCATGACCATGATCCTGGGCAGTCGGCACATTATCTACTAGTCATTAAGCTATGACCCATCCTATTAACATATACAAGCCGCAAAGAAAACGTAGAAGTCGTAAACCATGATAGTGAAACAATCCAAGTCAGGTTTTCAGTCCCGTCTTGGCGCCTGGAATGTCCAAGCCATCAAGTCATTCACCAGTCACTTAGAGAAGGAACATAGCAGCGAGACCAAGGGCACCGGCAATTCCACTGCTGGCAACGTTAAGCTTGGGGGCAGCACCAGTAGTCTCGGAGGAAGAGGGAGCAGTTCCGGTCGCAGAGGAAGAGCCGCCAGAGCCGGAAGAGCCAGATCCAGAACCAGAGCCAGAGCCAGAGGTAGAGCTGCCAGAAGAGCCCGAAGTGGCACCAGAGACAGTACCGGTGCTAGTGCTGGTTCCAGTGATAGTGCTCAGAGTGGTCTGACCAGAGACAGTGCCGGTGCTAGTGCTCGTGCTGGTGATAGTGCTCAGGGTGGTCGCACCAGAAGTCTGCAAAGAATTAGCTTCAAGACGTTGGTATCACGAGCATACTAAGCTTACCGCTCCACTGGTGGTAGCGCCAGTCGTGGCACCGCTGGTGTTACCACTGTTGGTTCCAGAGGCAGACGAGGCACCACTGCCGCTAGCCGAGGAGGCAGAGGAGGCAGAGGAGGCAGAGGAGGCAGAGGAGGCAGAGGAGGCAGAGGTGGTAGATCCAGCACCGCTAGCGCCGGAGCCAGTGCTAGAAGCACCAGTAGCAGAAGCAGAGTCGGAGCTGCCTGTATATTAGGTTAGTAATTGTTATCAATGGGAATCAAGCTGCGTCGGAGTAAGCGACGTACCAGAGGAGGTGGGGCAAGAAGCAAGAGCCGACGAGACAACGGCGTTGGCGTCATCATTGGGGCAAGCCTGAGCGGTGCAGTCGCGAATACCGTAGCTGTAGTCGGGCTTGCTGCACAGGCAGGACAGGTCGCCGCTGGAGCAGCCAAGCTCAGACGCCTTTCCGCTCATGTTGCTGAGACACATTTGCTAAAGACGCGCTCTGGTCAGTAAGGCGCGTCAACAACAATAACGTCAGAGTAAACATACAGCGCAGTCGCTGACGGAAACATCAGCGCTGACCATGCTGGCAGCGGCCAGAAGAGCGAGGGAGAGCGAGAAGGTCTTCATTGTGATAAGATAGAAACGTGCAAGAGCAGAAATGGAAGAGCGACGACGCGAAGAATGGGGTATCAACCGAAGAAGATGAACGCGAAAGACAGATGATGGGACTGGCTTGTTTGGAGAGATAGAAAAGGAAGAAAGAGGTGGAGGGAGAGGGAGAAGAGCCGATTTAATACGGAGGCAGGAAAGAGTCAACAAGTGCAAATCCAAATTCAGGGCCCGCAGCTTCCCTTGTTTGCCGCACCGACAACTCGATTCGTTCACTTCGGCGTTTGCCGTCAATCGACTAGTCCGGAGTACTTGCGTTGCTTGTTTTTACTTTTCTGCTTTTTTTGCTTTTCACAATTTTCATTTCATTTTTTCTGCTTGTCTCTGGTTGCTTCTGGAGTCGATCAGCAAAGGCATCAGAACCCCATCCACCAGGCTACCAGCGCGCCAACGTGGCTCAGGACACCGTCACGGGCCAGTCCATGCAGTCATGGCTGCTCCACCCTGGCCTTAATCTTGGACTAAAGGGAAGGGGCATCGTCTATCATGATCAGACCCAGACATCGTGGCTCAACTTGAATCCACTGTATCCCCTGCGTGGCTCTCATAGGCTGAAGGGAAAACCCTCGCTTGCGGCGAGTGGCTGAGGATCTAGGGATTTGGAGATATCCCCGATTGTTGATCCCACTTTTACTCAACAATCCCAAGCTCCAGTCGATTAAGTTTTTTTCTTTTGCTAACCGAACTAGGGAGAAGGGGCCTTTTCTCGGTTGGTTAGTGTATCTAGTTTACTCGTATCCCGCCCATATTTGGACAGAGCTGCCGACTGACTAGGAAAGTCTAGATCTGACGACAGAAAGATGCTAAGGCCAAGTTTAATCGCACCACCTACGTCAGTGAGGAGGGGAATGCTGGATGCCCAAGATGTGAATACCGGCAGGCCAAGCAAGACCAGGAAGTGGGCAGAGACTGGCATAGGGCCCTTGACCGACAGGATGCAGGGGATCGACGCGATGGGGCCGATCTTCGCCGGCTCAGACGGTGATTTGTGCTTCGCTCTGCCACTAAAATCAGCCCACCGCCGGTGTGGCTGACCCTCGCCCTCTCGAGCCACATTTGGATGCCTCCGCGACAGGGCTGGGCCACTCACGACCCTGCCCGTCTCTCTAGCGTTGACGCTGGAGAAGAGTCCAGGATTGATTCGTCCATCGTCAATCAGACCGAGTACAGAGCTCTGTGTATCACGGCAACTTGGCTCGTGGTACCACAGCAACACGGTAGTCTGGTCCGATGTGGGGAAGCTGCTGAGTTTTCCGCCACCCGCTAAATTTCGATCTATTGATTGAGCGAGCTACCATTTCTCTCGGAACCGTGGGCGAGAGCCAGGACGGAAAAGCAGTTCCAGGGCGCGGCCGAAAGGAAGGCTGGGTTATCCAGCCATCCTCATTACCACGGGGTGCATTGTCTGTAAGGAGAAGCGCTATCTGCACATTCTAAATAAATGCCCAGCGTTCTAGAAGAGCACATTGAGTCGACAGGGACCTGTCGGTGCATTTGCGTGGGATGAAGTGTGCGTTGTATCATCACTTCCACTCCAGGCAGAAGGGAAGGGGTGTCCACCAGATTAACTAACTCCGCTCCGTGGAGGCGACGACCCGAGTTAGTCGGACTGAGTAAGTGTTTGAGTTGTGGCGGTGCGACAGCTCATCTTCTCTTGGTTGGTTTTAGTTTTGGTTTTTTTGTCCGGAATTCGACCGAGAAGTCGTCCCTTCCGCGTCCTACGTCATGGGTCCCTGTGCTCAGGGCCTGTCCCCGTCCATCAATCATCGTGCATCCTCGCAAGGATTGCGTTGGTCTTCCCCAACGTCACTTTTCTTTCATCTGCTCGTTGATGTCAGGTATCTAATTACCCCCAGTTTTTATGCAACGGCCCCATGATGCAATTAAAGGCGACCATGATCATCTAGACAGGGTTCATGGAATCTTGGCAGAATTTTCTTCGAATGGGGGTCGCAGTGCGAAATGGCTGACTGCGAAGATATTACAGTGCGTTTGCATGCATTGTGCAGTGGTTCGACTCATGAAACCGATCGTTTCTATTCGAGCGCACTGGGCAAATGTGCGATGGCATGTCTCATGACTTGTGCCTTGATTCGTTACACCGCTTGATGATTATAATCATCATCATCATTATCAGGTAAGGCGTTGGATCCGAAACAAGGTCATCGTAAAGAGATGCAGTTGGTTGCATGAACCGCGCAGTTCCCCAGAACTTTATATACAGAGACCAAACAAACAGTAGATTTCGATCGGACAACTGCAATGGTAGTTTATTACATAGATCACTGTAGAATGCATAATACACAGTAGTACCGAGTACACTGATCACAATCGATCCGGCCTGTCGCAATTTGGAACAACCACCAGTCGCGGAGTCCCATACAAGGACTTTCAGGAACATGTCTCCTTCAATCCTTGATAATAAGCAGCCGCTTCCTCTCCGGCAATGCGGCCAAAGACCGCGCACTCCAACAGCGACGATCCCCCCAACCGATTCTGGCCATGAAGGCCTCCGGTAATCTCGCCAGCCGCATAGAGCCCGGGAATCGGCTGCCCCTGACCGTCCAACACCTGGCTGCGCTCGTTGATCACCACGCCTCCCATGGTAAAGTGAACAACCGGCGTAACCTTTCCCACATACACCACCGACTCTGGCTTGACCTCCCTCAGCGTCCAATTTCCGAACGATTGCCGTCCAAACTCATCCTGCTTCTTCCCAGCGACTACATCCGCATATTCCCTCAGCGTCCCCTTCAGCGCCGACATTTCCTCCAGCTCCCCAACCGTCGTCTTCTCAATCAACCCCTTCCACATATAAAACCCCAAATGCGACTGTAACGCCGCTGCTGCTCCCTCATCCAGCACCAGCTTCACATCCCACTGCCTCGCCTTGGTCGGCAACTTCTTCGCCTGTCCCATAACCTCCCCCGTCACCTTCTCTCTCGTCTCCAATTCGTTCACAAACCTCCTCCCATCCCCAAGCACAAGTATACCCCCTTCCCCTCTCAACGCCTCCGCCGCCAATATCTTCACCATCGCCTCCGCTTCTTCTTCCTTACCCCCCACAAACCCCGTCGGATGTACCTGCACCTGCTCCATATCCACCACCGCTGCCCCAACCTCCTGCAGCAAAGGCTGTGTCCCTTCGCGCTGCTCATTCGTCGACGGTATTCCCTCCAGATCGGGCCGATACTGCGCTAACAGCCCTCTCGCATCGCCTGCAAACCCCCCACTCGCAACAACGACAGGTCCGTACGCTGTCTCTGTCTTTGTTTGATTGCCCCCTTCTTCTCCATCCGTAACCGTATACTCAACCCCAACTACCCGTCCTTCCCCTCCCTCCCGTAATATCCTCGTAACCCGTCTCCCAACCTCCATCCGACAATTCTTATCATCTGATACCCTTCCCAACAACCCCTTGATTATCTCATACCCTGGTGTTCCCTTCCCCGCGCCCCGATGCGTCCGGGATACACTATGTCCTCCGAGTCGAGCGACACGACTCAAGTCGACCCCGATGTCATCCGTAAGCCAGTATAGCGCGTCCGCGGACTTGGTTGTGAGCGTGTCGATGAGTTTCTCACGGCGGGTGCGCTCAACCCCGCTGGCGGAGGTATACGGCACTCCTGCGGAGAGGATAGTATCGTTTTGAAATGCAGAGATGGTATCTGGTTCGAGTTGATATCGCGTCGGTGCGGCATTTATACCCGAGGAGGCTTTGATGCTGTTGCCGCCGGGTTTGGACGCGCGGTCGAGCAGGAGCACGGGGATGTGGTGCGTTAGGAGGGTGCTGGTGGTGGTTAGGCCGGCGAGGCCGGTGCCGATTACTATGGTTTGAGGGATCATTTTGTTTCTTTTACTCTGCGTGTGTGTTGTGGATGGGTGGTGATGAGTGTGGATGAAATGTTTGTAGGTTGTAGTTGTAGTCGTTTGATAGTTGTGATGGTTTTGTTGGGGGTGGTGAGGGGTTATAGTAGTAACGGGATCGTATGATCTGACAAGGTGGTGGTGGTGGTATGTTGTGATGGGTTGTACGATCGGATATTTAGGTAAATGTAAGCCGGAGTTTATTGTGATTGCAGCTAGTACAGTGAGGAACAAGGTAATTGTGATTTATGGGATGCATGTGTTGTATGACTGCTCTCATGTTGGAAAGATGGAATTCTAGAACAGCTCCGCACAGCAGCATTACCTCATTGGGTGGGTGAATCGGTGTTCATGGAGACACATCCGGGCACCAATTAGATTTGAGTTTTCGTGCTCTTCATACAAGTGCTTTGTAGGCAGTATGTGTTGGATGGTGCCAATCAGTTCTAGTTGTTTATTTATTTTATTTTATTTTATTCCTTAATAATTGTTTTCTATTTTTCTATTTTCTATTTTCTATTTTTTCAACTTTGATCTTACTCTGTAGATATCTTCACTTCGTCCATATCACTTAGGATAGTCTATATTGGTCCAAGTAAAAAATTGATTACTCCAAGGAGGAGCGTTTCACCATGTTGGTCATGTAGAACGTATACAGAGTACACTGTGGAGGTCAATTACTGGACACACGGGGCTGACTGGGTGTATGAACGCAAAAAGAATAAGGATAGATTCTGCATCTAATATTGTACGATGAGCGACATAGGATGAGGCGATATTATACCTATCATTGAGCCACTGCATCCAAACAAATTGACACCAATCACAAGGCCCTACAATGCAAAGACATCTCCCTGGATTCGGTGGAGAACAAATACAATTCACTGCATTCCTCTTGAATTCCATGCGTATTCAAAGCAATGATATTTCCCAACGTTTCACAACTAGTTCACAACTTCTGAATCTTCGACTTCGCGGGAACAAGAACCGCCACTTGACGACTGATAGCAATGAAATACATCCTTTCATTAAATACAAGGACCTGCATATCCATTTGGCCATTCATAATTTTCTTGCATTCAGTCCGCAGATAGAGCCATCGGACACCCTCAGGGGGAAGCTTTTGCTTGATGTCCGTAGAGAGAGTCAAGGAGACATTCAGCACTTTGCCCAAGAATTCCTTGCTGCCGTCATCGTCGATAACTCTCCAATCACTCCATGCTTCATTGCGGGCATTCTCCTAACGCTTCGCAAATTCGAGCGTGGCCGCTATGCTCCCCAGCGGCAACGGCTCCCCCTCTTCATGAGGCATATAGTTCTCCTGAATAGGAAGGGCCATATCACCCACGAATTGTATCATGTCATTGGTCCACCTTGCCTTGCCTTGTCCGGTTCCAGAGGGCCGAGAACCTAGCGGAGAATAGTCCCAGCCAGGTTCAATCCATTGCTCAATGTATGCGAACTCAGTGGGCAGTGCCCCCGGGATAAAGTTCTTGGCGCAAGACTGACCTCTTCGGAATCCTGTGGGTAGAAGGCGCAGTGGTAGGAGATCCAGTTGGGGTCATTGTCTGTCTCGAGTTTCGCAAGGTCGACTGGGCAGGGCTTAGGGGATAGACGCTAATCTACTGGAAGCGTGATACCTGCGACTGATGGTTTGGTGATTCTGATCATCATGGGTATAAGCATTTGTTTCTCGTGATTTAAATACAGTCCACATACCTGATATGAGCAGAAGCGGTGAGTTTGCCATTCTGGTGTGATTCGACACGAAGGGTAGACCCTTCTTTGGCGATATGCACCTCTCGCAAGGTCAGGGTAATTGGCGTTGAGGCAAATATCGGACGGTAGAAGTGAACTTCAGAGTAGCGAAGGTCAACCTGGTTCTGCAGTTCGGGGTGTTGGGAGGCATGATGGAGAGCATATTTGGCCATAATGCAGGCTGTAAATCCACCAACAATAACTATAACATGGTTAGTCTCCGCCCGCAATTAGAGCCCATGCATTTCAATACATACCAGAGCCGACCGCGATATTTGAGGGAAGTTGCACGGCGCATTGACGCGTGCTCAAGAGCGGAGAGCCCAACGCATGGGACAGGCTTGTGGGAAGTGAATCCGTTGCCATTGTTACTTCTTGAATGCCTTTCGGCCCCTTTCAGGCAAAACAGAGGTCGGTAAGTCGTTCTAGGCTGTCAGGTCAACAAACTGTGTAATATCCTGACTGCCTCTGATACCTCGAAGTGAGAAGTACTGCAGTGAAGGAACGGGTGTAGAGAGTGGGCATGAAGGCCGAGAGCCCGGAAGTGGTTCTTATAGCTAGTAAGGGGAAGCCAGATGCAGTAAATGTCACAGTGAAGTCTGTGCATTCACCCGGCCATTTGTTACACAATTAATCCTAGTCACTGCCGCCTGTTCGGAAATTGCCTTACTTACCAATCCAACCTTAATTAGAATTGGGGCTGTGCCTCTTCTTTGTTTCTGTCTGTTGGTCCAACACTCATGTTCGAATTCATCGCAAATATCAAAAATTTCTTAGATACCCCGAACGATTATATTTCGCTTGTATTACCTTCATACTGTCCATTTACTGTCAGCTATCCTTCTTTCTTACTCTCCTCTTTGTTAATGTTGGACCAATGTCCCCTGTCCGTGACTGCATCATTCGTCTACATTCTGGTTGAACAAGCGTAACTGCATATTCCAACAAGCCTTGCTTCTATTTTGAAAACGATCCTTTCCAATAATTTGCCATGGTAGTTAGGTCCTTGTGCACATTATGTATCCTATCCCATTCAGCTCACTGCAAGCAGAAATTTCAGTCCTGCAAAGTGGCCTGCGTGGAAACCGATGTTGAGAGACAAGAGGTCTATGCCAATAACTGAGATAATTCGAGCTTGGGGGTGGAGAGGGGATAGCATTACATGTTGCGTCCGCCTCGCGTCTCAGGCTTCAACTGGCCCAGGACAATTTGCCGAGACTTCCATTCGTTCCATTCATCTACCGACGCGTTTCATCCTCTTCTCCAGGTGCCAGTGGCGGGATGGTGCCTCCTTTAAGGCGCTGAAGTGACGCATTTCGCTTAGCACGTACCAAATAGGCCACACTGTGCCGCTGCACCATTGCCTGGTCCCCTGGAGCTGTCACTACCCGGTGCAGAGAGCTGCGCAGGAGGCCCCCAGTCCACTCTACCAATGTGTCGCCGACATTTACCACAGCACATCCGGGCTCAGGCTTTATGTAACGCCAATTTTCTTTGCAATTCTCACACCCTGCGGGGAGAACCTGAAGCCCGCCTGCGATGTTGAACAGAAGCGTCATTGTTCCCATATCAGTATGGCCACCGAATAAAATGCGATCGTAATTGGGATTGGTTTGGGCTGGGCTCCAGAGCAGGCGAACGATACCGTCAGATTCTTGATCCAGCGGACTCAATGCTTCTAGTGTCTGGGATTCGATGCCTAGACAAGTGTCCAATTTAGCCAAAACCTCATCTAGCACGGCATGGGCGTGTTCGATAAATTGTCTGATCTGCTCCTGACTGGTGCTAATCACATCGGGGTGAAGGCGTGAATGACTGGAAATCCCTAGCATTTCATCTTGACTGAGCGAGTAGGCGTGAATATAGTCGACGTCGCCATCGTCCGTCTTCAAGCTTCCCATACATTTATACCTACTCACTAATCAACATGCAAGACCAGGAAGCGGGGAGAAGCACGTACCTCATAAAGTCTGGGGGTTTGTAAGTGTAGGCTTTTAGGGTCTCGTGATTCAGTGTAGAGAGCTCTGTAGTCAATTCAAACATTTTTTCGGCATCTTGGAGCAGGGTAGCCCCTTCACTTGACTCCTTCAAGTCTAGCAGAAAGAACCCCCATTTTTGACAGGCTTCGTATAGCTTCTCTACTTCAGATCCCCTATTCTCCTTCAAAGCCTCGAGAGAGACTTTTGCCAGAGAAACCACAGGCATATCAGAAGGAAATGGGGGGATTCGATCGAAATATTTTGACGTTGGCATTTTTCTTATCTTCGCAAGCTGCCGGTTACAGGATTCTGTGCAAAGATGGATCCGGATTCAGATGTGCGTGGGCTGTGAACGAAAGTGCAACAAGGGAAGTAAACTGCCAACCTACAATGGCACCTTTGAAGTCATTTATAGTTTATTGAAGCCATTAACCACGTGATGAACAGTGTTTCCACCTATCATGCGTGAATTATAACCCTGCCTGTGCCAAAATTAGCTGTGAATCGATGAACACTACTTAGACCAACAAAAAAGACTAGGTAATATATCACCATTCTAATTAACTGCCGTCAGATAAGGCTATTTGTCGATGAATACATGTTACATATTTTACCAGCAGGGATCGAATCCTGCTGCAAAGATAAGGGGATTGGGCAACAATGAACTATAAATGAACTAATTCATATTGTAAGGTTATGTTTCTAAAGGATCCACAGAGTAACAAATCTGAGAGTTTTTGTGACACCGCCACTCTTCTTCCACAATACTAGACTGAAATCACAGAGAGTAGTACAGTATTCACAGAGTAGTAGCAGTCCTGACCCCCTGAACCATGTTTTTATTCCTAAGCCTTCATACCTAAGCGAACAGGATCCTTTGAAGAGGAATACCACTGGTTGTGCTTCATGATCAAGGTTGAGGATCTCGTACAACCTGCTAGAGCCCCATGGTTTCTCACTGTTACCCATACTTACTTACTTTCCCCACTTTCGCTGACGCCTCTGCCATGTCGAGTTAATATTCATGTTGTCAGACTGGTTACACTAGAATAACCAGATGGCATGGCCCTTGTTTGTTTCCTATCACTACCGGAGCTGGTTGAAAGTTCGTGATACTGCGAGATGGTTGGTTGAGTTTTATTGGCTGGTCGAAAGCTGTTGGCGTTTGTGCTCCTTCTGGAAATGGGTACACATGGAGGGATACAAGAGGCAATGATGCCTGAAGACTACTCCACAATGCAAACAACGGTGAGCCATGTCATATTGACTTTGATAGTGTTAGTTACAGCAAGCGAGGGTCGAGACGGCTTGGATCGCACGTGAGACAATTATAATGGTATACCGGGACCAGCATACGCTCGCATCTACAATGGTGTCGAGGAGCCAGCAGTACTGCATAATTCATACCAACATCCTGTTGAGGAAGGATTCCTCTAGCGAAGCCATGGATGAGGAAGGGCAGCCGAAATCTACTGAAGTAACCCACTGTCCTGCCTGAATAGCTCCAAGCTTTCCAGATCAACTCTTCACTGCAAGGACTGCGAAGCGTCGACCTGCAGCTATTCAGCGAATGTTTCGGAGTTTCACTTGGTATAGAATTCAATTCCATTATTCAATCCGGCCTTGGCTACCCTGCTGGTATTTAAGGGGCTTTGTATCATCTTCCACTTATCTTCTGCATTTAATCTCATAGCTAGATTGCTTTACTATATGGTATCTTCTTTATGTATGTCCTTGACCTTCTATATGCATACAGTAGGACCCAATTACTCTAATAAAAATAATATATTTATATTATTCAGTACACGACCACGGAATGTGGCAGAAGTGGATAGTATCTGGGATAATGTGCCCACAACTCATAAGCAGATTATGCCAACTGCTGGAACAGCTGACGGGTCGCCACCAACGTTAACATACAGAAATAGCTATAGGGCGCAGTCTAAGACATCAAGAATGAAAAGAAAATGCAGGAGAGGGTGAAACTCAGAAGAAAACTTTTACGCTGCGGGAATCACGATCATAGCTTTGCCTTACCTATCGGAAATGAAAGGCCACTGTTCCTTCAAATTTTGGCGACCAGTCGCCATAACTGCATCTAGAAACTTGAAGAAAAGCGACTGCGTCGCGGGTAGCGTCTGGATGACAGAGTTGGTCCTGGCAAGACGTATATGTCAATAGGATAGCTGCGCTCGGCCAACTACTACGTTGTTAGTGTCAAGGTCCGACTATCTCAGAGCTGAACCTCATAACTGGCTCCATTTTGAGTGCCGCAAAGCATATGCAGAACCATTTTAGTATGCGGTTATATAGCAGTGACCATGAAAATGTCTATACTGCTAATATTCCTGCTGTACTGCTTACTCGACTAGGGTCGTGAGATGTTGAGTTCCGTCATAGCAGAACTCAAGCTCATCAGATTAACATGCATCGCTTCAGCTATATCAATGCCCTGCTGATCCAGACTCAGGGAGTCTGTCTGCCGGTACCGTGTACGAAACGTGATGATCATATTAAGAGCATCAAATATCCAGCTACTGACGATCGAGAACAATCTCATTGATATATTAGAGAAATTCTCTCAGAACTGCTACATTCTCTGAGCGTGACAGACTCGAAAGTCACCATAAACAACCTCTTCTCAGCACCTTCGAATAGACGACTGAGAGAAATGGAAAAGAAGTGGGAAGATTTCACCCAAAAAGAACGAGCGAAGATCAAATAGGATAAAACAATCGCCTGGATTCTTAAGGTCGCCATAGACGAATACTCTCGCCACTATGACATTGAATAAATCAATCCCCCGGCTGTTCCCACTTTCATTCTTTACGCCCTTTTGTATTGTGCGTCATGCGCCCGGCGCCTACCTACAGACTGCCCTTGGTTACTTAGAATCAACTATACCGGTTGTACTGGGCGCTTCACGCTAGTGATTGGCATTGCGGAAGGAATCGCGCCTGATGAGGTTGGTCGTGGGCAGGGCTCGACAAGCGGACAGGCATAAAGGGTGGGACAATTCGAAGGAACAAGGGGGTTGTGGTTAACGACCTCTAGTAGCTGCTAAGGGTGGGTTTCATAGGAAGAACATGATTTAGGAATAGATCTGGCTATAATCGCAGCAGGAAGGACCAGTGATGAGAGGTCCCAAGCAACCAGCGCCTCGAACGATACCAGTACTATCGATGAATTTGAGAAACTTGTAGAGATAGTTCTAATGGTTAAAAGGAAGGCTACGATAAGATAACAACTCATTATTGCAAAAGGCGAGAATGATAAACTGATAGTAATATGCTGGGATATATCCCTCCGTCTGCTGCCCAAATAGATGTGGTATATCGTCTTGGGTCTACTGGTTAGTGCTTTGAGATAATATTATCTATTTTACTACTATACTCCGCGCCAAGAACATCACTTCCATCCTGTTATAGATATATCTCCACTGGACCGGACGTACTAGATAACTGCCACGCGCAAAACACGAAATCAAGGACCACCAGCAATCAATCTAAACCAACCCCGGCACATCTCCGGAGCCATTGACCCGTTCAACACCCATGAATCCACTGTGATTCGCTATATCACTAGTCTCACTGCAACCCGACCGTTGAAAGTGGACCAGCATAAGCGCTAAAGGCATGGCATTTCGTTAGCAAGAAACAGCCGGCCTCGGCTTCCGCCGAACATGCGAATCAGAAATAAAGTACTCCGTAGTTGCTGCTTTTTAACTAGTCCAACCGTAGCTCCGTCCAATCCACCATGTGAAGATATAAAACTCCGTGTTATAGTGGCGTGACCCTGAATTTTCCTTTTCTCTTTTCTTTTCTCTTGCTACTCCGTACTCTCTGGGTATTCTTCGATCTGACTACCACGTGGCATAAAAATCCCTTGCAGTACAACACACACCACACCACACCACACCACAAGGAATACACAGAAGTAGTAACAATGGGCTCAATCGCCCCCGACCACCCCATCGAAGTGGACCACGAAGACGAAGCAATCAGCCTAGGCACCGAATCCTCCACAACATCACTCAGCTCCAGCGTACTCAAATACGAATACAAGCATGGCCGACGCTACCACGCACACCACCTGGGAAACTACCCGTTTCCCAACGACCAGCCCGAACAAGACCGACTAGACATGGTGCACCACATCTTCTACCGACTCATCAACAACAGACTCTTCCTCGCGCCGATCAACCCGGACGGGAAACGAATCCTAGACATCGGCACAGGCACAGGCATCTGGGCCATTCAAATGGGCGACGAGTACCCGAACGTGGAGAAGATCGTGGGAAACGATCTCAGTCCGATCCAGCCGTCGTGGGTGCCGCCGAATGTGAAGTTCATTGTGGATGATGTGGAGAAGGAGTGGATGGAGAGTGAGCCATATGATTATATTCATTGTCGGTATATGGCGGGGTCGATTCGCGATTGGCCGAGGTTGATTAGGCAGTGTTATGAGAATTTGAAGCCCGGGGGTTGGTTAGAGTTGCAGGAGAGTGTGAATACGTTGTATTCGGAGGATGAGAGTCTTAAGGGGGACAGTTATATGGTGAAGATGATGGATGGGTTGAAGGAGGCTTGTTTGAGGATCGGGCAGACGATGGATCCGGCGCCGGATTTTGAGAAGTGGGTTGCTGAGGCTGAGTTTGGTGCCGTGCATACGATGAAGTTTAAGTTGCCGATTGGAAGTTGGCCCAAGGATGCCAGGTTGAAGGAGTGTGGGAGTTTCATGAGGGTTAATTTTGTGGAGGGAGTGGAGGGATTCACTGCTGCGCTGTTTGGGGATGTGCTGGGTTGGGAGCAGAGTGAGATTGAGGAGTTGAATGCTGGGGTGAAGAGGGAGTCGTTGAGGAAGGATATTCATCCCATTTTTGATGTTTTGGTCGTTGCGGCGCAGAAGCCGATGTAGTTGCTGATACTTTGCTTGGGTATATAATGTTTAAATATGGTATGGCTAAATTGAACTGGAAATGTTGTTCATCACACATCTGTATCAGGGATAAGAATAAAAGTAGACTTCGGTGAGACTCTGGTTGTCAACTCTTGATATACCCCAGATGTGTAAACATGGCAGCATTAATTCCATAGTATCAGCACACGAATTTAGTTCCACAGGCAGATATCTATTTATAGGCTCGATGGTGATCTACAATCCAGACTCAACTTTAACTCTAACCATATCTCTTCACCGTCGTCAAGATGTGTCGGGCCGATTGCCTATTTGGTAGGCGGGACAACTACCGAATACAGTAACTACCCGCCTATCAGCGCCACGCCTGTCGATATAAAGATGTAGCTCGATTAGCATAGCAGTTGAACCCCCCCACATCGTCGATAACTATTTCTCATAAGCAAAAATGTCACCTGAAACGCAAGAATCCGGGCCCTCCGCATCCCACACCTTCGCAGGAGTCCTGCTAGACTTTGACGGCACCATCATAGATTCAACAGAAGGTGAGCCAACTATTCCCATACAAAACCCGAACAGGATCTAACATTCGCCCAGCGATAATCGAGAACTGGAAAAGGTATACCCTCATCAGCACACCTTACAAGCAATCTTACTCACAACTACAGAATCGGCAATGAACTAGGCATCGACCACCATGAAATCCTCCGCACCTCGCACGGGCGACGGAGCATCGATGTCCTACAACAATTAGATCCCACAAAGGCCAACTGGGAATGTATGTACACTTACATTACCTTCCATATCCCATCCTAAGTCATGACTGACCTAAAGTTTGTCCTTAGATGTTAGCGAAATGGAATCCCAAATCCCCACACTTAGCAAAACCCCCGCCGTCGAGATCCCCGGTGCGCGCAATTTCCTCGAATCATTAGCCAAATTCCACATTCCTCACGCTATAGTGACATCTGGAACGAAAGCACTATTAAGTGGCTGGTTAAACGTCCTACAACTGCCTCAACCGCAACATGTCACTGTAGCGGAGGATGTCACATTGGGAAAGCCGGATCCGGAGGGATATCGCAAGGGGAAAGAGAAGATTTTGGCTGGGAGGGAGAATGATGATAATGGAAGTAAAGATGTTTTGGTGGTGGAGGATGCTCCGGCTGGTATTCGCGCGGGCAAAGCAGCTAACTGTAAGGTTTTGGCGGTTGCGACGACGCATTCTGTCGATGTGTTGAAGAGAGCTGGGGCTGATTGGGTGGTGAGGGACTTGAGGTTCGTGGGGGTGGAGAGGTGTGAGAGGGGTTTTGAAGTTCATTTTTCGGGGTTATTGTAGGGCAAGTTATTATGCTTTTGTTTATAGATAGAAAGTATATATTGATGTATAGAAATTAACGGAAAGAACTGAATGACTTGAGCCGATTCTCTCATTAGTCCCTAAAGCGTGCTGCTGTGATTAGCAATGTTCTGTTCAGTTGGCGGAAGATAAGAAAGAAGCGAGAAACACGAGCATTTGGCCATAATGGGTGATATAGAGCGAGCCAGTAAGAATCCGGGAGGCAGAATCTAAGCATAGAGACAGTTTAAACTAGCGGAAGTCCATCCGCAACTAGTCAACCCGGCGCATTCGGCGAACTCGGCGAGCCTCGTGTCAGACTATCCGAATAGCCTCAAAGCCAGATCTGCTTAGCAATTCAACGACATTCGTCGCTGTCTTGGTAATTGACAAGGCTGCATCTCTGCGGAGAATTGATTATAAAATGGCAACAGTTACCCATAATCAGTGTCCCATAACCACTCAACAATCAAACCCAATACAATAACTATTACAGCAACTCAAATAACTCAAGCATATCATTCAACGATGTCTCCCAGAGTCTTCATCACCGGTGCAACAGGCTACGTCGGTGGCCAGACAGCAGTCACTCTAATTGCTGCGCACCCCGAGTACGACGTCGTGGCACTAGTCCGAGACCAAGAGCAAGCCGATAAGCTCAAGAGCCGCTTCCCCAAGATCAGTACCGTCATCGGGACCCTCGATGATGATGCAGTGCTGAAGGAGGAGTCTGCTAAGGCTGATGTTGTGCTGCGTAAGTCTGCTACAGCCGCCCTCTATAGCCAGGCTTCACCCAAAAGTCATCGACTGACATCTTCATACTTGAACAGAAACCGCCAGCTCCGACCACGTCCCTTCTGTGAACTCCCTTCTCAGTGGCCTAGCAAATGGCAATGGAAGAGGGAGATACATTCACATCTCTGGCACGGGCGTTCTTAACGATATGTCGACTGGGCCGGGAAACCCCACTTCAAAGATCTACGACGATGTCAAAGACATTCATGAGATCATTAACCTGCCCGCGGAGGCTCTACACCGGAATGTGGATGATGCGGTTATCACAGGTGGAATGCGGCTGAATGTTCCCACAGCAATTGTATGCCCGCCTACTATCTATGGCGTTGGTGAGGGGCCGATCAAGAAGCGGAGCATGCAGGTTCCGTTCTTGACTGAAGCGATTCTAAATCGGGGGAAAGGGTTTACTGTTGGAAAGGGGGAGAATCTCTGGGATTGTGAGTCTCCTTCTACCTCTCTGAAACTTGGAGACAGACTAACCTTAATGCAGACTGTCACGTCAGCGACGTAGCCAAAGCATTCCTCGTCCTAACTGAAGAAGCACTGAAGCCCAACGGAGGCTCAGCAACCTGGGGCCCAGAGGGATACTATTTTGCCGAGGCCGGCGAGTTCTCATGGAAAGGTGTGAGTGAAAAAGTCACCCAGATTGCTCAGGAGAAGGGAAAGCTTGCTGCTGCGGATATCGAACCACTGGCCGTTGAAGACGCTCTTAAATTCCATCCGTGGGCGCCGGTTCTATGGGGTGGAAACTGTCGCAGTCGGGCTAGTCGGCTGCGCGCTTTAGGGTGGAAGCCTGAGGGACCGAGCCTTTGGGGGGCCATTCCTAGTATCGTGGAGTTCGAGATTCGTGCTCTTGGATTGTGAGTGGTGGATATGCTCTGGCCAGTTGATTAAGCGTCATGGTGGGCTTTCTTAGATGATTAGGCGGTAGTTGGTTGTCTTAAGTTCATGATAGATTTCAATGATCACAGCGCACATATTGCATCGTCCAACATTAGTATGACCGGACTGTCGTCTAATGTATGAAGCCAACGATCTTGTTCCAGTGTTCCTATTTTTGTATTGTTAAAACCCAGTCGCTAGAGTGGGAGTGGTGGTTCATGAATTGTTTAGTAGCAGATGCTAACTGCAACCAGCCTGGGAGGATCTCAATTCCAAGCTTTCAACCCATTGGTCTTCTCTGTAAACGCATCTGAAGCCACCATCTTTGCAGCGCTTGCAGGGCTTCTCCTTATCACATCGCACCCTCCGTCGTCGACACAGATCACACGGCTTCTGTCGCATGGAGAACACGTGCACCCTTGCCTGGAAAGCCGCACCGGCTCCAGCTGAGCCGCAGCTCAACCCACTTCTGACACAATTCTGACAAGGATCATCCTTATCGCACTTAATCTTCTTTGATCGACAGTGGGCGCAAGGTGCCTTCAACTTCTGGTGTGCTATAGGTGATGAAGGGACTGATTTTGTCCTTTGCGCTCGTATTTGCAGAAGAGCGTGGGCTTCACTCCAGACGTCTCTACCCGCCATATCGCAAGCAGTGTCGAGCCAAAGTATCATCCGCAGCTTTTCTTTCACGCAGCTCCACTGCACATTCTCTGAGACAAACATAATCTCAGACAAGCACTCGATGAACCAGCCTCTTCCGGGACCGTCCCTAGCCGCTATACCGCCCACCATCAGGATCCACAGAAACAGGATCTCACCATGTTCCAGCATTGGCCAGGTGTTGATAAGATCATTCTTTTCTAACTCAGACTGTAATGTCATGGCCAGAGTTCCAAAAGGAGCTCGGACACCAGAAAGTGGAAATGTCACTCCGATGCTGTAGATAATTGTCGCTAGTCGACAGACTTCAGATATAGCCCCAAGTCCTGTGTCGGCAATGGGCCCTATGCTCATCAGATGATACTGGACTAAATTGCGCTGGTCACACATTGCCTGGGGACTGTAGGATGGACTGCGTCCAGAAATATAGTCGTCGATATTTGCTGTGTAGGCTCTTAGTCCATGCATCACTTGTCGGAGTTCCGACTCGAGAGGGAGTTTGTTGAGGACGTTTAAGCGATTGACTAGGTTCATGGTGCCAAGGAGCAAGTGGTTTTCTATCTCGGATGCGTTCTGGCCAGACAGTGCGACGAAAGGAAGCGGCGGAGGGGAGAGTAGTAGTGTCGAATTTACTAGTACTCGGCTATGGCGATTTTCAGTTTCTAATCGTGGGTGATGAGAGACGTGGCTTACTAGAATGCGGCGGCTGCAAGACCGGGGGTCTTGACTTGAGCAAGGCCACCCCTCAAGGATATAATCTTGTGCAGACCCATCTGGTGGACCGGATTGGGCTCCCTAGCACTGTGAACGTCTAACCACTGTAATCCATGGAGAGGTGCCTGGAATGGAGACCGCTTGGACCATTCTTTATGATCCTGAAGCAATGGCTTTTCGACCATCATCAAGACCGCCAAGATAGTCGCATCAGCAGTTGCTCGAGCAGGATCGTGAAGTGCTTCATTGATCGAAGTTATCGTATCCAAGTAGTATTGTTTCAAGTACGGTACGACCTCTTTGGTCGATGTCAGGCTAGCCATGTTTGCTGAGATCAAACCATTAATCCGCTCATGAGATAGAGAGGATAGTACGATAGCCTTAAATGTCGCCTGGTCGTTCAGTGACATAGGAAACCAGTATTGGAGATACGGATTAGACACATTGCGCGATGGAAGTACACGAGGCGTCATGATCGCAAATCCTAGTGCAGTGAGCTTGGTAAAACTGTCCTGCGCGACAAAGAAGCTTACGATAAGATAGTGCCCGCCTCACGAGCCGTCGTGGAAGAGAAGACGGGAAGACGTCCAAAGGCACAAGGTCTGCTCCGGGGTAGATATGACTGATCTCGCCTGCTGGACGAGGTCATGTTAGCTGTCGCGTTGGCTACACGTCTCACAAGCGCGTAGCTGTACTGGGATCGGTTTCTTCCTCCGTTTCCACTGCACCAGTAGATAATGGAATTCCGGAAGACATGTTGATATCGAACGGTAGAAGATCAGAGTCAAGTGGAGAGCTCTCCATGATTCTAAATGGAAATGCATCCAATGGGGAGGTCAGCATTGTATTGTGGGTATGGTTGTCACTATTCCAATAGTATGGTCGGCGGAAGCATCACCGAAGGATTCATGAGTTTATCTGGAAGCCAAGATTATAAATGGTGGATCACGTGGAGTCATCATGGGGTCTTATTCTAACCTGTTATAAGCAAGCGGTATCTGTAACATCCAACGCTTTAGGCTGAATAGGAACTTCGGCTCAAACCGGACTAGATCGGACTGAGTCGGCCGCCGGTCGAGAATGTTGTATATACCAGCTCTACAAGTAGCCTGCGCATCAGGTTGCAACTTAATGGTCAATGTTCACCAGTGACGTAACCTTTGAAAATCATTTCGTCTTTCTCATCAAGACATAAGCAGGGGTATGTGAAATATTCATCGAACCAGTCGCCACTGAACTTATCAACAGACTCAATCGTCGAACTCCTCCATATCGTCCATTCCCTCATCTCCTTCATCATCCAGACCTTCGAATACCATGAACTTCTCGTTCTTAGCATCCGTTTCCTCCGGAACGACGTTGGCATCCTGGACTTCACAGTCCTTGAGGACGGATTCACGACCAATCCTAGCTCGTCGGCCAATTAGACAGCCTGTCAACTGAGCTCGGGACTCAACTACTGCTCCGTCCATAACCACGCAGCGAGTGAGTCGTGCACCACTAGAAATATGGCAGTTGGGCCCGATGACACTCTCCTTGATGACACATGTTGGTTCCACGGTAACATTCTCAGCAAGCAAACAGTCACTCTTTGTAACTGTGCAGCGTTGGGCCACGCCCTCAGGATGGGCAACTTTCTGGCTATGCGCAAAAGGCGATGCTGCCTGACGACCAACTTCCTCGATCGATTCTAGCTTGGCCAGCCGAAGGGATGTTGACAGCAGGATAGCGGAACTGTCAACTCTTCGAACAAATGGTGTTGACCCCTGTTGTACATAGGCGAGAATTTGAGGATGTTCCACAGCTTGTGAAGCCGGACTGCCGACCTTTGTAGAACTTATGTTGTTGAGATCAATCTCGTCCTCCACCATATCACCGTCGTGGCTTTTGTTGTCGTGCTGGCTTTGATCATGGAAGATCTTGTTCATTCCCAGCTTATCCCCTAGACCCTTTTGCCATCCTTTGGCCCAATAGCCGATAAGATCCTCACTTACCGATTCGAGCTTCTCCTGGTGACGAGCTAGATCCTTCACCCAATAGGGAAAGACATAAAGATGTGCATCCCGGTAGCTGGTCAACATCTTGACCTGGGCATACTTCTGTACTAAGGCGTGGCGCACAAGGAAGCCCTTGTCCTGTTCCATCCTCTCCTTCACAGTATCCATAGGCATTGACATGAGTAGTTTTGATAGGCCAAACCGCAGGGCTGATGGTCCATCAACGGGATGTGATACTACAGGAGCTTCATCCTGCCCGAGAGGCGCGACAGCGACAAAGTCGGTGGCCTCGCCTTTCACGCTCTCCTCACGACCCAGTGTCTGATAATATACGGCAAGCCCGCCGCGACGGCCCCCTTGCTCCCCACCCGGGCCATCGGGATTACCCCCCAAAGCGCCCTGAATGACCAACCACGCCTCTAGTATAGATTCACCTGGGATATCACATATCAAGTCGCATGGAAGAAGAAGGAAGTCTGTCTTGATACATTCTTGAACCTCCGGAAGACGGAGCAGTTCGGCCGTTCCCATGGTCATTTCGAGGTCCTTGGGGGCCACGACGGACACGGAGGGGGCGGGTAGCGATGTGAGATGTGGGTTTTGCTTGAGAGCAGCTTGAAGGGGACCGAGAGAGGAAGGGGGCGTGATTAATGTGATATCTAGTATCGGCCGAGATATGACGTTAGTCCAGGACAGGGGATCTGCCAGTCTAGGGTTGAAGGACACATGTTTTAGTCACCAACAACGTACCTGTAATGCCTGACCGCTTGCAAAAGTCGATGGGATAGAACACCATGGGCCTGTTTGCGATAGGAATGAGACTCTTCGGGTACTCCTCCGGGTTCGATGTGAAGGTGTTAAGAGAGACGCCGGGACCGCATAGAATGAGAGCCTGAAAGCCCGTCGCGGGCACCGGAGCCGAGGATGGCATATTTTCTGAAGTTGCTGGACTCTAGGGGAGCTGATTATGTATAATGCGCCTGCTCGATCACTTGGTTGACCCCGCGATGCAGTAATGAGATCGTGGACTTGAAACGCGGCTGCGCTCTGGAGAAGCTTCAGACGGTTGCGTCAAATGCTAGACAGCACCAGCCCATTCATATAATGCGTTCCGACTAGGCACTGGGGCCTAAAGTACCTGGCAATGCTCAAAGTGGTCCGCCGCGAACCACCTGATGCCGCGAATGTGAGCTGAGTTCGGGGAGAGTCACGTGTTGATAGCGGAATGAGTCAGGATCGGGAGGGCCCGACCTTAGTTTTGTGGATCCCGTGCACGGATCATGACCGATGGTTTTACGAGCTTTCATTCTCCTTCTGGTTTAGAATTTCACTTTCGACACTACTTCCCACCAGGCTATGACTCCAGTATCAAGTGCGTCTCCTGTATGGAGCATACAGACAGGCCGATATCTGGAGAAGTGTCACGAGTCTACATTTCACCAAAAACAGGGCCCTCTTGTATAAGACCGTTATAATCGTCCATATTCTGCTCTCATACTACACGTTTGAAATGGTGGTGACACACGTTCCATGAAGGAAGAATGATATTGTGCATGAATACCCTGCGTCGGGCATCTCAGTAACACACCGACCTCACATTGGAGAGGTCATCGCTCCACGATTTCCAGTCCGACCCCAGGCTACTAATTTCATCATCAGTCAGCGCGCGACGGGCATTGGCAGCTTCCTCAAACTCTTCCGGTGTCCGGTAACCGCCCATCAGGGCAATTGTGAATATATCCAGTATTGCCGAATCTGGATCGGTGGCTACGCCGTAGATTGTACTGCCCAATGCGCCTGCATCTCCGATGAGCGACATCATATCGGCCAATTGCTCCAAACCGTCCGAAATCAGCCTGATTTCGCCAAGGAAAGGGACGATCATTAACACGCCAAAGATGATTTCCTCAATCATTGCCTTCTTTTTCTCTTCCGAGGCCTTATCGGCAACTTCAACCACCTCGCCCATGTTTGCTACCGCTTGAGCCAGCGTGAAGACGACGGTTGAAATGGTGAGAAGCACATCGTTCATGCTACCTCCATATGCACCTGTGGCCGACAGTATCTGGGTCAGATAGATCGTCTCGGTCAAATTATAGATTCCTGGAAGCGCATCCTCGACGATCGTCTGTGGGTTCGTCACGGTGATGTTATCAGCCGGTAGAGGGTAACCCTTCAGCACACCCTTGTCAGGCTGGCATGTCTTGCCAGATCCTACGCCGCAACTGGAGCCGACATCTTTGTCTCCGAATTGCACCCAGTTCTTTTGGACTCCGGTAGTGGCTGTGAGGTTGGCCCAAAAGGCAGTAGCGTTGATAAGGTTGTAGTATATTTCATAGTCGTTGTAAAGCTGCTCCACGTCAAACGGACATGTGGTTGTGGAAGCGTTCACGCCATCCTGGGCAAAGGTACACGTGAAGAAGGCATTTCCAGCACCCCCAGGGTTCATGTAATCCTCCAATACGCCAGGAACTTCCTCGCGGATGTACTCCTGGTACTCAGTAAATTTGCCACCATAGCTTGAGAGGATGTTCGTGTAATTGGTCATCGTGTCGGCGAGCATGTCGGAAAGGATACCAAGAGCATAATAGTTCACACAATAGTCTTCTATGGAGCTTAAAGAAGACTTCAAACTCGAAAAGCTGTCGAAAGTAAGGGTGTAGTCGCAGGTTTCGACGTCATCGGCACAATCCGAATCAGGATCATCATCTGTGCACACTAGGTCTGTACTGTTACCAGCAACGTCGTCCGAACAGACGGGCGATGGACAATAGCCTCGCTCGCAGGCAAAGTCACATAGACCACTGTCAGTATAGGTATCCATGGTGTAGCCATATATGCTAGTGTTTGCAGTAGGCGGCACGTCTAAGGGACCGGTTGCAGTACAAGTGCAGTTATGGATGGGACAGAAACCGTAGGCGCAGCTATAGCTGCACAGACCTGTCAGGTCACCGGTTCCTTCTCCAGAAGTACAAGTGTCAGGGGTGAATGGTGACACAGTAGAAGTAGCAAGAGCCACTTCTGTAGTGGTGCAAGCGGACGAAGGGCAGTAGCCGTAATTGCAAGAGAAGGCACAGAGACCCGAGTAGTCGGATGTCATTCCAGCGGCAGGGTAGCCGATCACTCCCAGGCTTTTAGGCAACTTTGCCTGAGGGCCCATTTCCTGGCACAGACAGGCCCCGACAGGGCAGTATCCTAGCGCACAAGCAAAGGAGCAAAGGCCATTGAAGTTGCCTACCCCCCAGCCGCGGATGCATACCTCGTCTGCGAGGGAGTAGGTCGGGGTGGCTGAGATCGTGGTGGCCGACATGGCGCTGCCTACCCAGGCGTTCCAATTCTCAATTTCAGTTGATGCAGCACAGCCTGTCACAATTCCTCGCCAGTGAAGCTTGCAATTGTTGCGCCGTCTCGAGTGATAGCCACCTCGACACTCCCTGCCTGCACCGAAAATTCCACGCTACCATGGTAGACGCCCGCCCCTCCACTGGGGGTACTATTCCAAGATGCGCCTAGGTCTGTACCCCCGACTGTCACTGAAATATCTGCTGAAGAGGCTAATAAAGCAGAGAAGAATATCCGGTCTTGAGGGATCTCGTATGGCCAGTATTCCAGTTGCAGTTGGCTCGCAGTGTTACCGGTTGTCCCGCCATCCGACGTGCAGCTTCCCCGGACATTCAGTCGGTACCATGCCTGAACACCTTCCTGCGTGATTGTCGAGATGTTGTTCTTGTAAGTATCAGCGAGCCAGGGAAGAAAAGCTCGCCAACCGTCGTGTGGCATGTTCAAGGCATAGTTGTACGGGGCCTGACCTGTCCCGAAAGCTGTATAAGTCGATTCAGCAAGCGAGGAATCAGCGTCCGGAGTAGGGCCAATGTAGTGGGATTCACCGAAGTCGTTCCAGGAGATGATTTCAACGAACTCAGGGGCAAGATACATGGCCTGGATCCAGCGGTCATACCAGATATCATCACCCCGCCACAGCCAGTTCTTGTTGTATCCAGGCATATTGGTAAAGAACCAGGGAGAGACCGGCATCATGTATGGCTTACCATCCAGAAAATCAATGTAAGAGGCGTCAACATAGGTATTCATATTACTTGGGTCGTACGGCCATGCTGCCCAACTGAATAAGCCATCAGCCACCCCGCCTCCAAGACTCACGGCGACATCAGCCCCCACGGAGGACCAGTCAGGAAGGAAAAAGCACACAGTCTTTTCCTTAATATCAACCCAGTCGTCTGCATTGTCAGGACCTTCAAATGTAGAGACAAAGGGCTTTGAGTTATATCTCCAATATGCTTTGGCCGATATGTAAGTCTCTAGCATGTCCAGGACGTCGTCCTTGGCCCATGCCCCATTCCCTGCATAGTCAAAGGAAAAGAAAAGAGAGAATCCAGTGTTCACAGCAGCTGAGAAAGCATTTTCCAAAGATTGTGTGTTGGTAGCGTCTCCTACAGCGATATTCATCGCAAATGCGTCGATATTCGCATCCAAAGCCAGGAGCATCTCATTTTGCCAATCATCGACCGTATAGCCGAGGGTATTGGAGACCTTATCGGCGCTGTCAGCCCAGGTTCGTTATAAAATAGCAAAGGACATACCATAAAATGGGCAAAGACTGCTCGTGAATGGACATCAAGTGAGAAAAGCACAAGACCCAAGATCGCTGGAAGAAAAGGGGTCATAATTAGAGGTATGCCCCTATAGAGCTGAGCGGTGAAACAAATAGAATAAAGAGTCGAGAAGGAGATTTTGCCTGCAGGAGAGGAAGACCGAAGCTAATAAAAGGGGTGAATGAAATGAATGAGTTCTATATTGAAACGAACGATTGGATGATGTGAAAGTGAGCGTAAGTGAGAATGAGCAACTGTGCCAGTCCTTGGGATAGACCAGAGCATATAGGCATTTATTTATAAATAGAGAAGGCCTGTCCGCTGTGGTCCAGTCTCAACCAAAGGGCATAGACATCCCATTATCAGCAGGTATTCATTACTACCTAGCGTATACTAGTTGAGCTTTTTCGTAACTAGATGAGGGATTAATTTGGAACGACATCATGTCGGCTCGCAGCAATTCCTACCTCGATAGTCTCACAGGCTCCTGTTCAATAATCCGTATACTCTTATCTGTGACACCAACGCCAGTAGTCATTCGCTAAAGCAAATTGGTATCCACCATAATCGGGTTATTTAGTTTGATTGCAATTATTGAGGTTGCATTGACTAGTAGTGGCCGGCGTTATGATCGGTTAGGCGCCATGGTGAGTGATAAGGCCCCCAATGTTCGATAGGATCATGGCGAATTTACCACGCTGATTGTGGGAGAGGCCTTCATAGAAGATACATAAAGAAACTAGTAAATCCCTGGTGTTCATATTTCCAAGCTGGTCTAATTGAGAATAATCAAGACCTTCCTTTCCATTCTCTTCTTCCAACGAGACTTTGAATATTCTGCTTTCGAAAATCTACCCACAATGAAGCCCGTCCTGCTTATCTTCATGCTGGTTCTTTCCATTGAACTTGGGCATTGTTCGAAAATGACCGGTCCATTTGAAGCTCTTTTTTTCTACTATGCCTATCAGATCGATGCCGCAGCTGCAGCCAGAGCAGCCGAAGACGGGATCTCATATGAGGCCACAATCGGAGGTGACTGTATTGGTAAAGATTGTACCTTGGAGGCCTTTTTGAGAACGATCATGGATCCATATTATGCGGAAGATCTCACGCCCACTTCAACTGGATCCACTAGAAGCCCTGACGTCTATGCAACAGCCGAGGAGATTGATACGTATTGGAATTACAATGGTAGCGACTTACAGGCTGACGAAATCATCAAGAATGCTCCGGATTACTTTGCCAATGTGGTCAATGCTGTCGCGAGTAAAATACAAGAGGCTCGAGCAGTTGTGCCATCTACCGATCTGATGGACAAGGCAGGTGGCCTTGAAATGGGCGCAGGCCGTGAGGCTCAGTGAGATGATTGTCCTTAATGGGGAGCTTCAGGTTGCGAAAGCGCTGGCTTTTGCAAATAAGTACCCAGACGTCGACCTGCTGAGCACCCAACGAGAATTGGGTATTGACAGGACTGTGTCACCGCCATTGAAGATTGTTTACGCTGATCTTGATTATGCAAACATGGCATTGCTGGCATCGGACGGGGACATGACGAGAGTCATGAGTAATTACGATGACTTTCTCAAGTTTGCCCAAGCCAAACCTACCACCCGGGTTTACAGAACTCACCAAAATATCGTGAATATGTATCAGCGGGTGATACCGTCGCTGGAGGCGGGCTGTTCTTGAGGACTGGGAATTTGGGGAGTCAGAATTTAATTACTTTGTCTTTTATTGATGTGTTCTTTTGTCTTGTCTTCCTGTCTCTTGTATCTGTCGCTACTGTGGAGATCAATTGTGCTCGTTTATTTCATGTGAGCTTTATACTCTAGCTCCGGCTTCAGGATGCTATGTATCAAGCTTTCAGTCATTTAGGAAGACAGCATATAAAGTAATCTAAATGATAGGGGTGATGAGGCTAGTTGGGGACACCCCTAGACAGCGGATAGTACAAGGGCTTTTGTCAAGTGAAGGCAACTCTCAGGATGCACCTGTATATTCAGTTTAGCAAGATATGTTGAGGCATCCATGTAGGCTAGTCACGTGCTGCGCTCAGACCTCCCACACAAAGCACCTCTACGCGTTGCTTTGTTTCGCTCTTCTAGATAGCTCAATTCAACTTACTCTTTTGCTTAATCTTTATTCATTCATTTCATTGCTTTTATTACTGTAGAACGCGCTTTAAAAGATTATAAGCCTGATCTCTATACTGTGAAGCTATTTAGGACTTGCTACAGCCAGCTATTTATTACCAGATAAGATACTCTAGTACCGCGGAATACTAGTTTTAATAAATTTAATAAATCTGATTAGATTACTTATATATATTAAGAAGATATATTATATAATTCATCTATTTATTTATACTAAGTATATTAAACAGGCGGGATAATATAAGAAATTAAATATAATATATTATTTTTAAATCTCTCTCTGGAAGAGAAGAAAATAATAATATCTAAATTATAAATAAATAAATTATTTAAATAAATATTTAATAAGATTCCAGGGTTGCTGCTCTTACTAGAAAAATATATAAATTTTTTAAAATAGAACTTCTAAGTTAAGCAGATATCTAAGAATATCAGATTATTAGA